CTGCTGGAAGGAGCCGTTCAGCCTTGCGCTTTCCTGAATTCGAAAGATACCATCACTTCTTTGCAGTCGCATCGGTTCGATGCCGACCACAACAACAACAATTTGCATTTGTAGATTGCCTCTCACCCAGGGTGGCATCCCAGAACGCTTGACAGTGACGGAGTCACGACTCCGAACTGGGAAGGGGGGGGTGGGTGAGGGTGATCATGAGCACAGTCGAAGAGGAAGGTCTTCAGGCGTGACCTGAAGATGGGGAAGGAAAGAGCAAGGCGTTGGGAGAGAGGCAAAGTGTTCCAGAGTTTCGGGGCGTAGTGGCTGAAAGCGCGATCAGTGTCGAGTGCACAATATTGAGGAAGTACCCTGGTTTAATGTGATCCAAGGAGCAGCAGGTTAACCTAACAAAGCATTTCCCTCTGGGAAGTCTCTCGTCCTCTGATGCCTATGATTTTAAAATGTCTCTAGGCCTTGTTTGTGTGTGTGTGTGTGTGTGTGAGGCTCCGTGTTCAGTCGACTCTTAGCTCTTTAAGTATCGGGTTAGATCTTACGGTGCCACCTGATCCACCAAAGAGGTATTACTGTGCTGTGTCATTGGGAAGCTGGCCAGCCAGCCGGGCGGGCGGGCGGGCGGGCGGGCATGCTTCAGGTTGTTATAGGGGAGGAGGGCAAGCTGTGTAGAGAGCTTCCACAGTGTTGTGCACCTGACCCTGACGACGGCTCCCACTAAATGCATTAGTGAGTAGTTTCCAAGCAACTACACGGCTCTGAGGGATTTGTGCCAATCACTATAGGGGGATACGGTAACGTCTTCTCTGTGTTGCCACTCCATCTTAACCCTTCGAGTACTGTGCCGCTGCGGAGTACAAAAAACAAAATCGTGACTTTACGCAAGTCCAGTTTAAATTGCTGCTGTGTTGGGTTAAATAATCTTGTGAATCAACATAAAGCCTGGGGCAGGCCAAGGCCACTTAACTCACCCAGTCGCCACAGATGTTGTTTGTTTCTCTACTGCACTCCGTCCTGACTCATGCTCCAGTTTCCACTCTTCACCTCCAATGCTTCCTCTTGACTGTTGGTCCCCGCTACGGTTTAGCCCCGTTCCAATTTCTTTAATTTAGACTTTATCAACTGGTCTTACCAACAGTAACAATTTACAGTTATGTCGCACCTTTCATGTGTGTTTGTGTTTGTGTGTGGCGGGGGGGGGGGGGGGGGGGGGGAAGGGAGGTATCTCAAAGTGCTTCAAAAAATGCTTCATGCTATCAAATAAAAAGCAATGAACTTTCAAGCATGGTATTAGCATTGTCGGGTGGAGTTAGCAACTGCACCGGTGTGGCAAGAGGTAGGTTGGGTCATTATTACTAAACTCGAGCTGACTCTGCATCACTAAAGAGTACAATTATGTCTGTGTCACCTGGAATCCGACTATTGAAACCAATATATGCAACGTCCGTAGTTGCTCATGACTGCTGCTCAGAATCTGTTCTGTTGAAGCAGGCAATTGGCCAAAAGTTTCTGCTACCTCCCTGTGCCGTTAACTAATTCAGTACCAAGAAAATAACTGCCTCTTCCAGGTGTGCTTCAGCCACAGAACAAGCAGGCACGACTAGAATTCCTCCAGGTTTTCAGACCCGCTTCATTTCGAGTTATTATTACAATAAATAATAATAATAATCCTTGCATTTGGCCTTAACACATTGTTGAGACATCTCACAGGCCGATACGCACGTTCAAAGGCATATGCTCGATCGTTCAGAAACCACTGAAATTGTGATCTTGCCACAAAGTAGAACAGGAAATTTACACTTGGGGACCTTTCAAAATATTTGTTTTTGAAATTTAATATTTTATTGATTTGACTTTCAATGGAAAAAAAACCTATTGCTGAAAAATATTCTTTGGGGGAAAAAAAACGAATTTTAATGGCCCCTTATTCATAGTCTGGAGATACTATAGAAATGCTTATTCCTAGGACTTCATTGTGTTTGAGTGAATCTCCACTCCTTGATCAAAACTCTGGAATAATTCCTTTCAGCAGATGTGGAAAAACTTGCAATCACATGCAGCTAGTATTACAAGGAGGTTTTGTTGAGGATCAAAGCAGATTAGAGGCTTTTTTTTTACTGGGAAGTGTTCTAAATCCGTACAATTCCCCTAAGTCAAGTGTTGCTGTTTTTAGAAGCCTTCCAATATTACACAAGGATATTTCTGACTTGATCTTCTCTCTTCCTTGCGTGGCTTTGGCTCGTAAGTTGCTCTGGAGTAGTTCGGCCACACAATCAGTGTTTAAACATTGTCCCTGTCATGACTACAGTATCACTGGGGGCAGGAATTCTTCCCACTTGGCTCCTGCTAACCAAAGCCTTAATGGGCAAAGTGGTCTTAGCTGGACAAGCAGCGGGAGGCTTGCCAGAGTTCTCAATAGCAGAGCTTGTGGTTTTAGCTGGATTGAACACCGGTAATTGAATGCCAAAGCCTTGACTCTTGCCAACCTGTGCCTAATACTCTCTGGGAGTACACATTCCACTCCAGACACCCGTAAAATTCCATGTGTAGATGGCGTACGTATGTGGAACTCTCAGTCTGTTTAGGGTACCCTCGAGCACGGTGATGTGTGTTTACGCACGTGTCAGAAACCGGACGGACCAAATAAAACCGATAACTGCAGTGTTATTGTGTTGAGAGTCGACCAGATTAAAACAAAATGATTTACCGTTTATAGGAGCAGTCTCGCCATCCCAAAGAGTTTTTTTCTATAACTAGAAGGAGTTAGCTACACACCTGGTACCCTGCTTTGAAAGTGCTGCGGTGTGGATGTACTAGTCCAGTATGTGTATTACATATAACACGTAGATACACTTGCTGTGGGTGAGCTGTCTTGGTACCAGTGCTGGCATGACCTCCTCAGTACATGCGGGCTGCAGAATCTCTCGGTTGCACAAGCCTGACATGTGCTTTCGTAAGCTGCAGAATGCGGAAGCTTTATCTTCCAGGGTTGCCTGTTGTCTGACTTCAGGGTCCAACCCCTTCCAAAAATGCAGTTGCATCAAGTAAACATGCCCGATCGGTGGCCTGCAGGGGGTGAAGATGGCTGGGTCTGGTTGGTGCTGACGATCCCATATTACACATGCAAGCGGGTGAGCAATGGACCCAGATCATGACTAGACTTGTGGATGCACAATCCTGCCCCTGCGAAGCATTACAAGTTAATGAGTTGAATGGAGAATCACTCCTTAGTCTTAAGGGTTCATTCAATTCACTTCATCGCTGTTTGTGGGAGGAAATTGGCTGCTGGGTTCCTCCACAAAGTACAATCGCTGCACCTTACAGTAATAACCGTGAAGTGTTTTGAGACATCCTCCCAATGTTAAAGGCGCTATGTCAAATGAACGTATTATTATTGTTGTTATATTCTGTAGATTGAAAGTGATGATGGACTATATTGTTGCAAGCGTCTGTTTTCATCATGTCTGTTGCTAGTCTGAACCAGGCTCCTCGGGGCTTGGTTTCACACTGATCAGAGGAAATGCCAGTGAGGAAGTGAATCCTTGCCAGTGGCTACATTTATTTTACAATCAGCTCAATTTGCATGTTTCTGAATTTGCGCTCCATTGCACACACACACACAGTGGGGCCTGACATGAACTATTTACATCTTAATATTTAAAGTTCAGCCATCCCAGCCCCTGTTGTGTGTTGAGCATCACTTGAATGCATTTCACGAGTGATCCGAGTGCAATTTGCAGATTCCTGATCCTTTTAGCACTGGCTCTTTGCACTCAAATGTTTTGTGGTGCAGGAGAAAATCGCTTGCCAAGGTTGATGATGGGATCTTTCTTGTTTCAGGATAACCAACATCATTCAACCCCACTGCTTTAGGTGAAAGATTCCCTGACTCATGATAATAATAATAATTAATAATAATGAAATCAGTGTTGTATGCCAGTAAGAAGCAGTGAAACTCGGACACGTGGAGGCCTTAAAAAAGATTGATTGTATGAATGAATGGTATTTGGAGATCAGTTATTACCTGAGCTTTAATGGTTGTCTCTGTAGCGCTGGCCTTTCTCAGACCTGTTTACAACAGAGCGAATAGCAGTGTTAAAGGTTAAGAATCAAAAGGGTGTCAGAACCATGTGTGAAATGCATTTGACGCATCAGCTGTGAAGCTATAGGGATGAGCAGTTCATGGCTCCATATTGACAGCCTGTCCTTCTGCAGCTTAGAAAGCGTGTTAACTGTTTAAGACGAGTCTATCCTTAAGCAGTTTATTAAAACAGATTTATCTTAATTACAGCAATCGGGAGACAGCATCTCCCCTCAATTGCTTAAGGCTCTTCATCATTCTGTTTAACAAAATTAGTTGCAAGATGACAATAAGCCATTTAAGTCATGGGATGAACCCTGGTTCAGAACAAACAATTAAACAGTCACTAACTTGACTAAAGCCCAATATCCTGATGTAACACCAGCTTCCCAGAGCGAGTACAGCTTAATAATGATGCTGTGAGAGGGTGTGCTTCATGTGTGATCATTTCGTTTTTGGTCAGCCCCCAATAAATACCATTTTTTTGGTCAGTTTTGTTTTTGTCTGAAACCCTTCACCTTGCTTAAGAGCATCCAAACCAAACTGAGAATCCCACCTACACATGGAAATTCCAGAGTTGGATTGTTGGAATGTTATACGCACTCTCTCACTCCCTGCTTACCTAATTCTGGAAGGTATTGGGCGCAGGGTTGCACAGGAGCCAAGGCTTGGGGAGACCCCAGAAGTGTGCATTATGGTAACTACTGGAATCTAACCAACTAAAACTACATAGCTTGCTAGCAAAGGCAAAAGACGTATTGTTTATGAGTCAGCTTCTAATGGAGCCAAGTCCTGATATATCTCAGGCTGCAGCAGGAAACTTGTGTGGATTTTACTGTGCAGGTGCCCCACTTACCAGTTGCACTGACTTAATGAATTCTCTGTGAAACGTTTCCTGTTTTGTCGTGTGTTCCAGTTTGCCAGGGTCTGGATCCCTGATGTGGAGGATGTCTGGCAATCTGCGGAGCTCCTGAAGGACTACAAGGCAGGAGACAAAGTGCTTCAACTGAGATTGGACGATGGCAGGGTAAGATTGATAGCACTGGCTGGTCAGATTTGGATGAGAAAAGGTCTATTTGGCTCATCCCCACACATTCTTTGTAAATAGTAAATGTGATTGGAATTCAGCCTATCTGTGGCATCTCCTGAGAGAAAACTGCGAAACTCAAGTCAATTTGAGCAAAAACACCACAGTATCTTGTCTCCATATCTCCCTCCCCCCATGCCACCATCGACAATATTTCCTTCCCTTCCCTTTCAACACCGAAATTCATTGTGCCCCCAAGCGGATTTGTTGGGAAGGTATTGAGATTGTTACATTAATTGAACGACAACAGGCCTGTTTACACAAATAATAATTCCTGTTGTATTCTGCCTGCCACAATGCCAAAATCTTTACACATCGTGAGGATAACCAACAAAAGAGGTTTGGATGAAGAAGTCCCTTTGGCCTATTTGAACTCATCTTTCCAGGATGCCCACCACAACACCTCCCCATGACTCTACCAAACCTGCTTCTTAACTCAGTCCAGTATCCTGACCTCAACCACCCCTCTTGGTAACCTGTTCCAGTAGTTAAAGAAACACTTCCCAGTCGGTGTCTGTCCTGAAATTGTGCCCTCTCGATCAGTGTCCTTCCGACACGAAGGGCGCTATATTAAATGTATTTTGTTGTTGTCGTGGTTGGTTGTCTTTGTGCCAAGACGCATCAGTGAGTGCAACGGGAGGGGAAGCAAACTCAATGTCCTCAATGTTTTAACTCTCCAGTCACCCTGATCCCGGTTTATTTTTGCAGGACACGGAATACAAAATTGATCCAAAAACCAAGGAGTTGCCGCCTCTCCGGAACCCTGACATCCTGGTGGGTGAAAATGACCTCACGGCCCTCAGCTACCTGCACGAACCCGCGATTCTGCATAACCTCAAAGTGCGTTTCATGGACTCCAAGCTCATCTACACCTACTGCGGTGAGTGAGAGATAATCCTAGCCTCGCTCTACACACAGTCACAACACATCATAGGAAATCCCGTGCAGCACTCTGAGACGTCCTCCCGAATGCAAGCACAATAAGGATTCTTATTATTACCTATGACGTCGATATGTCTCAAAGCACTCGGAGATAATAGCTCTCAAGTGCAGTGACTGTGTATGTTTGCACATAGCAAAGTCCCACAGAGAGCACTGACACAATTTACCTGGAGGATATTATTCAGGACAGTGTTCTCTTTCTCAACGAGTTCCCTTGGATCTTTAACGCCTTTCAGCTCTAAAAGGGAGTTTCTCCAAATGTTCTGGCCAGCAATCCTCCAGATCTAGTCTCGTGCAGCATACAGTAAGAACGCAGTGTAGTTTTTTTTTACTAATGTACAGACTAGCAACTAACTATTGATGAAGGAGAGAGTGAGAGAGAGGCTGTTTTGTCTCAATGTGATTTAAAGATTGATGTGACCAGTCTAATCTGTGGCTGTAATCGTGCCCTGTGACTGTTCCTGATTCCCTAGGGATCGTTCTGGTGGCCATCAACCCTTACGAGCAGCTGCCAATTTATGGTGAAGACATCATCAATGCCTACAGCGGGCAGAACATGGGGGACATGGACCCGCATATCTTTGCTGTGGCTGAAGAGGCTTACAAGCAAATGGCCAGGTATGTTCCTTAAGCATGTCAGGTGATTGATTCTATTTTAAGGCAGAGCAAAGTGTCAGTAGTTCCCATCTCTTGATACACTGGCAACAAAGGGGCTGAGGAACACAATCTGTGAAGTGATCGTTATCACTGGTGTAAAGACAGAACACTCAGCAGGTCAGGCAGCATCAATGGAGAGAGGAAAGTGAGTTAGCGTTTCAGGTCGATGACCTTTTGTCACTGGTGTGCATTGCTCTCCGACTTACAGAGAAGTCTTTTTCTCGCTTACTCTCTTGTCAGTATTCTGCCAAATTCACCCCAAAACATCCACAATTTGGTCACTCATTTTATTCCCGGCGTGCATTAAAAGGCCGGCGTACGAAGGTTGTCACAAACTTCAAAGTAACTCGTGGATTGAAGTGTTTTAAGATGATATTACACAATAGGTAACTAAATAAAATGGAATCATTATTATTGTAATCACAAGCAGGTTATTATTACCAGTGGAGAGTGGGCTATTATTTCCACAGCGCGATGTTGCAAACAGTTGTTCCTCACAGATAAAAGATGAAAGCGGAAATGAACAGATCTTAAAAGGGAAATACTTACTTGGAGTTTTCGACGCCTGTCCTTTTTGAACGGACTTGAGAATTGGACACAGTCCTTAAAGTGACAGCGGCGTATCATCTTACTGCACTTCAAACGTTGTGACTTGTATTCCTTATCCTTCAAGGGGGGCGGGGGGGAGAGATTGATAGTGGACGTGGGAAGCCACAGTTAAATAAGAAACAGGTTGTGTAGATTAATAAATGGTCCAGTGATCTGCAGAGCTTTGGGGGAGCAGAATGCAGACATCGAGCAGAGTAGCTCCTCGACGAGGCTGATCTCTGTACAATTTCACCCCAGTCAGACAGTCTGCCACGATATGGAACAGGAAACTGTCCTACCGTGGACTTAATGGCTTACCAAGGACTGAAGAGTCCCTCTCAGCTGAGTTTTATTCATTTTGATTCCTGTTTCTTTCAAGTACAGTACACTGGAGGTGGTGACACACTAACCCTTTGTGCGTCAGCCTAGCTCAATTGGTCCCACTCTCACCTCGGAGTCGGAAGATTTCGGGTTCAAGGGCTCAATCAATCAGGGAGTTTGCGATCTAGGCTGGTGCGCCAGTGTATTGCTGAAGGTGCCATCGGATGAGCCATTAAACGGAGGTCTTATTTGCCTGTTAAGGTGATTGTTAAAAACCGGTCAGGTTTTGTGCTGGTGGTGAGCCCCATTCAGCCTTTGGTGTCAGTTTTCATTAGATGATAGGGGATCTTTTAATCCCTTTTCCCCATACCCTCTCATAAACTTTCTCCTCAAGTATCTATCCATCTCCCTTTGAAACATCCTCTTGCTTCAAGGTGTACAGACTGCTGTGGGGACGGGTTGGGGAGGTGCGTGCTACGTTTTTCTCAACCCCGCGCGCGCGACGATAACGTTACACGTCGCAAAAGGGTTTCAACAATTTCCAATGTGCGTTCCAGGGACCAGAGGAATCAATCTATCATTGTGAGCGGCGAGTCTGGAGCAGGGAAGACTGTGTCAGCTAAATACGCCATGCGATACTTTGCTACAGTGAGTGGTTCAGCCAGCGAGGCAAACATCGAAGAGAAGGTCCTGGCCTCCAACCCCATCATGGAGGTGAGACTGTCGCTCAAAAGTCAGCTAATTACAGGGGGAAAAAAAACCGCATTCTAAGGCAAGAGTTGGGGAGGGGCTCATAAAGTTCCTTCCAGCCGGATAATGGGGCTTCCGCGTTGACGTCACAGATCTCGTGACCTTTGCCTCCGCTGAGCATACATTCAAATGGCCGACTTCTGGGTCATCAGGTCGCCGGCGACCTCACGTCCTATGTGCTGTTCACGCACAGTACACAGGAAGTGATCTCGTCGATGATGTGATGAAGTCCACCATTTTATTGTGCCCAGGAAGGGAAATAAATCCACAGGAGAGTCGCCTAACAAACAAACTAGCATTGTAAATGGGGCGGTGGGTGGGGGGGGGTGGACCTTACAACGGGATTCTACTGCAAATGGAATTATCCGGGGGAATGAGACTGATGGTTAATAATTTACCAAACCATTACAGTTACAAGTTCAAGGAATGGCCAATTGAGTGGAAGTAAATTGAATGTTCTATTGAATGCGAATACCACAGCTCTAGCACGGTTCACCGTTAGAACATCCCATCTCCCGTGAGTTCATTTGCTGCAGTTTGACTCGAAACGTTAGCTGGGCTCAGACTTCGGTAAAGTGGGTCGGTGGAATTTGGGCTGGAAAATGGGAGATGAGCTTCTTACTTCCACGTGGTTCATCCTGTTGGAGGTTCAAAGGGCTTGGCGTGACTTGAATCAGATTGCGTCTTTGAACCCAGGCCATAAACCCCTCCACTCAACCCAGTGCTGAGCGATAACATGACCAAATTAATTCAATTGCCTTTACCTCTCAGGTGTCCCAGGTAATATGTGCAAGGGAACCAGAGGCGTCAATAAATTGCAAGATTTGCAAATAGCAAATGCTGGACCCGTTGCAGCCGGATGTATGGAACTCCCTGTGGCACATTCAATATTTTTAGGTATCCGCTGGTTCTGGATTTCTCTCATTTGAGAAATTTATTTGGTCGTCTTATTGACTTAACACTAGACAAGCACAGGCACACATGATGCATCCTATTCGGACCAGACCGAGGTCTAAAAACTGGCATGTGATCAGTGAGAGAGATTTGTTTTTCAAACACCCTGTGATGGGAATTCATGAAGGGGGAAAAAAAAATCAACTGTGTTTTCCGCACAAGAAAAAGATGTTAATAAATGACGAGAATACCCAAAGCCAAGCCGCCTTGTGTTTCCGTGTGGTTAACTTTTACAGAAAGCCAAGGATTTATGGTTCCTCGGTACTCACTTCCTCACAGCCACTTACCACAAAATAACTGATTAATATTACGCAGGCGCTGTCTGGAGCTAAACGCTCCCTGATCACTGGCTTATCTTTTCTTTGTTGCTTTTCTGCTTATTAGCCTACCTCACCCCCTAAAGAGCGCCCTTAGGATGGCTCTGCAATGATAGTGGGTAAGGAGGTCACAGAAGGTAACGGCTGGTCTGGTTTGCAGTGCTGTGACTTGCTTTTAATGCTGCTTATGTACCCGGGGCTGATGTGAGAAATTGTGCACTGAATGCTCTCTTATTATTCATCAAGTCGACCCGGCTTTCGGTCATCTCCCGATGTCTGTCTGGGAAGGCTACAGGACTCCAGTCTGCATCTGAAATAGTAAAATGAAACGCATGTAGACGGCCTGAGAATATAGGGAGGTGCGAGGGCTTGAAGGGATTTGTAGATGAGAGTGACGAGCTTGATATCGAATCACTGAGAGGCGGGAGTCAGTGAAGCCTAGGTGATGGGCGCGTGGAGTTTATATCTGTGTGGACAGAGAAAAGAAGAATCACGCTTAACGATCTCTTTCATTTGTGTTTTTGCTCTCCGCAGTCTATTGGAAACGCCAAAACAACCAGGAACGATAACAGCAGCCGTTTTGGGAAGTATATTGAAATTGGGTTTGACAAGAGATATCGAATCATAGGTGCCAACATGAGGACTTACCTGTTAGAAAAATCCAGAGTTGTTTTCCAGGTAAGATTTTCAACCAGCCAACAACTGGAGGGCGTGAGCGATCGGGCAAGAAGCTCTCAGCTACTAGGAGCTGAGCTGGCTCTAGAATGACCTGCTCGGCAATGTAATGTCGGTATCGAGTCCACCCTTTTGTGGCTGTCTCTCATCTGGTTCCCTGAGCCAGGCCTGTCCCCAGTACTCCACGGCACTGTTGATGACAGCCCAGACCAGTCACTGGGACTCTTCCCACTCGGCTCTTATTAACCGAGCACGAGTAACAGATGGTCTATAAATCCCCAAATGATCCACTCAGTATAGTTGAATGCTTGGGACTATCACGAGAGATTAATGGGAATTTCAGTTCTACTGCAGAGCACTGCGCACATTTGTAATAAAGTGGATTTCATGCTGTTGTCTGCCTTCTTCTGTTCCAGGCTGAGGATGAGAGAAACTACCACATCCTCTACCAGCTGTGTGCCTCGAAACACTTGCCAGAATTCAAAGACCTGCACCTAGGTACGATCGCTCCTTGCCAACGTTTACTTCTTTAGCAATTTAGCAAAAAATTCTGGATTTAAACGTGCGAGTTATTTTGTGACGTGTTCTCAGCTGGGAGACGTGCATTCCTGACCTGGGTCAACATCTCTGCTCACAAATGCTTTCCACTGTCGTGTCTCCTGTATGACTATCGCTGATTTAACTTGCACTGTTATAGCTCTCACTGATCCTCAGTGGATCCACATAAAGCTACCCCTTTGCAACACAAGCCTCACTATCAAGTGAGGTCCTAGGTTCCACCTGAAAGGCACAAAAATAAACACAGTCACACCGCTTTACAGTAAATTACAGCGAAGTGCTTTGAGATGCCTCAACGACATGATAACAAATGCAAGGATTATTATTATGACACGAAATATCATTGCAATGCATTTCGTCTCCCGTCAAAAGCTGGTGTTTTAACCTTGTGTTGCTCACTGGTGATGCCACTGTTGGAATACTGTCTTCTGGTTTGAACGTCCTGCCTACAAAAGAACATTGGAGCGGGCGGAAGGTTCGATTGGGTAAATGTAGACGGTGGAGGAGTAGTCAGTAGGGCTCAGACTGTTGGAACCATTTTGCTTTCAGGTAACGCCCAGGACTTTCACTACACAAACCAAGGAGGCAAACCCATGATTGAAGGAATAGATGATGCAGTTGAACTGAGGGCCACAAGGCAAGCTTGCACTTTATTAGGTGAGATTCTAAACGCTTCCACCGACTGCAACCCACTCCTGTTCTGTGTCATAATTATGCTCGCGCTTGACTGATGCCTCTCACCCCTTTGTCTGTCCTCTAAGCGCTTTGAGACATCACCTTGGGTGAAGGCCGCTCTGTAAGTGCTTGTTGTTTGCTGTTGTTTTGGTTGACTCTGACTGGATGAATAGTTTAACGATCCCGATTAGAAAATGAAGCAGCACAGAGTCTGAGAGGACTAGTTCTTTGCATTATGTGCAATTGCAACTCAATTTGCTTAGAAAAATGTTATCTGCTCGGAAACCGGCCTAGGTTTATTGCCACTAGGTTTGGGGAACCACAGCTGTGGACTGATTCCGTGAGTCAGACTCGCCACATTCCTGGAATGAATCATGCCTTCGAACTCTTGAGCCAAAACCAACACGGATTGTGTCCGGGTTGTTTGCTTTCCCAGGGAGGAAAGACGATCGCCACACTGAATATTAATTCAGGAGATTTTCTGAAGGATTCTGACCGTTAACATCAAATAATGTTGCTCGAATCTTTTGAGATGGCTTCTCTTCGTACAGAACACTCACTCACCTTTAAATAGACCGTAGGAAAGAAAGTCTTTTGGTAACTTCCTCTTCTCCTCGCAGGTATTGGCGAATCCAAGCAGATTGGTGTATTTCACATCCTGGCTGCCATTCTTCACCTGGGAAACGTGGAAATCAAATCCACCGATCGGGACTCCGACAACTGCTTTGTCCCCGTAAGTGTGTGTGTGTGTATGTGTGTGTGTGAGGGGTGTGTGGTGGATGTGTGTGGTGTGTGTGTGCACTGAATGGTTCCTGGCTTTGTAACGCCAAAGCAATTTGAAGAGTGATCGCCATGACTGTGCGGTGACACCGCGAGGAACTTGGGGTCTTCACCTCAATAGGCGGCGGCAGTTTCAGTAATATTAGAAGATCACGGGTCTGGTTTTCATGCACTTTAATCATTGTTCTTTCTGACGCTCATTTAGCGAGAGCATTCTGTCAAACCCAAGTCTTTGCCAACCTCAACAATCTTCCAGTGCGTTTCCAGCATCCTCAGGAACTCACCAACTTCCCTTAAGTATATTCACTTTAAACTAGATTATAATCATAGAAATTACAGCATAGTGGAGGCTGTATGGCAACCATCAAGCCTACACAGATGCCAGTTCCTAGAGTTAACTCGTTCCAATTCCCTGCTTTTTCCAACTATGGCCTTTTATATTGTTTCTCTTTAAACACTTATCCAATTCCCTTTTCAATGTTTTGGTCTCAATAGCCTCTTGTGGCAAAATATTCTGTTTTCTAAAAGAACATTCTTTGTGAAGAGAAGTTTTTCTCGCCTCTACAAGCGACATTCCTAGAATTCTAGATTTTATCAGGCTGTCAGTCTGGCTCAGTTGGTATCAATTCTCATCTCCCAGTCAGAAGGTTGTAGGTTCAAGCCCCGCATTCATTGCAACTTTGTGCTCGTCATCTAGGCTGACATTTCAGTGAGAGGCTGGGGGAGCGCTGCACTGTCCGCCGACAATGAAAGTGAGATGTTAAACCGAGGTCCCGTCTGCCTGTTCGGATGGACTTTAAAGCTTCCGTGGCACTATTTGACATGAGAAGGTGTCCTGGCCAACAATCCCCCAGATAGAAAATGGTCATTTACTTCATGTCTGTTTGTAGGACACTTGCTGTGCGCAAATTGGCTGCTGTGCTTGCCTACGAAAATCGCACCTTGATATTCAGTATTTACAATAAAATCCTATGAAGCTCTTTGAGACATTTGGTGACGTGGTAAAAGTGCTGCATCGATGAGAAGGATTATTATATTATTGTATTATTATACCTTGTCAATTCCTGTTGAGTATTTTCCTCTTGAGTATTTCCAACTCAAATCATTCGCTGGTATTTTGTGAAGCTGTTGTGTACTCTGATCGGATGGAGCTTGTGACTGTAAGTGTTGATATAATTGACTTGAGGACCTTATATATACAGGTTATACAGAGAGGTCAAAGCACTATGGGTTTATCCCTAAACCATTCGTTAGGTGGTATGTGTGTGTGTTTGGGAGGGAGGTTTCGCTAAGGAGTTTATGAAAACATTGACCTCAGCGACTTTATTTGAGGATTAAAGCTTGTTGATTTAGTCGTAAGTCATTCATCCATCGATAATAAAGGAAACTTTGACAATGGGCATGGGCAGAAATGAGCTGTAATGGGAATTGGCTCCATAATTAACTGAGGGCATTCCAGCTGTGTTTCTGCAGAATATAATCTCTCCCTGCCATCTTTTGTAAAATAACACTGGGTTAACATTAGTTACTTCCGCATGACGCCCTGATCTCTCCTGAGTGGACTGAGAAGATGACAACTTCTAGACTCACACGTGACCAGACAAAGAAAATGAGGCCCTCGAGATATTCATAGGGTTGAGGGAGTCTTGGTTTAAATGATTCTCATCTTAAAATCCCTCCTGGATCATAATAATAATCCTGCATGTGATACAGAGCCTTATCATGTCTCAAAACGCTTCACATGATATACTGTAAAGTAGATTGACTGTGTATTTTTGTGGGCGAAGCTTTTAAGACTGTTTTGCCTTTCTTTTTTAAAAAACAATGTTTAAGAGTGCGCAGAATGTGGAAAATTCTTTAGTTCAGTCCAAATTAGGGATCCCTTTTTTCCGCAGTTCTTGAAAGAAACCGGTTTCCAAATTTGAATTCTGAATTGAAGAATTGGCCACAGTTTTGTGTGATCTTCAAAACTTTAGACAAAATAAGTGTTGGAAAATAACTTGTCGTTTTGACGTGTGTGACAATACCACCCTCCTCCTGTTTGATATTGGTTCGCCGTGTCCTATCTGAAAGAGGAGCCATCTAATATTCTAGTCGAATTTGAAGGGAGGCACACGACTCCTTAACTGAGAGCGCACAAGTGCCTCGAAATCAGTCGGCATATTCCAAGTGCCCTCTCTTGGTAATTCCAGGGATGATTCTGTTAATGCCAGAAAAGCATTATTATTACTGAAGGATCAAGGCACGGCACAAATCGCACACTAAAGCCAACAGTAAAGTCTCTCTCACGTCTTGATCTGTACGTCCACTATACTTGAAGGTTCTATCCCACTAGTTTCTGTTGTATCAAATGCAAGGATTATTATTTTTTATCAATAATCTCTCCTGAAACATCTCTCCTCAAGGATGGCACCTTCGACAATGCAGTGCCCTCTCCCGCCTCTCCGCCCCCCAGCACTGCATTGGAGTGCCAGCCTCGACTAAGAACTCAGTCAAAAGAACAAGAAGATCGTGTGGTACTTTGGCAAGGTGCTATAAAAATGTTCCTTCCTTCCATGGCATTAAAATAGGAAGTGAATAAAACACCACCCTGTAGCACTTTTTGTGATGTTTTCAATTGGAAAGGGCGTGTGTAAGTGAAAATTGCTGTTGTGCAACAGATGTTTGGCATCGTAATTATGCAGCTATTCTGCAGTTTTGTGTCAGCCCGGCTCGGTTGCTAGCAGTCAGTCTGTCTCGCTCCTGAAACCGAATCCTCAGTCTAGGCTGGCGCTCCAGTACGGTGGTGGAGACGCATTGCATTGTCACAGGTGCCGTCCTTCAGATGAAACTTTAACCCAAGGTCTCATCTGCCGTTCAGGTGGACATTAACGATCCTGTGATGAAGAAAAGTGAGTTTGTCCTGGCCAACAAAAAATTGGTCATTCACATGATGGCTTTTTCTGTGACGTTGCTGTCCGCAAATTGGCTCCCCGTTTGCTTACAAAATACACAGTGTATCCTGTGAAGCGCTTTAAGACGCCCTCCTGACCTGAAAGGCACTTTCCCAAATGTAAGGATTATTTACGATAAGATGTTGATGTACACAGTTGGATGTGACTTTTTTTTTGCTCTTTCTCTCTCGTTTCTGACAGCCTAAAAATCGCCATCTTATTATCTTCTGTGATCTGCTGGGAGTGGATTGTGAACAGATGTCTCACTGGCTCTGCCACAGAAAGATCATCACCGGCTCCGAGACCTACATCAAGCCAATGCCCAAACTTCAGGCCATCAATGCCAGGGATGCTCTGGCCAAGCACATTTATGCCAATCTCTTCAATTGGATTGTCAGCCATGTCAATAAAGCCCTGTATTCATCAATAAAGCAACACTGGTTCATTGGAGTGCTGGATATTTACGGGTGAGTCTGCATGGATTGCCATCTTAAATAAAAGCTAATACCTATTTATTGGGTTCCACTGGTATTTTACTGTGTCCAGGGGAAAGATTCTTGACCCAGAGGCTGAACACTGTGGGAGGATATTCTTGAAGTTCCTAACCTGCTGATTTTTTTTTTTTGGCTTTTTTTGACCAGGTTTGAGACCTTTGAAATTAACAGCTTTGAACAGTTTTGCATCAATTATGCCAATGAGAAATTACAGCAGCAGTTCAACATGGTAAGTGGTGTGTGTGTGTGTGTGTTTGTTTTTCCTTTCTGTGTTGCAAAATGTAGATACTACTTACAGCATCTCTTCCGAGCGGCCAGGTGCCTATTATTATTATTATTTATTATTCTCATCCAGTACTGTTTGTCAGATTGTACTGGATATCTGACGAGAGAATTTCCTTTGTCTCCAGCACGTCTTCAAGCTAGAACAGGAAGAGTACATGAAAGAGCAAATCCCATGGACCCTGATAGACTTTTATGACAACCAGCCTTGCATCAACCTGATTGAGGCCAAACTAGGCATTCTGGATCTGCTGGACGAGGAGTGTAAGGTAGGTCGCCCCGACTCGCTTTCAGTACAGCAGCTCTCTCTCTCCCACCACCCCACCCCCTCCCCCCGCCTGGAGGGACGCATTCTTGCTGACCTAATTTCGGGAAGTATTAGGTGCAGGTTGGCAAGAGCCAAGCTTTGGAGACCCCAGAGTGTGCGTTGGGGGGGGGGGGGGGGGGGAGCTGCTGGAGTCTAACCGCTTCCCCTTTTTTCACTCAAGATGCCCAGAGGATCTGACGACTCGTGGGCCCAGAAATTGTACAACACTCACTTGAACAAGAGCGCACTCTTTAAGAAACCGCGCATGTCAAACAAAGCCTTCATCATCCAGCACTTTGCTGACAAGGTGAGAGATTTTCAAATCCTATGAAAACGTGTGGGTAACTGCTACCAGTTCCACTTCCATTAGCTAAGCGAGACGATAATGCACTTGGGAATCTCCATTGCTGAACGATCAATGTAATCAGTGCTTTGATGCGATTACAAGACTCTTCTGTTGATCCTTGATTGTCAGTGTAAAAATCCTTCTTCAACTCTTTCTGTGTGAGCGTGTGTGTCAGTGTGTGTGTGTGTGTGTCTTCCTTTGTCTGCATCTGTTTTAATTTTTACGATAAATGCAAGAAACTGCCATTTGAAATTATAATGATGATAATCCCCGCGTTTGATTAAGTGTCTTGTCACGTCGTCAACTCGTCTCAACCACACTCAGATTTCATTTCCATAAGTGAGGGGGAATAGAATGAGTACAAAGAAGCCACGGGGCAATTATTCCTGAAACTTTATTTTGGAAGCAGTCCAGTTACATACACTGCAACGCTGCCAAGACATTAAGGTATCAGTGGATCATTTCGTAAAGCATTTATCAATGGGAAATAATTATTCTGTGCTTGAGTGCTCCGCTTGTCGTTAATGTAAAAGGAAGGAGAGGGACAAATGAACGTGGGGGATATTTCTCTTTCCTCTTAAGAAATGTATGGTTTAGGGACCAAAATAAATAGCTTGTTCCTGTTAGAATAACACCAATTAAAAATAAGCTCTGCTATTAATACAATAGTTGCAACAGCTAAGAATAATAATAATCCTTACATTTGGTAAAGTGCCTTTTTACATCGAGAGGATTCTTCGCAGGATTTACTGTAAAATGTGTCTGCTATGGTCGAACGCCCACATTATCCACATTGAATTGTATCTTTCACACTCCCCTAAAATAATAACAATAGCACATAGTGATTGTGGTGTCATGTGTGCCTATCGCTCAGGTCTATTTTGCGGTATGTTCTTGATGGGCTCTTTGTGAATCATGTTAGTTCCTGCGGGTTTCTGGTGACTCCCATTTGCACGCCCATCGATTCACTGAAACCCCCCCCACCCCCCCACACCCGAAACGCTGCAAATTTGACCCCAGCGATGCATAATTTTACAGAGGCAGCTGTTAGTTGCATCAATGCATGCCCTGCGTTTAAACACAAACGGTCCAACCTTGTAATATTGGCAGACCTCTTGCTTTCTGCAGTAGCGCAAAGTGCCATTCAGCAGCTTTGGCTCATCGGAGGCCTGCATCTTTTAAAATAGACTTTTCTACGTGAGTCTGCTGGCCTCGTGCCAACACTGCAGTGCATTAAAGCGGCGTTATTCAGCAATATTCATCCACAAGTCATGCAAATTCCACCAAACACTTTTCAAAAGATTCCACGCAGACGCTTTCAGCTCCAGAACAACAGGAACATGCGTACACTTGTTCCTCCATGGTGGGTCGCGTGGAAGTCGTGTGCGGTCACTAATGTGGGGAAAGGGGAAGAGATGAAACTGTATTAATGTCTCCTCAACGGGGGCTAAGCAGAGTCTCCTTGTAACTGAGCTGCCTCCAAGGTGACATGATTGTTACATGACATTGTCAGCACTCTCGACAAACTTGCGATGATGCCTTTGGTCGGCCAGACCCAACTTTCCTGCTCAAAGTTTCTGGTTCGAATCTATTTGAACCGAAAGCTGTTCTGGAGAGCATTGCCAATCCACTGAACCGATACCTCGGGACCTTCCTTTCTGACCGTGTGTCTAAACCTGGCGGCCTTTCCGCAGGTGGAGTACCAATGCGACGGATTTCTGGAGAAGAACAAAGACACTGTGTACGAAGAACAAATTACTGTGCTCAAGACAAGCAAGGTTAGTCTGCAGATTCCCTTCCGAGCTTCCTCGCTGATACGAAAGTCTAGGTCTGGTTTTATTTCAGCTGTTTTCTCCTTTGATCTTCTTTTTGGAGCTGGTTTTCTCTTTCTGCTCCTCCTCCTCTGCTGATTCTTTGCTGGTGCTAACCCCGCTGATTGAGCAAAGCACAAATGCTCTGTCTCCTGTGGCTGGTTTGAGAGCTGCGTTGACCAAGGCCTCGTGTTTGCAATGTGCTGAGTGGATCCTGGGAGCAGATTTATGTCCCTTTTCCAGGATTGATGTGTATCCTGGACCACGGTTTTCCCGAGAAAGAAGAGAAGGGAAAGGGGAAAGGAACTGGTTGATAGATAAAGGGATAAAATCCTAATTCAATTAAATGAATGTAGCATTTCCAAGTGCACCAAATTTGACAAACTGTTGAATTTAGTTTCGACTTTGCAGCCCATCTTCCGTAGTTTTAAGAATTTCGACAAATTTTGGTCGCTCTGAAATGCTGCGTTAAGAACAAATTGATGGGAAAGAGTGGAACAAATTGTGTAAAATATTTTGGGTTTGTTTGCTTTTTTTAAAAAAAGAAAATTATGTATAATTAAACTTGCTTCTTTTGGTGGTATTACATAGAGCGACTGAAAAGTTTAGCTAAGTTTTGACTATTGGGTGATAACGACATTCATTAACCTTGGACGGGCTGTGAGTTGAAGGGCATTAGATGGGTTGGCGGAGAAAGACTCGATACAATGGGAAATTCATCAAAAGCAATGCTGCAAAGCTCAGGGCATTTGAGGATGGTGTTGGATTCTGGTTGGCTGTGATTTTGAATTTGTTTGTAATCGTGTTTGTTGTTCTTTTCTGCTCTTTTGACGGACACGGTTGGTTGTCTATTCTTCAGAAGGTAAAATAACAAGACCCTCACCCTCCAGCTTGCATTATTGACTGCTCAGTGAGATGCCCAATGTAATGAAACTGTAGCCACAAGACTGTAGCCCCTGATTTCTCGCCACTTTATGAACGTTGCTTGATCACCTTTTGTGCATGTGAATGATGAATAATACTGGAGGCACTAACCCACGTTGCAATGTTTTAATGGATAAGCTGCTAAGAACACTTGCACCATGTGTGTGTTTTTTTTAAAAAAAAGTTTGCCCCAGTTTTTTAATGTAAAGATAAATAACATTACCTGTATAAGCAGGAGAACTCTACTTTCTTCTCCCCTGTAGTTTAACAAATCAGATGCTGGATATTGACTTGCAATATGCAGCGAGCAAAATGATATGAACACAGTCCTTGTACAGTTATTTCTGCAGTGGTTGCTTGCATTGCATGATGTATGTTCGTGGTTGTACGGCACATGGGCTCTAAAGTTATGTGGATATTGGGGTGTAAAATGCGGTTTGGGCTAATAGCCCACAGGTTATGACTGAGTTCAAACGCATACAAGTGCATACATCCTCGCTGATATTGCTTAACCTAAAAAGGCTCCCGAGATTCTGATCGAAAGATCTAATAAAATGGACTGGGTTCCAAGTACTTTTCTTGTTCTACGCTCTTGAGATTCAGCCCTCCGAGATATTGCGCCGTGTGAAGGGCACTGCACAAATACAAGTTGTTGTTGTTGTATGTTCCTTATCATTACCATTGATTAATTGCAAAATTAAGGCCCACTGAGTTTGCTTAAACAGGTTAGCCTGTGGGCTATTAGCCCAAACCCTGCATTTTACAGCCTTTGGACAAATAAGCCACACAGCTCAGTCTTAGCCCGCGAGAGCATTTTGTCTTTAAATTCTGAGATTGCCCAGAATGGTGGATAATTTACAATACCGCTGCTCATAATAATCCTTGCGTTTTGACAAGGTGCCAAAGTGCTTCGCAGGATTTTAGCGTCGAGTGTAGTGACTGGATGGTTTTGCCGGGGTTGGTGGGGGGGTAGGGGGCTGGTGCTTCGGAAGCCAGGAGGCTACCAAACTGAGGTTGAAAGTGAAGAATTTTTGCACAATTCTTCACGGCCTTAAATTCGGTGGGGGCGGGGGATGGGGGGGAGGGGGAATGGCGTTGCTGCAGGGTAAGACCGGCTGGAATTCCAGGCCTCGGTGCACGAGGCAGTAGGGAGCACTGAGCCGAGATTAACAGGGGCTCGAGCACTGAACTGGGCAATCAGTCGCTGCAAAGCTCACGAGCAATGGAACTCTGATTTCTGAGCCGAATAGGAAAGGTTGTTGGGTGTGTGTTTTGGGTGGGGGGGGGGGGGGGGCGGGGCTTGTCGTCGCCGTTGTTGTTTGTAACTTCTCTCTTGTGCATTTGGCCCGAAACCAGTTCAGCCTCATCATGGAGCTCTTCCAACTCGAGGAGCCAGTCATCAGCCCGACTGGAGGAAGGCCCCCCGTTGCCAGAGCGACCGTCAAATCCGCCAAACCCAGAGCCCTGCAACCGAGCAAAGAGCACAAGAAATCGGTGGGACATCAGGTGAGCCCAGCGCCATCTGCAGGGACTATCTGCCTTCACAGCGTCTATCTGGGTCGGCAAACACACAGCCCTCGCGCACGGACCCTAAATAGTCTTAGGGGTTTGGGTTTTTTTGGAAAAAAAAAGACTCGCCCTTTTATCATTGTTCTTCTTCTTATTATTATTATTTCGAGCAGCTGCGAAAACTAGAAGTTGAAACCAGGAATTGGTGGAGATTTCACACAGCGACTGTTGGGTTTTCATAGAATTTTAAGACCCCCGCTCCTGTCGAAATCAGTGAAAGCGTTTCCGCCTCGTTCCTCCTCGAACAGCTTTGAAGTGTTTTACGTCAGGGGCTTGTCATGGTTCAACAGGATTCGGAAGAGGAACCTCTGCTGCTTCTCAGCAGTGTTTATCGCAATCGGTATTTGCACAACAGGGTTGAGAAGAGAGAAGGGAGTTTCCCTCCGTGTGCCCACCCCCCACCCCATAAATATTGTTCATTTACGTCACGGCAGTTTGTCGGACATTGAAGCGCAATCAATCCATCCATCTCACCCCCTCTCTCGCGTCCTTCAAGTCCTGTCTAAAGACCTCCCTCTTCGACCGCCGTTCCCTCGGCCACCCTTCCACCACCACCACCCTTGCCCTCCGTACCACCTGACCCCAACTCGGGTCCAAAAATCCCTGATGGTCAAGCGCCCTGGGACGTCTTCCGACGTGAAGGGCGCTATACAAGTGTAATTTGTCGTTCTTGTTGCTATGTGCGAATTGGCTGCCACCTTTTGCCTGCAAATATTAGACACAGTCAGTACACTTATAGGACACCGTGAAGTGGTTTGGGATGTTTTGATGTGATTAAGCTCTATTGTAAAATGCAAGGATTATTGTGATAAAAGTGCAAGTGTGTGTTTTTTTCCCCCCAATCCCCTAAAACGTTCGGCTTAACGCTGGGGAGGGTGTGTTGCTGAACTGCGATACGATAGCGCCAATGAGGTCGAGCTCCTGAAGTGGAGAAGAATGATCCGCTGACAGTTTCGTGAGGAAATCAGCAGTGCTCACTAAAAAAAAATCAATCAAACCGTGTTTGAAAAAAATATGTACAGTAATACTTCGCAGACGTCTGATCTGTATAAGTCACCCTAAGTCTTCCCGAGTCCCTGTTTAAAAGTTTATATTTGATGCAAGTTTGACATAACTCATTCTTTGCATAAGTCATATTGAATGTATGGTCCCAACTGATACGACTTGTGTGAGGTTTACTGTATATATACATATAATTTCCATATCCTCACTAATTCTTGCTAATATGTTGATTTCTTGCAGTTTCGTAACTCCCTTCACCTGCTGATGGATACCCTCAATGCTACAACCCCTCACTACGTGCGATGCATTAAACCCAATGACTACAAGTCTCCTTTCACGTAAGCAGAACCGAATGCGTTCTCATTCCCCCAGTATTGTTATTACTAACTCGTGGCGTTGTGTTGAAGCACTTTGCGTTGGTGCCTTCTCGTGGTTTAAGCGTTAGTTGTTGCGAATGTTTGCAGTTTTACGATACCGATCGCCTGCGTTGCTCTCGGTCTGGTCGGGAGAGCACCTCGATCCCGTGCAGCGCTTTACACGCTGGATGATCGCTTCAAAGCTCCTCACAATGACAGAATCACCAAGAGATCCCGAGAACAGGGGCGATCGTGTCTGAAGGCTGAGCCACTGATGGTGAGAGGGAGGGACTGAAGAGATCCTTTTAACGCAACCCTTGTGATCAGAGCTAAGCAGTTACCAGCTTTGGGCCCGAGCTTTGTTTCCTGGACCCATTGACTCCGACCGAGGACCTTTTGGTCTGTACAACTCTGTGCCACACCAAGCAATCCCTTTAGCCACAAGGTCATTGGGGAGCCCCTCGATGGATCAGCTTCCTCGGTGCGGAGCAAGGCTCGGGTAGCTCGCTGATAACTGCACATTTCTACCTTAACGTTAACGTGATCCAAAACGTCTCTCCACAGGTTTGATCCCAAGCGAGCAGTGCAGCAGCTTCGAGCCTGTGGTGTACTGGAGACCATCAGGATAAGTGCTGCTGGCTTCCCATCGAGGTACTGTAAAAACCTCCGACGTACCTTTTTATTGTGTTGTGAAGCGGGTCAGACTCTTGTCAAGTGGAAAAGGCTGGAGACTGGGATTAAACAAGTGGTTGTTTCAGAGCCAGCACAGCCCGCGATGGGCCTAATGACCTTCTGCGTTGTAAGTTTCTATGATTCTCCACGGAGCTGTGAACATTTTCTCAGTGGCGGGTTAAACTCCAGCAGCAACGCAAGCCTTAGCTCATTGCCAACCTGCACCCGATATTCTCAGGAATTAGGTAAACAGGATGCATCCCTCTGGGGAGAGAGTGCGCGTTCTATTCCAGACACAGGGAAAGTTTCCATGTGTAGGTGTCATACACACAGTAGGAAGTCAGGGTCTGATTTGGATACTCTTTAAGCACGGTGCGTCAGATATAATAAAATAAATGGAGTTGTGCTTCAAAGGGTTTACGTTTTCACACGTTGAAACCGTTTGGTCCAAAGTTGTGGGAGAAACGTTGTTATTCACTGAGACTTGCGTTTCTCAGGTGGACGTATCAGGAGTTCTTCAGTCGCTACCGGGTCCTCATGAAGCAAAAAGATGTTCTAAACGACAAAAAGCAGACCTGCCGAAACGTCTTGGAAAAACTGATAAAGGTGATGCTTCATTGTTTTGTTTTTTTTGTCTCTGCTCTTTCCCCTCCCACGGAGTTTGACGCCTTCAGGACAGGGGGAGGCAGACGGAATGGGAAGTAGGGTTGGGGATGGGGGGGTGGGGAAGAGAAGACACCTTTTTCCAATGTCCACCTGTACATGCCTCTACTGAAGATCACTTTATAGCGATCACTAGTGGAATTTCTGGCTGATTCCTGGACCTTAAAAAACAATTTCTAACCGGCAGCCAATTGCGCACAGCAGTGTCTCACAAACAGTCATGGATTGAAGTAACTAATTTATTATAATTATTATTATTATTATTGACTATATTTTTTGGGAGAAACGCAGCAGCCAATTGGTATTTCTGGATGGTGATGTTGATGTTGATCTCGATCTCTGCTCCCGTCTGTGTGTGTGTGTGTGTGTGTGACGTACAGGATCAGGACAAGTACCAGTTCGGGAAGACAAAGATTTTCTTCCGGGCGGGGCAGGTGGCTTACCTGGAGAAGATCCGAGCGGACAAGCTGCGGGCCGCCTGCATCCGCATCCAGAAGACCATCCGCAGCTGGCTTCAGAGGAAGAAGTTCCTGCGTATGAAGAGGGCAGCCATCACCATCCAGAGATACGTCCGGGGCTATCAGGCCAGATGGTGCGTCTCCTTTCTGACTGGCTAATAACAATAAGGCCCTACGTTCCCTCCATCGGTGGCCGCGCTCTCAGCCACCACGGCACTCTGGAACACTCTTCCTCTATCCTTCCGCCTTGCCCCCACCCCACTCCCCTTCCCCCCTTCCTTCCCCATCTTCAGCTCGCGCCTGAAGACCTTCCTATTTGATCGTGTCTGCGGTCACCTCCGCCCTTCTCCTCGAGCGCTCTGGGACACTACCCTGCGTGAGGGGCGCTATATAAATGCAAGCTGTCGTTGTCAATAATAATAATAATAATAATAACAATCCTCATCCTTGCGCTTGATTTAGCGCCTCGTCACGTCCTTGTGGGCGAAACGCAAACCCGTTTGCATCAAATTTGTAAACTGATTGATTACTTATTAATTGCTGAATCGATTAATTCATTTCCTATAAGAAATGGACCATCAATTGATAATCAACAAATCGCGCTTGGGGCACGTTTTTCTTCGGAGCGCTCCGAGACGCCGCCCGTGTGAAGGACGCTATATAAATGCGTCGTCGTCGTAGTTGTTGGTTGCTTCTGAAAGCTGATGTGAAAGGTCACCCTCCTGTTCTGTTTCCCCAGCTATGCTCAGTTCCTGCGCAGGACCAAAGCGGCCGTCACCATCCAGAAATACCAGCGCAAGCACGCAGCTCGGAAACGCTACCTGCACGTCCGGGCCGCGACCATCGTCATCCAGTCTTTTGTCCGCGGTTACCGAGGGAGGCGACTGTTCAGAGGAGTAAGTGGCTGCTTGGTTAAGCTTGGCTGAACCTCCATGTTTGTTTGTTTGTTTATTTGTTATCTTTTTCCCCCGTGTTCGAGCGCGATGGAAGCCGAATGACTTCGCAGCTGCGCTGGTGTTCTGCGTGAGAATTCAGGGCGAGGAGCTGTTGGGTTCCACGTCAGCGTACGAGCGGGCTTTATCTCTAACCAAAGCGCTCCGAGACTCCGGCCCGCGTAAAGGACGCCGCATAACTTGCAAGTTATTGTCATCGAGTGACATTCGTTTGTTCCCCAAAACAGGTTCTGCGTGAGCAGAAAGCCACGGTTATTCAGAAGCAGGTGCGGGGCTGGTTGGCGAAGCTGAGGTACAGGCGGACGCACGCGGCCATCATCTACCTGCAGTGCTGTTACCGCCGCATGATGGCCAAGCGGGAGCTGAAAAAGCTGAAGATCGAGGCCAGGTCCGTGGAGCACTACAAGACCCTCAACATAGGCATGGAGAACAAGATCATGCAGCTGCAGTGCAAACTCAACGATCAGGTAACCTCCTACCCCCGACACTTCGGATCGATCTGGTCACTGTGATGCGTTCGCGGCGAAAGTCACGCGGTCGTTATTTTTTACCCGGGGGGGCGGTGGGGGGGTGTCACTTGAACTCCGTGGGGTTTGGAAGGACATGAGGAGGGGTTTTGAGAGAGTGAAACGGGAGAAAACTGTTTCCTCTGGCGGGTGGGTCGGTAACCAGCTCCCACCGATTCAAGATAATTGGCGAAAGAACCAGAGGGGAAGGTGAGGAGAGTTTGTTTTCAACACACAGAGCTGGAATGCACTCCCTGTGCCATGTTCCCTGTTAGATTGGGGAACGCAAACTCACCGTGTCCATCTTGTATAATGAATGGTCGTCGATCCACAAGGGTGTGTGTGTGTGTGTGTCAGTTAACGGGTCGCTGACAGCAGTTTTTGCCTCCTTTATCGCAGAACAAAGAGGTCAAGGCCATGGTCGAAAAACTGACCTCTCTGGAGACCAGCTCCACCAACGAGAAGGAGAAGCTGCGGTCCGAGGTGGAGCGACTGCGAGTCAATGAAGAGGAGGTCAAGGTGGCCTCCAACAAGGTCATCAGCTTACAGGAGGAGATTGTCATACTCCGCAAGGACCTCAAGGAAACCCAACGCCAGAAGAAACAGCTGCAAGAACACACGGATAAATACAAACAGGAGACTGAAGTGGTGAGGTTCCAGCTGTGATTCTGCGTTTAGCTGTAGGTGATTAGGGCACAGTGACCAGAAAAAAACGTGTTTTTTCTCAAAAAAAACATCCTTGCATTAGATCTTGCACGTTTCACGTCAGGAGGACGTTTCAAAGCGCTTTACGTAATACAGTAAAACCTCACGTAAGTCGAACCGGTTTGGGACCATACATTTAATATGACTTATGCAAAGTATGAGTTATGTCAAATTTGCACAGAATACAAACTCTCGAACTGGGCTTTTGGCCATATATACGATTTAGGCGATTATACGATCGATACGGATCAGAATTTATTGTATAATTCACTTCATGGCTGTTCACAGGACACTGATGTGGCAATTTGCCTGTTGTGTTTCACCTACAAAAAACACAGTCACTATACAGCAAATCCTGTAAAGCGCTTTGTGATGTCCTCCTGAAGTGAAAGGCTTATTATATTAGACAGTGACCCCTTTGCAGTGCACTGGGTGACCTATGTTCTGTCAGTGAGGATGTTACTAGCATGATGGGTGCAATAGCTGACTAGGTTGCTGTTCTCTTCAGTGGTAACCTGAGTGAATGGTTTGGCGGTGGAAATAGAGGGATGTTTGAGGATTGCAAAGTTGATGGGGTTAAGAGGACAGGGCGATGGCTAGGACGATTAAACAAAAGATGCATTCCTTTCCTCAGATGGTTTCCAAGCTGAACGAGCAGAATGTGCTACTGAAGAATGAGAAGGATGATCTGAACCGGCTAATCCAGGAACAGGCCAAAGAGATGACAGGTGAAGTTCTGTGTCTCTCGCTGTGTCAAAGCACGAAGCTCTTCTATATATTAAGCCTTCAGAGTTGTTAATGATTCTATCGTCATTTGTCCGGTGGCAAAACATTTCCCCCTAAATATTTTTTTCCCCCCAAGAATTTCTGATCTGAGTCGGTTGTTGCAACGGATGTTCGTAGCTTCAGCCTGGTTCGATGTGGCTTTGGTTCTTCACACCTCAGCACCTCTCCAATCTCTCCGACCGCCTCCAACCCATTCCACTTGGCTAACCCAGTCTTGCTGCATGTCCCCAGCCAATTCTACACCCCTATCTGGAACTTTCCCTCACTCAAAGAATCTGTCTGTCACTCTCTTTCAGTCTCAAATCCCTCCATAAAACCTACCTCTTTGTCTGTGTATACAGTCACCTCCCCTTTTCCCTGCTCGCCCCTGCACAACTTCCATCCCGAACACTGTAAAGCTCTCCAAGACGCTGCTCTTCGCGAAGGGCGCTATATAAATGCAAGTTGTTGTTGTTGTCGGTGTTATGGACGCTCGTGTGGCTTCTGTTTGCAGAGACCATGGAGAAGAGAATAGAAGAAGAGACCAAACAGCTCGAGTTTGACCTCAATGATGAAAGGTCGAGGTACCAGTCTCTGCTGAACGAGTTCTGCCGTCTGGAGGAACGCTACGACAACCTGAAAGAGGACATGTCACTGATGGTAAGTGCCTTGGAGATCTCTCAATCCAGAGAATGGAGACTTCAGCCTAGTGTACAATTCTGCAGTTATCTGCTCGGATTGTTCTATTGTGAGCGGTGTCTCGGATGGAGAAGGCTTTTTGGCCCATTTCATTTCATCCTTCCAGAATACCCACCCTTTCTTCCTCCCATCCCAGTATTAAGCTGTTCCTCAAACGAGTCCTGGCCTTAACCACTCTTCCTAGTCACCCTTTCAGCTGTTAATTACTCTGTTTAAGATCTGTCCCCATTGTGACTGGGTGCCCTCTCGCCCCGAGGTTTTGGCCTGTCTGAAAGTCTCTACAAGTCATTGTGAAGCTCTTTTTGTTGCAGGCAGCAATGGGTTTGATATAATTCCCAATCACGAGCCATTAATTTGTTGTGTGTGTGTATATATACACATACATTACGGTAAACCTGCATCAAGTGACAACCTTATGAGCTCTCAATCGTCCATTGTCGTCTTCCAAATAATTGGTGTGAAACGGTCTGTGTTTCCAGAGCGCCCCGAAGCCCGGCCACAGAAGGACGGACTCGACCCACAGCAGCAACGAGTCGGAATACACCTACAACTCTCTGCTGTCATTGGAGGCCGGAGAATCCGAGGAAACCACCAGGAGAACCGAGGTTGGCGTCGTTTGTTACTAAAGTCTCGATTGTCCTCAGTAACCCACCACCAGCCCATGTTGGAGCCCACGTATCAACACGCGTGTACTGCGCGCCACATGCGTGGAGGAAGATGGAAACGTGTGCCCTTGAGTATTTAATTAACAACCAGTGAATTTTAAGGGCAACCGTAATTCCCATTGAACAGTCGTGTTTTACAGATAGTGAACAATACACGTAATGCACCCCATAATATTTGGCACCGAGGTTCGATTGTTTGATGCGGTGGATCTCATTTACTCTTTTCCCATTCTGTTTGAGCCAACCTTTTTTTTTTTTTTGCTTGCATTGTCCTAGGAATTTGCTGAGCAGAAGGGAGCCTTGGACATGTCCCTCTTCCTAAAGCTGCAAAAGCGCGTCACCGAGCTGGAGCAGGAGAAACAGTCGTTACAGGAAGAGCTGGACGGCAAAGAGGAGCAGGTGCTGAGAAGCAAAGCCAAGGTGATGCCCCCGAACCCGACCGCTCTTCAGTTTATGTGAACTGACGTTATCTGTACTTTGTGTGACGGCTGAAGCATTATCCCGTTGCCTCTGTCAGCTTTCACGTGTCACACAGTGGCTCTCGCACTGTTTAAGCTACACGTTGAGCTTGGTGAGCTCAGTTGGTAGAGGTCTCGTCACTGAACCTGAAAGGTTGAGGGTTGAAGCCGAACAATGTGACCTCGGCTCATAACCGTGGCTGACACTCCAGTGCAGTCCTGCCTGAGGGAGTCTGATCTGACCCTCTAGTGCAGTACTTTGGAGTCTCGGTTCATGCTCCAGCGCAGTAGTGGGGGAAGTGCTGCATTGAGACATTCAACCAAGGTTCTTTCCGCCTGTTCCTGGCCAACAATTCTCCAGATTAAATAGTCATTAAATGTTGACTATTTATACTATCTTACTACTGCCAATAGTTGGAAGAGTTTGCCCACAAAGCAGTCACTCTACTTGACATTAGTTACATGATTTGCTGTGATAAAAGGCCTGTAAAAAGTTCTCTCTTGGAGATGGGATTGTTCTGCCCTAGTGGATGGTGGTCAATGCCCTCTGGTGGACGTTGTATCTTCTGCTCGCTGGCCTTTCTTCAGTGATGATGGGTTTTGGTGATAATTCCCACATTTGGTGCAGCACCTTTCGCTACAGGAGGACATATTAAAGCGCTTCACAGGATTTACTGTAAAGTGTCACGATCGTGTATTTCGTAGTTGAACGCAGCAGCCAATTTGTGTGGTCTGCTCATGGGAGGGTGGGGGAGAAAATACACACATCAACCCATCCCAGATGTTCACGTTTCACAATTTAACCAGCAATTCGTGACAACAAGTAATGGGCTTATTTTCTAACTGTATTTTTGCAACTAAGGAAAACAACTCTATCAAAGAGGGGGTGAAAATGAAAGTGTTTCAACCTCTATGCTGCTTATGGGAGCATTAAATTCACTGCAGCTATACCTCTTTACGTTCTTCAATCTAACAAAGAGAATAAAGAGGTACAAATCTTCGGACGAAACTGGGACATATTAAATGGAAATATAGATTGTATCTCCCCAAAGAGGCTAGAAGTGGAAAATAGAATTACTTGAAATTTAGTGTCGTAATGAATCGTGTTATATTAAATTTTTTTATTAACAAATGTGCTTTGTTTGTGACTCTCACCAGGAGGCAGAGGAACAAATGTTAAAGGCTAGGGGAGTGGAACTGGAGTACGAATCCCTCAAGGTAAGATGATGCTGGGTGCGATCCTATTGCTGCATTGCTCGGAAATGAGGACTATTGATGACCTCAATGATACCAATTACCTGGTGCGAGGAATAGCTGCTCTAAAATCGATAACACTTCAGATCAGTGATCTGAAAGCTCCTCGTCTCATTTGCCATTTCCCCATGTCGACACCCTGGCTATGTCTCGTGGTTCACAGAGTGGACGGAGGATATGCTGTACAAGTTCAAGACTAGTTTTAAGTTTTGCCCCAATGTGCAGGAATAAACTGCCTACTGTGGTTATTGAGTCAAGTGCAATTAAATGGTAGACGTTCCTTGCCAGGTGTGAACCTAAGGAACACCAGCAGCTCCCCCTAGTGCTGCAATGGACAAATTTTCCTTGTGGAAAGCACATAAAGTTAATAATGTACCTAACAATCGCATTAACCTTCTGCTTATACGTAACTCTTCACTTTCATGGCTGTGATAACAGTAACAGTGATCCTCACGTTTGGAATGGAGCTTTTCATGTCTGGAGGAGGTCCCAAAGGACTTCACGGGATATACTGCAAAGCGTAGTGACTGCGTTTGGTTCCTATTGCTGGCCCCATTTCCAATGTTGTTTCTAATCCCCTTTGTGCGGACGGGATATTTAACCTTTCACCAATAAATGAGTCTGACATTCCAATCCTCACACTCGATGCAAAGGAATTCTTGCAACTCATTTACTTGTATAAATCAAGTAAATTTGGGACGATAACAGAACATTTTTTTCTTCAAAATAAATTACGTTTGATGTAGCCCTTAATATTGGCAAATCGATGGCTGCCCGTACCATCATCAGGACAGAGTGGACTAGGATCTTTGCTATCTTATCTGAACCACTAGAAAAGTACCTCCATTTAATGCTTCATAGGAATTAATGACCAGGTATGGAAAGTACTCAAAAGTTAGGATGCTTCCCTTGTTATTTCCATTCCCCAGCGGCAAGAACTGGAGTCCGAGAATAAAAAGTTAAAGAATGATCTGAACGAACTGCACAAAGCTCTGACTGAGAAGCCCACGCCTGGTGTCACGGCCCCTGGCTCGCCCGCCTACAGAGTCCTCATGGAGCAACTGAATTCATCCAATGAGGAGCTGGAGGTCCGTAAGGAGGAGGTCCTCATCCTGAGGTCTCAGCTTGTCAGCCAGAAAGAAGCCGTCCGGCCCAAGGTACATTGGATTGATGGAGAAACCGTATTACATTCCGTTCCTTTAATTCAGGGAGGGTCCAACCTTTTGGCCGCTGAGGACCGGATGCTGGATTTGAGAAACGTCCGCAGTCCTCATCAGCAATATCTTATCCCGATTGGCCAGTCCCATTGCCGGGCGGAGCCTGAGACCCTGGTGACGGTCTCCTGATTGGCTCGGGGCCTTCGTGTCCCCTATATTTGCTCGTCGGACAATGAAATCATCCCCTTCCTGGGCCAGATGCGGCCCATGGGCCGCTAGTTGAGCCACCCTGACTTAAATCAACCACAAAAAAAGCCTTTTATCGCAGCAATTCAATTCTGTTCCGCAGTTGAATTTCAGGCACTATGATAATTTTAACCTTGCTCTCTCTTGTTCTCTCCCTCCACACCACTCGCTGCTCACTTCCAGGAGAACAAGGTAAAGATTATTCAGATCTTGTTTTACTTTTTACCGTAGCATTTTAATGGGGGTTGATTTTGTTGGCGTTACAAGACTCCAAAGTCCTAAGGGCACCAAGACATTACCTGATGGTCCAAGCGGTGTTTGGTGGGATTCTCAATGAGTCTGTTATTGCAGGAGGTTATGACGGAGCCAATGCTCTTCATGGAAGACGTGCACAAGATGAAGGATCAAGGTGAAATAACCCAGGCGTACATTGGACTCAAGGAAACCAACAGGTAACTGCTCAGGGAGAATGTGCATGTGCTTTAGAATTAAATCACTGTGTACCTTCACACCCAGATTTTCTGCAGTTAACGAAGGGCGTTTTTGAGCTGTACCAATGGCACGGTACCTCTGGCCTCTTATCCTGCAAAGTATTGTTTTGGATTTACTTTTATCTTAAGCATCTTGTGTATCCCTAAAAGACATCACTTTAGCTCATCCCGGTAACAATGGGAACATCTGTACAATAATTCTATGTTGCTTTAACACAGCATCCTGTGGGGAAAGTAGATGTTAAATTGTTTACAAAGTCTGAAAGTTATTAGTAAAATTCTATTCAACCACAGTTATACCTGAGTTAGCTGCTGGTGGTGGTGCTGTAGTTGACTTGAGCATCCGAGGATCAAGGAAAGGAAATTCCCTGGATTAAGAGCACCCTTTTAGGATTTGGGATACAATGAAATGAGAGTCAAACACCTTCAGGAAAGTCGAAAGTAAGAAAATTGAGAGAGTGAAACATAAGAGCTCCAGATATTTCTAAACGTTACTTTCATTGTTGTGTATGAAGAGTCTGCAGTGACTGCCGTGGCCTGTGAAAGGACTTTCATGTTCTTGTGGCCTTTTTAAGATGCTTTAGTCTTTGATTAGCCCAGGGGACCTGGGAGTATCAGGTTTGCGTTGAGTACCTAGAAAGAGATTTCTGATACAATCTAACAGGAGAGTAGTCAAATAACTAACTCAGTCCCCGGATTCTTTTCAGGCCTGAAAACATTTGCACTGAAAGAGTAAGTCTCACATTATCCCATTGAATACGAAATTGATTACAAGCCATATCTTGTAATCTTCTTCCCACACCTCCTTCGCTTAATCTGCCAAACGATCGAGGAAAGTTCTCATCTCTCTGGTCCAACCAGTTTTTCATGTATTCAGTTTCAGTGGGACAATGAAATGGCATCGGTAAAATTTAACAGCAGGGATCGGTACAGTTTAGTACAGTATTATTAACCCTGCAGAACTAAATAACCATTTTCAAAATTCTGAACGCATTTGAGAAGAGAGATAGTGAAAGAGTAATCCCCACTGGATAAAAAACCTGACTGCACTTTGAAAGGTCTTTTTAAATGGTTGAAATGTACTGTATGGATGGGGCGGGGGGGGGGAGTGGGGAGGGGAGGAGATGAGAGATGCCCCCGCTTGAGACAGTTTTCAGCACACTTTGATGCAGTCATCAGAAGGTTTCTGATGGGTTTCCCATCAGAAGAAGCACACCACGGCAACAACATGGACTTTTCCGTATCAGGAGGATGTCCCAAAGCCCTGGACAGTCAGAGATCCGCACCCGGGAGTATTTATAGAGTGTTTAACGAAACGCAGCTTCATCCTTCTGTGTCATTTGTTTGCTTCAGGGTCTGGAAAGTTCTTTTAACCGTGACAACAGGGAGACGATGAAATCTCTGCGAAACACTTTCCAGTTGCATATCTGTGGCGGCCACGGCCTAACAATTGCCCACTCCCTTGGAATTGTTTTGCCGGGTAAACCTGAACCAACACAATACAAAACACACCTTCACAACATTGTCTCGTTTGGTCCTAACGTGCGGGAGTCCCCATTGTCTGTTGCCATCACGTTTTGCAGTGTTGTCGTTAACATTTCATGCTCATTCCCATCACGTGTCCTCTTTCTGTTTCTGCATTTGTGTTCACATTGAAGATCCCCACAAGACTACCACACGCTGAATGAGGACGGAGAGCTCTGGCTGGTTTATGGAGGGTTAAAACAAACCAACAGGTTACCAAATTTACACCCAGGGCCTTGCTTACACAACGCACTGTGTTCTTCACTAACCAAAGGCCTTTGCTGTGTACATGCAGCACAGAAGTATGCTTCAGCCCACTTCAATATTAACACTGGAAACTCCGGGGATATAGTACTCTAGTGAAATTCATTCATCTGGAATAATAACAACAACAACTTGCATTTATATAGCGCCCCTCACGCAGGTTAGCGTCCCAGAGCGCTCAACTAAAGTGTGTTCACAAAGCTTAGCGCTGGGAGATTGGAGTTGTTATCATCAGCGTTTATTGTAGCAATTTGCTCGTTAGCTTTGTCATCTAGTTCAGAGAATCACATTGAACAGAGTAAGTCAAACATCATCATTACTCAGTTTCTTGGGGGCGAGGGGGCAAATGAAATAAAACATTTCAGATGATTTCCTCCTTTTTTTTTGGAGTGAATTTTTAGTTCCGAGAAAAAGAATTGGTTTGTTTTCAGACTGTGGAAAGATGTAAAGTAAGGGGTTGAACTTTATCTCAGTTCCTCCTCATCATGAGAGCCTGGGTCTGATTAACACCAAAAACTTCAGTTGGGAGGGTTGGATACCGACAGTTGGTGTCTGAAACAGCAATCCCTAAAAAAACCTAATAGCAAAATTTCACCAAGGTTCTCCTATTATAAATTCCTCCCCTGTAGCTGAAATACTAATCTAATTGGTACCTACCTGTTCTCAGCCTTGGGTTTCTCCAGTTCCTCGCCTGTCTCCTTCTTTGAAACTATGCAAGAAAATGCAGGGCAAAGCTTTGTTGCTATGACCACTCATTTCGACGACTGAAACCCGCTGCCTGCAAGGACTCAGTTTCGCTCCACTGTTGCAAGAAGCCTGAAATTGGTGCTCTACGTGGTTAAACTCTCAAAGTGTTGTCCACAAGTATTGGGCTATTTGGTAGCTCTTCCGTTACGAACAGCCGTTCAATAATTGCAAATACAGTAAATGCCCGATAACTCGTCGCTGCTGGGGAAAAAAAGATTCTGTGACGAGTTATCAGGAGCGGCGAGCGAGGCATATGTATAAATACAGAAATAAATGCGTACAGGGTAGTGGTAGTGACAAGTTAAGCCAGGGTCGAGTTATCAGGAGTTTACTGCAAACCTGAAGCTGAAACTAACCGGCATCCCGGTAAACATTTAAATTTTCTGAGCGTTTTAATTGCGTCCCTCTTACTTGCCTGCAACACTTTGAAGCGTTTAAAAGAGGGTCACGGCTTTACCTTTCCTTTCCGTTTGGCCCGAGGAGAGCACAGAGTATGGCTGCTTGTTAAGCCTTTGGGTGATTTGGAATCAGTCGCCAGCGGTGGTCAGTCATCCAGTCGTGTTGCTTGGGACGAATTTATTTAGCGCCACTGTTTGTGCTATTGTCCTCTGCAGGTTGCTGGAAAATCAGCTTCAGGGCCAGAAGAAGAATTATGAGAACGAGATGGAGATCTTGCGGGGTGAGATCCAGACTCTCAAGGAAGAGATAAATCGACAGCAGCAGCTGTTGGCTCAGAACTTGCAGCTCCCACCCGAGGCTCGAATCGAGGCCAGTCTGCAACACGAGATCACCAGGTTAACCAACGAGAACCTCGTAAGTATTACCTCCCTCGTCCGGCTAGCAACACTCGGAAAGATTAGACCGTCTGGCGGTGTAATTCACAGAGCGAACCTGTTTCCATCCTTAGCTGCCGGTACACCCACAAGCCATAATGATTGACTTCATACTGTTTATCATTAAACGTGCAAGGTGCCAGCAGAATTATCTTAGCATCACTGCAGCCGTTGAAAATTTGACCCCACTATTAGAACGATAGCTTGATCCTTCATTACGTGTTCAGATAATGATAACACAATAGAAGGGAAATTAATTTATCCATTGACTTTAATTGTACAGTAGCCTCTCCAGGTTGGTTTTACACCTTGTAACTTGAGATGCGTAAATTGCTCTTCTATTGTGATTGATCAGATCATTTCCTGTCACGCTAAAGACACTCAAACCTTTCTTTCAATGGCTGCATTTTTGTTTCAAGACTTCTGCCAGTCTATGCATGCGAATCACTCACTTACGTGGTACCAAGCATCTTAGCAAAGTACACAAAACAGTGATGTGTCTATCTCGTCCCCGCCAACACAATAATGAATCATCGATGACTCAATTGCATGTTTGCACATCTGTCTTTAGAGATAAGGAAGCCTTGCCTACAGTGAGAGAAAGAAACCTAAGTTCCCATCCTATCCACTTAGAAGACCCATGGCCTTTTTGTAGTGAACATCATCATTAATTGCAAAATCTAGGGATGGAGAGTTTGACCCAAGCAAATACTATACCTAAAGGGCAAATACATATCCTCTATGTTGATGGGATGAGAAGTGAAGTCATTAGCAGATAGGGTTTCATCAGCTCCCAACTAACATCTGTACCAAATAGAATTGTGGATCGCTGTAACTTTAAGCCACGCCACAGAGCCCTCATTAGATAACTTCCCTGATCCAGTTATTTAGCATTAACCAGTTGCCCTCACAGAGCTTTTTAATGAATCACTAGCAGGGCGTTCTCAGGCTGTTGGAGCTCTGATGTGCTGTTCGCTTGTCCTGTTCACTGTTGATTTGAATGGATTGCACATGTCCTCTGTACAGCGAGTACTTAGGGCCATGCAGGGCTGTGCATGGTAACAGAAGTCATAATTTTATTCGATAGCGTCCTCTGGATTAAAAAGCACAACTGTTGCTATTGAGCGAGTGAAGAAAGTGCCATTTAAGCAATGTGTGGGATCCCTTTTTGTAAACGGGCTGAGGTGACAAATGGGAATAGAACAACAAAAGCGCACTCTCCTGTTAAATAATTGATGTGTTTTCTTCCTTCACTCTCCCCTCACCATACCACTTGACTGGCATAATTTACAAGCAGTTGGATAATAGCACAAATCTCACCACTATCTTTGCAGTATTATGAGGAGTTATATGCAGATGACCCCATGAAGTATCAGTTCTACAGGATTTCGCTTTACAAACGGATTATAGTATGTAGAACAAGTCACTGTTGTCTAGTGTCTCTCCTGTCTTTCTCTGTTCTGGAGCACTAACAGAAGAATGGCCTGCCTGTAAAGAACCATTACATTTTCCTCTCCTGTTCCTACACGTATCACAGCTACAAACGCTTTACTGGCCTCACTCCTTTTAACCTAGTGAAGCAAAGAAAGTTACTGCGATTTCAGCACACTTTGCTGCTGTGAAATGCTGATGTCTTGGTCTCACTGGAACAAAGTCATCTGTTCGGAATGCAAGCGCAAACCGCCTTTACATTGTTTTGCCCATACATTGTGTGAAGCGCTTTGAGATGACTCAATCAGGCGATGATGCGCTATATCAAGCGCAAGGATTATTATTTTTTTCTACCGCTTCCAAAAACCTATTTACCAAAGTATCAAAACTAATTTTCTCCTTAGCGTTCTGCAGCCAAGTCAAATCCACCTGTTTGTCAATGATCAGGAAAAGTATTTGTTACCAGGGATTAAGTCCCAAGCAAGAAGCCACTTGTCACCATCCAGCTTTCCTTCAGGCAAAGGGTAGGACTTTCTGAGTCACTGATTGCTCCAATAATTGGAGGCGAGGCTTAAAATGTTACCTTGAAATCTGAGATCAATAAGACTGAGGTAACTCTGAACCTGGGTTTGGGGATGGAATACGTAAAGGTAATTTGTTGTTGTTGATGTGGCTTTGATTCAACAACAACTTACACGTATATAGCGCCCCTCAAGCAGGTTAGCGTCTCAGAGCGCTCAAAGCATTAATAAGGTAAGGTAGTAAGGGGGGGGTAATAAGAAGTTACAAGAGAACAAAAATAATTTTTGTTTGTTCAGGTTGAACCAACCAATAGGCGTCTGAACCAAACCTCAGATGGCTAACTAATCTGAAGGTGTAGTTTCAGGGATGTAAATTACAATACGGCACCATACCTATAGAGCTTCCACCCCCTTCCCCATTCCCACACGCGAAAAAAAAATGTTCTGACAGTGATCTGGCCAACTATGGTTAGACCTGACTGTCTCAAGCTAAGAATTCCAGACCAAACCATCAGATTAATCTCGAAGACTTTGTTTCTATCAGCCTTGTTTACAAACTCTCTTGTGAGATTGCCTTGACTACCTCAGCAGCTGCTCGACGTACGAGTCACGCTTGTTTTTGTGCGCTAACCGACCAATGTCTGTGTTTTACATATTTTCTTGCAATATTCTATTTATACTAACATTGTTCGCGTGTAGCACCACCCCACTGTGGCACAGTAATGTTACAGAGCTTTTTCAGTACGAATCCTTGTCTGCTTTCCCGCAGGATCTTATGGAACAGCTGGAGAAGCAGGACAAGACAGTGAGGAAGCTAAAAAAGCAGCTTAAGGTGTTTGCAAAGAAAATTGGTGAATTGGAAGGTACATTTATATTGTCTGTATATAATTATTATATATTATCTGTGTGTAAAACAATCCTCTCTCAGAATACAGTACCGTATTTACATTTTTTAAAATATTTCTGCACAGTTTTCTTTTATCGCAAGGAATTCTGTGTGTTCAGAGGTGAAATGAAAGCATATATTGGGGGTATTTGCTAACGTAAATAGGACATAGGAACAGGAGTAGGCCATTCAGCCCCTTGAGCCTGTTCCGCCATTCTATTAGATCGTGGCTGATCTGTACCTCAACTCCAAATACCCGGGACACAAAAAAAAATGTATAACATCTAATGTAGGGATTATTATTACAACATCGAAGACTCTGTTATTAGTTCCATTTGAATTGCTACTGTAGATTCTTTATGGTAAAATAATCTCTTCTCTAAAACCTATTCCAATTCCGTTCAGTTCACGCGCGGTAATCCACGTGGCGAGATTTGCTGGCTCAACCGTGTCTTTGCTTGTAATAGTGGGCCAGACGGAGAACGTGTCCCCAGCTCAGATTGTGGACGAGCCTATCCGCCCGGTCAATATTCCAAGGAAAGAGAAGGATTTCCAGGGAATGCTGGAATACAAGAAGGACGACGAGCTGAAGCTCATCAAGAACCTTATTCTCGGCAAGTATTCGCTGTCTCTCACCTTGTGCTTTACTCTTCGCCCAAGCACGGACAGAGCGGAAGAGTGGCCATTTTATTTCTTCCATTGTCAGTGCGTCAAATTCTCAGCGAATCTCTCGTTTTTTTTTTCTTTTCCGAAAAGAAAATCGTTAGAAAATGACTCGAGCCTCCGTTCGTATCCGTATCTTTTGTTAACCATCTGTGAAGTGGCATGTTGAGGTCTACGGTTCAGACGCTCCTATCATCCTGTTTGGGGGAGAATCTGTGGCAAGAGAAGAGGCAGCGCTGGAAAGGGGGATAATAATAAATAACGCAAATAATGTTATTTGTACGAATAATTTTTTTAAAAAAGCAGCCCGAGTGTCAGATTATCACGCGATGTATTGGTTGCGAGCCAAAAATCTATTGTGTTTCATTTAAAAACCGTACCACCAACAAGTGGAATATAAATATGTTCATTGAATATTCCCGCTCAGATTCTATCATTTTTCAGAAGGGGAGTTGAGAATTATTATTTAATTGCATTGTTAACATGGTTTCAATTGAGTTTCCCCCCGCGCTCCCCCCACCCCCTCCTCAAAAGCAAAATACAAATTGTCAAGTCTTACTTGCCATCATTAACAAAGTAGCTTGTGTGTGCTGCTCACGGTACATTAGAGTGCAATCTTTTGGTTGGGATGACCTTGCAATGATCATTGAGGAAACATTCGAGAGATTGTGTTTGATGTTTCTATGGCTCTGTAAATACCAGACGTTTATCACTGGCACAGGAACTATTTGGTTCCGTTGCACAAACTGGGGTCAAGTCTGCGGGCGGACGCAAATGATGTAGTAATGCTTTTCCACCCACACCTGAACTTTGCATCGGCTTAGTGTTGAGCAGCGTGTGGGCCTGGTAATATAATCTCCAAAATACTGTGTTTGATTTACCTATTTAGGGCTTTTCAGTGACTAATTTCCCCCATCACACTGTTTGTTCTAAACATCGAATGCATTTCCCTTTCAATCTCAGAGCTAAAGCCTCGTGGTGTGGCCGTCAACCTGATCCCAGGACTGCCTGCGTACATCATGTTTATGTGCGTCCGTCACGCTGATTATGTTAACGATGATCAGAAGGTGCGATCCTTGCTGACGTCAACTATCAACGGCATCAAGAAAGTCCTGAAGGTATGAAGGAGCACCTCAGAAGCTGAGTTACGTCTAGAAGTCGACAGCCAACAGTGTAGGCAAAACCGGTAGATACAATGAATGATTTAGGTGTTCCTCAAGATCACTCGGGCGGTTCGGATGTAGAAGACCCTTCAGCCCAGTTGATCTCATTCTTCCACAAAACCCATCCTGGTTTAAGGTCATCGCAATGTTCAGTAATCGGTTCTTGCGTAAAATTCTCAAAAGTCACTTTCAAATCAAACCCTATGTTCTACTTTCCTGTCATATCCAAATATAATTAATATATTTCGCTCGTTGAAATATTCGCGAGGACATTTCACAAACCTTCAGTTATACTACGCGAGTGCATTTTGAAGAGGATGTTTTTGTTGTCGCTGGTTACCATGTGGTTACTTTTGCGCATCTGCCTTCCTGACGGTTTCTGTCTTTCTCCCCAACACAGAAACGAAGTGACGATGTTGAAATTGTATCGTTCTGGTTGTCCAATACTTGTCGGTTTTTGCATTGCCTGAAGCAGTACAGCGGGGAAGAGGTGGGTACAGTCGGGTACAGTCTTGTGTGGAACAGTTATCTTCCAAACCTTTTTGGACAGGAAAATAGACCTAGCAAAATTGAGCATGAGTGATAGTAAAGAACTTAATTGGCTTAAAGCCTCTATCCCAGCAAATTAAAGCAATCTGTAACCTTTAGAACTATTAGCAGATGTTTCGGAGTGATTCACTGTTACACCTGTGCATTATTTGTGATGGTAAGTTAAGAACATGTTCTTAATTCTTGGTAAATATATTTAGATTCAATGACTGCTAGCCAGGTCAGTCAAAACCAGTTCGGTAACAGGTTTATGATTCATCCATCAGCCCCTGTTATCCCACCATGAATTATAAGGTACAATTTGGTATTTGAATCCAGTAGAACATTTGAGTGACCGCAATGAAGGGTGCTTTGACTAACATGGCTCGCCCATTCTTTCAGGCATTCATGAAGCACAATACTACTCGACAGAATGATCATTGCTTGAGAAACTTTGACCTTGCTGAATACAGGCAGGTCATCAGCGATTTAGCTATTCAGATCTACCAGCAACTTACCAAGGTCAAGGAGAATATCCTGCAGCCAATGATAGGTAAGTCATTAAGAGATGAGGATTAGGAATTTAAATTGGTTTGGCTTTCTTGAAAGGGTTATAAGCAAATTAACTGACTGAACAGGTTTGTCTGTAAATGGAAGAAGGCTCAAGTCAAATTTATTTGGCTTTATCACAAGCAAACGATGATCCAAAATTCTTGCTGTTGAACGCCACTGTTTAAGTTGGTAGCAAAAAAAATATGGTGGCAGTTATAGCTGTTATTAATTAACTTGTATTTTGCAACAGTTTCAGGTATGTTGGAACATGAGACTATCCAGGGAGTGTCCGGTCTAAAGCCCACAGGCCTGCGTAAGAGGACTTCCAGCATTGCTGATGAAGGGACCTATACTCTGGATTCCATTGTTCGGCAGCTGAATAATTTCCATTCCATAATGTGTCAACATGGCATGGATCCAGAGCTCATCAAACAGATTGTCAAACAGATGTTCTACATAATAGGTTCGGTCACCCTTAACAATCTGCTTCTTCGCAAGGACATGTGTTCGTGGAGCAAAGGGATGCAGATTAGGTGAGCCATTTAGGTTCCAGCCTCCCAAACGGTTGAGCATCCGTGCTTTGCTGTGCGGTATTGGTGCATTGTCATCATTTTCAGTCGCACTGTACAGTCGCCAATTTGAAACAGCAGAAGGTTATCCAGCCTGTTCAGCCAGTTTATTAGGCGTTGGCAGATCTATTAATGCCATTTCCCCATAGCCGAGAGACCACAGCGTGATGCTTCCTTCTAGAAACTCTTGACTCTGGTTTTCCTTCCCTTCCTCCAAATGTGAATCAGATATTGCAGTTCAGATTCTCCCAGCTTGTACCGATAGCTGAAGAGCTTGGAGATAACCTCCCGATGTGAAAGGTGCCATATCAAATGCGAGGATTGTTAATTTTTGTGGAGGAGTTGAATTTGGCCTCAGCGCCTCTAGGTTGGGGAGGCTACAATAACCGCCAGGGTTCCCACTGCTGATCGCTAATCACTGGCTGCTGTTAAACATATCATCCCGACCGATATGACTCATGTGAGGTTTACTGTCCCATAATTTCAGTGATCTTCACATCCTTTTTCCCCTCCTCTCGCCCCATTCTTTAGATACAATGTTAGTCAACTCGAGGAGTGGCTGAGAGACAAGAATTTGCAGAACAGCGGTGCTAAGGAAACTCTCGAACCCTTAATCCAGGCCGCACAGCTCCTGCAGGTGAAAAAGAAGACAGATGAGGATGCGGAGGCCATTTGTTCAATGTGCAATGCTCTCACCACAGCGCAGGTACAGTGCAAACACTAAACTCTTACCATCGACGACCATTTCAAGATGAGTTCCTTGAGAGCCTTTCCAAATATAAATGTTAAGTTCTTAATCATTCTCCTCGTTGCATTTGTGTATTAATGGACAAGCCTAATGGAGTGATGTGCAAGACATTTTATGATGACAAATTCAAGTAACAAGTCAGATGTAATGGTAACTGTTTTCTTTGGTTGCCCCACAGATTGTGAAAGTCCTAAACTTGTACACTCCCGTTAATGAATTTGAAGAGCGTGTAACTGCTTCATTCATACGTAACATTCAGGTGAGAATCTTGAGGGCTTTCTTAGCGATTGCACTTTCTTTTTTTCTTTTAAACGCTTCTCAGTAAGAAAAAGACTGAAAAAATTGCCTTTAGTTGTTGTATACACCTTTTCGTGAGATGTTCACAAACTTCTTTTTTTTTAAAAAATGTGGCTTGTAGCTGAGTATTGTAGGATTAATGTTTTTAATGTGTTATAGGATTAATGTTTTTCTGTATTCAACATAACAATCCCGGCATTTTGGTTATGACCCGTGAGTGCTGGGTTTCTCTATTAAATGTTGATGCTTGAATCCTTCCCCAAGAGAAACTCAGTCTCCGGCAATTAGTTTTGAAAAATATATTCACGCTGACTCTCTTATTAACTACTTTCTCGCACTTTTTTTTTNGCTCCTTTAGGTGCGTTTGCAAAACAGAAAAGACTCTCCCCAGCTGCTAATGGACGCGAAACACATATTCCCAGTTACGTTCCCCTTCAATCCCTCTTCTCTGGCGCTGGAAACCATTCAGATTCCAAGCAGCATGAACCTTGGGTTTCTGTCGCGTGTCTGAGGGATGGCTAACCTCGCTGAAGATGCTCCATTGGTCAGAAAGCCACAGCTTTCCTTCCTTCCCACCCCACTTCATCCACTACATCCTGATAGAATAAGGTTAAAGTACCTGCATCGTAAAGGAATGTACACTGAAAGCAAAGAACGATGAACATTTTCATAGCGCACCCGTTAAATAGCCGATGTCTACCTGCTAGAGAAAATATACTTTGAATTCAACATCTGTAAATTAGGGAATGTGTCATTCTTTAATTGTTAGGAATCCGAATTGTGGGGAAATACAACTACCATATATATTGCCATTCGTCTAAGACAGTATCTATTTAAGTCACTATCATACAAATGATGTAGAATACAAAATGTCTGTTAAAGAGTATAGCGTAGAGATTAAGTTGATAGCATCGATGTTTAATTACCTAGCAGATTATGAAGTATTATCTTGTCCACTGTCAGAAATATTACAGAACAGCATCTCATTTAGTCACTGCACTGTATAGTGTTAAGAGATAGTACTAACAAAACAGATGCGCCAAACTTTGCACCTGTTTTCTTTTTCCTCTCTCTCTTGAAATTATTTTAAACTGGATTTGTGCAAGTAATCACGAGTTACAAAACTGACTGACTGACTTAAAAGCACAAAAGCACACCGAAGGAGAGCAACGTGCCACAATCTCTCGGAGAGGCCGTGAAGCTATTTTGGCTCAAGGTATAAAAACACACACAGGTGGTTGCGACTGAACAAACATTTTTTTTCAGTATTTTAGGGGATAAAGAAAATGCTCCTCGTAAAAACGAAAACAATATATAATGCAGGAATTGCTTAACTATTACAATTGTTTGGTACTGTGTATATTAGGGTAAAAGGGGACTGTGCTGAAAGAAGAGTAGAATATTTTTTCCTTTTCCCCTTGCCAACAACCCCACACCCCCACCCCCCCCCCGATTAGCAGTTAGACCTTAGTGCTGAGCACCATAGAAGCAGGTTTCATTTGCGTTGCAATGATTTGGGATGCTGGCATCACTTTCAACCCCCACCCCTCTTCCCCAACCCCCTCCCCATTCTCTGCCAAACAACAAGCTGTGTACGTTGCAATGTACCATCAATATTTCAATTCTATTTGCCCTGGAAGTTCTTGGATTGGATGTGTCCAATTTCAGGGACTGTAGTTCGCTGTTTGACTGGAAAAACAGAGCTGATGCTCGGTTTTTTTTCTATTCCCTTCAGGGAGGCCATCAATCATACAGGTTTTTGCACCCTTCGTTGTTTACATATTTAAAAGTTGTTTTTAGAAGAAAACGACCAATTATCCTATTTTAACAAATTTCCTTTTTTCAGACGGCTAGTTTACATATCTTAAGTATCATCGGTGCCTATTTATGGTCATATTGGAATATCCAGTACATCGATCTAAAGATGTGGTATTTCTGGCTCCCGTTAAGAGTGACCCCTAAATAAGCTACTGTGTAGATTTACGTACACAACTGTGCATAACATCCAATTAGCCTGTTGCCTAAAAAAAAAACTGTTGGGTAAGGTTTTAATAGAATTACTGCAGAATCCATGATGCCTTCCTTGCCTAGTTTTTTTTTTGTTGGCGTTTTTGTAAATTCCATCGTTTTAAACTGTCTTAAAATATATAACGTTCCCCAAAGCCTTACCTTACCTTACCCACCAATCGGATGTTTGATTCGTTTGCCCATCTCCAAATAAATGGAGTGAAAACATGCTTCTGCTATCTCAAGGCATGTTCCTTTTGTGAAGGGTGCAAATGTCGTAGGCAGAAATGCGTTTAGTTGTCAAAGAAAGATTGTCATCGGAAACTCAATGTAACGAGCCACCTCCATAACATACCGCAGTTTTCCTCTGTTTCCTTCAGCAATATTTGTTTTTGTTTTGGAAAGTTAAACGAAGAAGACAAAAGAGGTAGGTACAGAAAACGAGAACGTTATGAATCTTTTGACACGCAGAACAAAATAAAGTCAAGTTGCCCATGCAGCTATCGATAAAGTCCCGAAGGCAATCTTCCTCTTTATGCACTTTAGTTTTATCATTTACTCGTGTGAACATATTGTGCTACATATCCTTCTTAGACTGTCGTTTCCATTTTTTTGTATCACAAAAAGTTGCAAGACACCAGTACTTCACTAGTAATTAATGTTAAGAAACTTGACGTATTTAAAATGTCAACAAGAATGGTCACTTGAAAACAGACCTGTTGCTGCATTGGATGGGTCATTTGATATTGACCGTGGATGACTACTTATGTACTTAAGGAGCTAGCAAACAAGTACGGCAAAGATGGTGTACAAATAAAGTTGAAAGCACTGTAGCATTTCCTGTTTGTTGTAATTGGTAAATGTGTGCATCATGGCAAATGTATATTGAGTTAGGTACTAAGGTAATATCCAACTTGTAAAAACAAATAAAAAATGTCAAAGATACAGAAACCCTCCCCCTCAATCTTTATTTTATCATCATTATTGTAGTGAAATAATAATTTTATCTTAAATTTGGTGAAGGGAACATTGGTGACAATTAAAAATATTCTAAACAGTATATCTTTTATATATATATATATATATATATTAGAATAGGTCCACTGACGGTGGCGAGAACAGAAACACAGAAAGTACCGTGAGCAAGTCGATGAGGTTTTGAGTGATAAATACATGTCATCACATCTATACTTGGCATTGCATTGATCTGGGATCAATTTTTGTGACTACATCTTACAAATATTTGAAAATGGCCTTCAGTGGTAACTATCTGATTGTTTTTGTGGATAGAATGACATTTGTTATTGATTGTTTCTCTCCCTCTTATTTCCTTGAACCATTCTCCACATTAACCCAATGAAACTTGACTTCATCCACCCATCCCAAAGGGGAAATGCAATAAATGTCATCCTTGCATCTGATAGTGTGCCTTCAGCCGCCCTCCTACCTCACTGCCCTCCTTCATCCCAACCTTGCCTCCCCCCTACGACTGATCCCCGACTGATCAGTGCCGTGGGATGTCCTCCCCGACGTGAAAGGCGCTTTAAAAATGTAATTTTGTTGTCGTGTCGAGATATCTCAAAGTGCTTCACTGGATTTTACTATGAAGTGTAGTGACTATTTTGTAGGCAAAACGTGGCAGCCAATTTGCTCGCAGCGGTGACCCGCAAACAGTTATGAAGGGGGTCATTGATTTTTATTTGGTGGCATGCTAGTCAGAGCACCGGGAGAAACTCCCAATCTCCTGCAGAAATAAATCTGGGACCTCAAATCAATTGCTGTGAGTTGCCATTGTTCGTACGCAGGTGTGTTATGTAATGGTCAAGGTGCAGATAAGGTCTCTGGAGTAGAACAGTTGACATTCACCATCAATTCTGTGGGAGTTCCTGAGCCAGAGATATGAAATCATTCCAGGATGTGGGATATGGCACAGCACTATTTTACAGGTATGTAAGGTATAAGGCCTCTGCAAAATACACAATTGTTACTTCCTGCTTGCAAATAAAATTGTGTTCCTTGTGCCAGGAACAGAATTCAGAAAACCTGTAAACTCACACTGGGTGACAATAATTCTCCTTGCGTTCGATTTAGCACCTTTCACATCGGGGAGGATGCCTCAAGGCGCTTCACAGGATTTAATGTAAAGTGCGGCGCCTGTCTTTTGCCAGAACCACATTCCGAGTGGCGCGTTGTCTTCTGGTGTAAACCGGAGCGGCGGGCGGAGGGAGAGAGAGAAAATCTCCTGATTACTTTCTTTTTTTTCAAAAAAAAAAGCCCCTTTGAAGTCCCTTTTATCGAGTGCAGAACCGTTCGATAACGTCAGCGCGAGAAACTTGTCGACCGTGCGTGCGTTCCGGGCAAAACACGAATCCCAAGTCCTGTTCCTTTCACGTCCCCAGGTTCTCTTGCGCGCTTGGCGCCGCCTGGCACTCTACCCCATGAATGTTTGCGACCAGCCGGTAAGCAAGCAAGCAAGCATGTATGTTCCAGCCCCGACTCCCGTTCCAACTGGCCTTTCACCATTGTGCTGTATCGCCACCGATAGCCTGAGTTCATGGCAGCGGAAGGTTGTCACGCTATCGACTGACTCCGAGATAGTGTAGAGCTATTGGGAGAACCTTCACTTGTTTGGTCAGCTGGGCCCCCCTGGCTCAGTGTTGGGAGAGGATCGGGTGAGTCACGCCAAGATTTATCGAGCAGGCACTTAAAAAAAAAACCACAGCGTGGATTCAGCCAAGTCACTCACGCCCAATATTCCACTTGTACTGAATACAGCTAAGTACTTCTAAATACAATTATCCTCATTATTCCACGTGTTTCAGTTGTCGGTCAGTTGCACCGCAGAGAAAAGAACAGGACTTTTGAGAAATTAAGGTGCAATCTGTGTGTTGCAAATTAGCGACCAATTTAGATCAAAACTTAGCGTCTTGACTTAAGAGAAATATTATATGAAAAAGAAAGCACCGTATATACTGGATAGTGTGTGTATATATATATATATACTGAATTGGAAGAATAATCAGTTGCAAAAATAGAGGCTGGACCATTATTTTGGTTCTTATTAAAATGTATATGTTTTTTTTTAAATGGTCTGGCAACTTCTAACCTGAGTTTAAGTTTCTCCCTGCCTTTTTGCCCACATTATTCCCACTTCATTGAGCCTGGTTGACTTTTAAAGTTAGTCACAGACACTCCCTATCACGAGGTAAATGAAGGGGGTGGAACAGGAGTGTTGAGAGTATGTGTGTGTGAGAGAGAGAGAGAAAGAACAAAGTCGAGACGGTGTGTATGTACACAGGTGTGACCTGCACACACACACAGACACACACACACACACAGACACACAGACACACACACACACAGAGACAGAAAGGAAGGAAGACAAAGAAAGATCAACTGAGAATAAGTCAGAGACAGGAGGTTGCAGAGAGAGTGCAAGGAGTTAGAGAGTGAAAGTGTGTAACAAGTCAGAGAGAGTGTGTGTGTGTGTATGTGTGAAGTTATAGAGTGAGAGAGGGAGTGGGAGAATGTGAGACTGGACTTGTGCAAAGCGAGAAGACTGACTGACTGACTGACTGAGTGAGTGAGTGAGTGAGTGACTTAGTCAGTAAGTGACAGAGAGGGAGTGAGTGATAGAGGGAGTGAGTGACAGAGAGGGAGTGAGTGATAGAGTGACAGAGAGGGAGTGAGTGATAGAGTGACGGAGAGGGTGTGAGTGAGTGACAGAGGGAGCGAATGAGTGACAGAGTGAGTGAGGGAGTGACGGACAGAGGGAAGGAGTGACAGACAGGGAGTGAGTAAGTGAGTGACAGAGAGGGAGGGAGTGACAGAGAGGGAGTGAGCGACAGAGTGAGTGGAGTGAGTGACAGAGAGGGAGTGAGTGACAGAGGGAGTGAGTGACAGAGAGGGAGTGAGCGACAGAGAGGGAGTGAGCGACAGAGTGAGTGAGTGAGTGAGTGAGTGACAGAGAGGGAGGGAGTGAGTGACAGAGAGGGAAGGAGTGAGTGACAGGCATTAAGAGTTAGGGACAGAGAGGACAGGACACTCTGGAGCATCTCAAGCCCTCTGGCCGTGCAACTATGATGAGCTGGAGGCTGAGTAGCCGCTGAGAAGCGCATCTCCATGGCGGTGGCCGAACTCTACACCAAGGTATCTCTCACTCTCTCCCACTCACTCACTCACTCCCCCCCCCCCCCCCCCACTCACTCACTCACTCCCACTCACTCACTCACTCACTCACTCACTCACTCACTCACTCACTCACTCACTCACTCACTCACTCACTCTCTTCTCTTCTCCTCTTAGACCAGTTCCTTCTTCCTTTTTCCCAACCTGTTAGAAAATAAGTTGGGCAAGATTGCGAGACCTGTCAGCCGGAAATATTTGAAGCAAACTAGTTTTTTTTTTCCACCCCCCCCCCCCCACCCCCCCCCCCCAAAAAAAAAATTAATAAATGTAATTTACTTTTCCTGTGTATTGTTTGAGAGATGCAGTATGTGTTGTTGTTGGTGGTGGCGGTGGCGGTGGTGGGGGAAGAGATTCCCAAATGTCAGGATGCATGTGTGTGTTGTTAAAATAAAGTTAAGGAACCAGATCTGCCTTTCTTTCTTTCTTTCTTTCTTTTCTTTTTGGGTGGGGGTGGGGGGGAAAAAAAGTGCAATTAATTTGACACGTTGCCACTGAATAAAACCTTCAGTAGGTCAATTAAAAGCTGTCCATATGGACTAGATCTTAGAACCTGCCAGCAAAGGCACCTGGTTCTATCACCAGCAACACATACTTGTACATCTCTCTCTCTCTGTCTCTCTATATATATATAATAATAATAATAATCCTTGCATTTGATATAGCGCTTTTCATGTCGGGAGGACGTCCCAAAGCGCTTCACATATATATATATATATTGCAAGGCTGTGTGTGTGTGTGTGTGTGTGTGTGTGTGTGTTTTGTTGTTTGACCTCTTACAAGCAGAGAAGTAGGAATTCACATTAACATTCGAGTTTGCATTGGCATCTGTGTGTGTCTCTCTCTCTCTCTCTCTCTCGTTCTGTCTCTGGGACAGAGAGCTAAAAGTTTCTCTCTCGAGTTTCCAAAAGTTTCTGATCCTCCTCTCTTGAAATCCTTCCTGTCCCTTCTCTTGACTCCTGTATCCCTGTTACTGCCTTCTTTCGCACAACTGCGACTCTCCACCAACTATGCACCGACTTTTGTGCTGTTTCAGAACATGACCTCAATGAGAACTGGATCCAGTAACATGATTTACCTCTGTTCTCTTGCCCAGAATAGATGAAAGTAGATTCTTTCCTCCTCCTCTCGCTCTCTCTCTCTCGCTCTCTCCCCCCCCAACTTCTTTCTCTTTATTGGGTTTTTTTTTTTAAAAATTAAATTAAAAAAAAAAGCGGTTCACGTTGATGAAAATGTTCTTTTTTTGGGGGGTGACTTTGGAGATGTGTGGGTGGGATTTGTACTGTTAAAAGGTGTGACATTAGATTGCTGTTGATTTTTTCTGTCTTTCTTGCCAAATTCTTGTAACCTGGACACCTAATTGTTATTTACAAACAAAGCAGTCAGTTTTTTTTCTGATTCTTTGGACTTTCACAGGGTTTTTCTTTGAAGTATTGGGCAAATTTTTTTTTACTGGAAGTGTTACAATATATAAATTGCACGCTTTAGTGCATGGGGTGGGGATTAAGAGTGAGATTCCACCTGCCTGTAGATTTGTACTTTATTCCGCGCACAATTGGCTGCCTCGTTACACAGTCACTCCACTTTAAAATATATTCTGTGAAGCGCTTTGAGACGTCTCAATGGCATGATAAGGCGCTGTATCAAATGCAAGCATTATTATTATTATTCTCAGCAATTCAAGAGCATGCAAATTATGGACAATTCTTCAATTCTGAGATGTTTTGCAATTTTTTTTAGAAAAAAAACTACAGAAAACAGAGTATCTTATACACAAGCGAACTCTCAACTCTGGGTCATGATCTTTGTATGAAGGGCTTTACCCAGAAAGAGAGATCTTGTGGTGGGGTTCCAGAAACAAATGGTTTGTTGTCGGGACAGATGAACAGAGTTGATTATGATTTAACAGGAAAGTTTCCAAATACCGCCACTCACTTGCTTCTGCTTCTGAACTCTCCAAATCGCTTTGCTGTTTTGGAAAATATCCTAAAACACTTTTTATCTCTTCGACCGATAGGTCTTCAATCACCTTCTCTCCTTTCTCCGCCATTCCCATTCGTAAGTGCTATGTGTCTTTTTTTTTTCTTAAACTAAATGCGTGTTGCGATTGCACGTGGTTTAACCCGCTTTTTATCCCCAATCATCCATGGGATTATTCAGAGGAGACAACTGTAACAATGTTAGAGACACACTGCCTGAAGAGGAGATTAAATGAATATAATTTGGGCACTCCATCCACGACTGTTTGTGGGACGCTGCTGTGCGCAATTGGCTGCCGTGTTTCGCCCACAAAATATACAGTCAATTCACTTTACAGTATACAGCAACTTTGGAGAACGAAAAGGAGGATGCAAAGAGAACTATTGACTCTAGACAAGAAATCTAGCTTTGTAAAGAGTAAAGTGTAACTTGTGACGATAGGGTAAGCAGCAATAAACAGTAACTATTCAAGAAAAGGAACTCAAAGCTAAGTGACCATAAGGTGTCTCATCCAACATTAGAGACTTGAGAAGCAGTAACATAAACTGTGTTATAGAGACGCACACACCTAGAATAGAACAGCCTTGTATTAAAAGAGGGAGTTAACCAAAATAATGAGTAAGACAAATTTATGTCTGTGTTTATAAAAGGTGTATACATACAACATTGCACTGAATAAGTGGGCAATTGGGAGTTTCTGCACATCCCACAAGGTAAATTGTTTGAAGAGTCTTCTTGCGAGAAACAAGAGGGTAAGAGTAGGTTTCTGATGGGTTAACATAGTGATTGGGCTTAGTCGTTAGAGTACGGTATCTATATTTGGGATTAGTTAGCAATGCTGTACTGTCCAGCCTCACAATTCTCCAGGAAGTAAGGTGTCTGGGGATGTGAGGCAGCTGCACAGGTGCAAACATTTGTCATAGAAACGTGGAAGTTTTCACAATGTCATCCTTTTGTATTGATCCTGGTGTCCAGGTCCTTCACGCTTGTCCATTCAACCATTCAGGTGCTTGTCCAAGTCTCTTTGATTATCGGCGGATCGCTTTCTGGGGGTAATAATCCCTCCCCCCAAAAAAACATTTGGTCACTCAATCCACGACTGTTTGTCGGCAATTGGTTGCCACGTTTTCGCCCACAAAACGCACAGTCAATCCACTTTTACAATATATTGTGTGAAGCGCTTTGAGGCGTCTCAACGACGTGCTAAGGCACTATATCAAATGCAAGGTTTATTATATTAGTATCTTGTGATAAAGGTGTGCTATTCTGCCCTACTTTAGCTTCAACCTTCAGGTGTTGCTCAGCTTGTTGTGAGTTTCCTATTGTTATATCCAATTTCCAGCATTTGTGTTTCTCTTCACTTCTCTTTCGAGGGCACTTTTATGGTCAGACTTCTAGGAATCTAATCTCCCCTGCGGCTTGTTTTGAACAGACAAAAGAGAAGAGGGGGAGGCAGTGGGGGAGGAGATATTCCATCAGTATATACAGAAGGGGATTTTCAAGGTATTTTGTAATGGAATTTCACCGTTTATGGAAAAAAAANCATGGACGTGTTTTCTCTGCTTTACAGTACAACAGGGTTTGGATTCCTGACTCCGACAATGTGTGGAAGTCAGCGGAGATCACCAGCAACTATAAGAAAGAATCCGAAGTACTTAATTTGGAGTTGGAAGACGGAACTGTAAGTTGCAAAGACAAAAGTCATCAGTGTTCTGTGCTCTGACCCTGTGTAGATACAAAGCAGTTGTATTAAAACGGTCTTCAAATCATTTACCTGTAAGGTTTTACGCTCTGTAAGTTCCACGATACATTTTGTCCTGGGTCTGGTTGTTTGAATATGCGTTAACGGTGTATTTTTAAAAGAAAAAAACGCACAAAGCATTTTTTCCTCCTTCTTTTAGCCTTAAATTTTAATCTCTGCAACGCCGCAAAAGTTCTGCAGAGAAACGTTCAGTCCAAATGTTCACGCGTAGCCAACTTAACGGGTTTTCATTGAAAACTTTTCGTAATTGGCCTGCAGATGAGCGCTTTTCAGATAAGTTTGAGTAGATGAAAGTCTGCATGGATACCTGTTCGGGGAAATGAACGCCTTAATTCTTCCAAATTATCAAGTGAATGCCATCTGTTAAAACTGTTTGATCAGAAGAGAAAAAAAATTCAAATGACAGTCTGAAAATCGATGGACCCATCTCATCTGTCTGCACTCGATTTGCACTCAGGGATGAACTGACAGCATTCACTGTATAACTGACTGCCCAAAGCATTCCCCTACGGTCAATGTAACTGAAATCAATTGAAAGAGAGAGAGAGCGAGAGAGAGAGGAGGGGAAAACATTAAGATTGATGAAAATTTAAATAATAATACAAATACAATGCAACTTACGTTCATATCGCGCCTTATGCAAGTCGGGAGGACATCCTAAAGGACTGAACAGTTCCGGATGGGTATTTGAGTTGGAGGTGGGAGCCGAGGGCTATTTTTGCTCTTAATAAAGCTCTGAACAGCACCAGTTGGAGGTGGAATTATGCGCCTGGGAAATGATGAGGCTGGTGAATCTGCTAAATGTCGGTTTCCATGGTGATATTGCTTCGACCCACAAGGATTTCTCTTGTGCACCAGGCAATTCTTTACGCTCCAGTGTTCGGAGCAAACACTTTTTTTTTGTACCTCACAGCAAGTGCACTGATGGATGCAGTTCTTCGTATTTCATTGCTGAATAATGCGCTCGCAGGAAGCTGCTATTGTTTTACAATTAGAAGCAGAAACTGGGGGATTATGACTTCAAGGCCCCATGTCGGGACATTGCTCGTAGTCTGGGCGGCCACAGCAATGTGGTGCTGACGGGAGCCCTGCGTTGTCGGAGGTGCCGTCCTTCGGATGAGCCACATGCGAAAGATCACACATGACAAGATCGAACGGAGAAGGGAGTTACTCAATCAAATCGGTCATTCCCTTCACTTGCTGTTTGTGGGCCACTATTCTGCGCGAGTTGGCTACCGTGTGCCATTTACGCAGTCGCTGCTCTTCACGGAAACTTTGTGAAGCTCTTTGAGATGTTATCAACCTTATAGGCCCTATTGACAAATGCAAGGATTATTATTATTGTGTATTATTGTTTATTATGAGTAAAATGTTACAGCTTTAGGTTTCGCCCACAAAATATACAGCAAATTCACTTAACAGTACATTCTGTGAAGCGCTTTGAGACGTCTCGAAAACGTCTCGAAAAAGGCGCTATATCAAATGGAAGGATTATTATTATATTGTACTTATTATTATTCGGTGCAAAAACATGATTGAATGCAGAATTGCGATGACAAATAATAGGCGCACCAAGTTTGAAAGTCTCTATTTGCAAAGAAGAAGTTTCAGGGCCTTGTGCACTTTATGGTTGGAGTCCCAGATATACTCGACCGGTTTCTTTCCAGCTTCTTTAAGTACACTGTGTACCCTTTGTCCTGTCAATACAGTAAATACTGGTCTGACTTCCGTAGTTCCGACCTGCTTTACAGTATATTCTGTGAAGCTGCCAGGCTTTACGAGTTCAGAGAGAAAGGAGTGCGTTCTTACTGCACTGTTGTCTCCTGTTGTAAATGTTAGTATAAAATACTTATTAGGCACAGGAACCCCTTCCAATGTTCAATAGTTGCCAGTATCCAGCTTTAAACAGGCACGGTACGCACTCAACTTCTGATAACTCATCTCTCCAAGCCAAAGAGGACTCAGTGACGAGTTATCAGGAGCGGCGAGTTAGGTATGCGTATAAATTCATAAATAATTGGGTCTGGGATATTGACAGCACGATAACTTAAGTGACAGTTAAACCAGGGTCGAGTTATCAGGAACTTACTGTATTATGGTACAGGTTTGGCAGAGCTGAAGTAGGTTTCTATCTGGGCTCACTTTTTGTTTAATCAATGCAAGTTTATAATTGTACAAATGCTAGCAGCTTCCTGGAATTAGATAAATTATCCCACTGGCTCATTGGGCCCCACCATTGGGTCACTTCCTGAACGTGAAAATAAAATGTTCAGCAGATCACTCCCTGTTACAGCAATGGTTGGGATTTTATGGACACTTCCTCCACCCCCACCCTATCTACTGTGTACATAGTTTGGCCCACAAAATACACAGTCAATTCACTTTACAGTATATTCTGTGAAGCGCTTTGATATGTCTCAAGGACGTGATAAGGCGCTATATCAAATGCAAGTATAATTGTTATTATTTATTGTAACGATAGCAGGGCTCCACTGTAGCGTTTATTGCTAAATAGTAAAGCCATGTGAAATCATTTAATAGCGAATTGAATTCATAATTTCATGTCAGGCCCAGTGTTGCATCCAACAACTAAATATGCAATCAAATCGTTCCTTCCTCAATCTCTAACACTGCAGGAATTTTTTCAACTGAATGGAGATGATCGGAGGAAACATTTTTTGAATTCTTGTGCTTCTGATTTGCATCTCCAAAAGAACACGCCTTTTATTTTATTGATATATAGGCGTTTTGGGTTTCGTGCCCAGCTGCTATCAAAGCTATTTCCTTAACCTGACCATTTCGGATCCGATTCATACGTTATTATTATATTTCATAACTACTTTTCTGGTTGAAGCATTTTTTTGTTTGTTTTTGGAAGTGAAGTGTTTGTCGCCTTTCAATTTCTAGTTCACACCGTCTCGATTTTTCATCATTTAGGAATTACAGTATCCGGTTGATCTGATAAACACATTACTGCCGCCTCTCCGGAACCCTGACATCCTGGTGGGAGAAAATGACCTCACGGCCCTCAGCTACCTGCACGAGCCCGCAGTCCTGCATAATCTCCGAGTTCGCTTCGTGGACTCCAAGCTCATCTACACGTACTGCGGTGAGCGAAGCCATTTTACTCCCCCCCCCCCCCCCACCCCCCTCCACACCCCACTTCCCGATTTCACTTTGCATCCTGTGCAAATTCAGACTTGCCTGTGTTTGCTGTGAGTTACGGCCCTCACCAGTCTCTTTTGCGCTTCTAGGTATCATTCTTGTGGCCATTAACCCGTACAAACAAGTGCCCATCTACGGAGATGCCATCATTCACGCCTACAGCGGGCAGAATATGGGCGACATGGATCCCCATATCTTTGCTGTGTCCGAAGAAGCTTACAAACAAATGGCCAGGTCTGTTCTTTCCACCTGTTGGTTTGGTGTAAGTGCAGGATGCACACCTCGTGAGCAGAGGTTTGGTATTAAAGCCTTTTGCATATGCCATCGCAACTTGGCATCCCAACCATTAATGCCAAATACGGTTTTCCATCGAGAAGAATATTTACAGTAGATGCAATGTAAAGGAAATGCTGCTAATGCGCTGATGAGGAGAATGTTTTTTTTAAGCAGCGAGTGGTTACGATCTGAAATGCACCGCCTGAAAAGGTGGTGGAAGCAGAGTCGATAACAGCTTTCAAAAGGGATTTGGATATATACTTGAAAAGCAAAAAATGTGCAAGGCTATGGAGAAAGAACGGGGCTAATTGGACAGCTCTTTCAAAGAGTCTGCCCAGGCACGATGGGCTGAATGGCCTCCTTTGGTATAGTAAGATTCTATGATTCTGTGAAATTGTATTGAGTATTGAATGAAACCAGTGATTTTTTTTAAACACTGAGGGAAATGCCTTTAAATTAGATTTTTTTTTCCTGGTGGTCTTGTAGTTTGAATTGCTTCTAGGAGTACTTTACCTTTAATGTAACTGTTGTCAAACATAACGATTTGTTTTTTCCTTTATTTACTTAAGATGGATATTGATACCTGTACCGAACCCTAAACGTTTACAGTGTGGTTTTCTGTTTTCCAACATTAGGAACAATAAGAACCAGTCTATTATTGTAAGCGGGGAGTCGGGAGCAGGAAAGACAGTATCTGCCAGATATGCTATGAGGTACTTTGCTACAGTGAGTAAATCCAGCAGCAAAGCGTGTGTTGAAGATAAAGTCCTGGCATCAAACCCGATAACCGAGGTAAGAGGGGCTGAAATCGTGTTGGGAGCAATCTGTAGTCGAGGGAATCGCTCGCCAACCTCACTTATGAGTGTAAAGATTGAGTGAAAGTATTTGTGCGACGCTAAAAAAACGTCCATTTTGCCATCACGTATGTTTTTCTCAACTTCCAGGCGATCGGAAATGCTAAAACTACACGGAACGACAACAGCAGTCGGTTTGGTAAATACACTGAGATCAGCTTTGATAACAGGTATCGAATCATTGGTGCAAACATGAGAACATACCTGCTGGAGAAGTCCAGGGTGGTCTTTCAGGTAAAGCCCGCAATAGGCAAGAGAAAGCACATTGTGGCTGCAAAACCCAACAATGTACTAACTGAACGGAGCACATGCTGATGTGATGACCTAATGTCTGCACATTTTTTTCCAGAAGTTATTGCTTAAAACCTGGAATCAGAAGCATTAATTATTTTCCCTCTCCTCCCCTCCCCTCTGCACTGGGAGACCGAGCCAATTGCTGACCTCTGCTGGTACCAACGAGTTGTATCAGTTTACAATTTTAATTCATTTTCCCAAATGTGGTGAATAAACGTGGCGCAAACCTGCAGACAATGGATGTTTAGCGACCAGCGTTTTTTTTACGTGTTTAAAAAAAAGTTAGAGCGAAGGTTTGCATTCAGTCGAATTCTTTTTCCTAAAGGGAATCGTTCAGAAGTGCAGCTTTAGTTCTTGATCTGCGCTAAGGCCTAACCTGCAGTGTGAGACAAGATATCACTGCGGAGCTCTTGTCCTCTCCCAGCATATTGGCCTACTCTCCCGCCTCTCATTCACTCGCTCACCCACCATGTACCACTTCCATATTTCAAAAAAAAACCAAAGAATCCCTTTTGCCACCTCGTTCGGCTTCTCCACGGAATCTGAAATGGTGTTTCGACAGTATTTCAATCTGAAACCCGATAGTTCGGTGTAGTTAAGGGCACCTCAAGTCACGTTTCACTTGTACCAATTTGATTTTAATTACATTGCAATGTCTGTTTGTTCAACCCAGGCTGAAAATGAGAGAAATTATCACATCTTCTACCAGCTTTGCGCCTCCGCAGATCAGCCCAAGTTCAAGCACTTGAAATTGGGTATGTTTAATGAACGGCTTCTTAACCTTAAAACTCTGTACTACTCTGTTCTACTCTACCAGTCTACACACTCGTCAAAGGAGACATCTGTGCTATAAATACAATGATGACTGTTAGGTTCAATGTAAATTTGCTGTGCGTGGTGGTGGAGGGTAAAACTTTTATTTATTGAACCTATTGTTGATTTTTAGTTTGTTGAATTATTCACAGGTCCTGCAGAACATTTTAGTTATATGAGAATGGGTGGAAATACCTCGATTGACGGCGTTGATGACAGAGCAGACATGATCGAAACCCAAAAAACATTCTTGCTGCTTGGTAAGCAATAATAATAATCCTTGCATTTGATATAGCGCCTCATCCCGTCGTCAAGACGTCTCAAAGCGCTTCACGGGTTATACTGTGAAGTGAATCGACTATATATTTTTGGGCGAAACACGTCAGCCAATTGCGTACAGGATTGTCACGGAAACAATCGTGAATTTTTTTTCAAAAAAATATATTAATTTTAGGTGGTGACGAATGCAAATCACTGTGTTCCAAGTTAAAGCAATTTTTCTTTAAAAAAAAAGGAAAAATACAGGTTATGAATAGCCTGTTTAGGTATGAGAAAATCATTTGTTTCCCACTTTGCGTGTGTCACTTTTCTAATGCTGACAAATAACGACTTGCATTTCTACAACAACAAAATATGTTGACAATATATGTCCATAGCTGACTGTATCCTGTTGTCGCACTGGATGTCTCTATCTAATCTATTTTCATTTGGACAGGCTATATTTAAAATGACGTGTTTGTATTAAATCTGCATCGCTGGGTTACACGCACAGCATTGCGTAATGGCTTGTAGTCTGTAAGTCTGATACAGTGTGTGTATATATACATTTATTTACCGTTTCACTTTCCATTGCGATCACTACAATTTAAAATGGAACCATAATCCAAGGGTTTATTTACAATGCACTGAGCTCAACAGCAACATTTATATGCAGCAAGTTGACCCAGCTTCTTAATCAATTTGGGTTGCATTTGCTTTTCGAGCCAACCGCTGACGATGTTTGCAGTTCCTTCAAGAATGCTTTTTTTTTGAGGTGTCAGCCTGACTCAACAACAACAACAACACTTTACGCTTGTATAGCAGCACCCTTTCACGTCGGAAAGACGCCCTCGGGGGCTGGAGAGCGCTCTCGTCTCTTGAGTCAGAAGGCTGTGGGGTACAAACCCCACGTCAGGACTCTACTCAATCTAGCCAGTACAGTGCTGGGAGAGTCCTTCGGATGAAATGTTAAACTAGCGTCCTGTCTGTGCCTATCTATCTCCAATATATCTCTTTATCTGTTGACATCACAGGTTAATTCAGTGCCATTTTGGACTTCTAATTGGTGAGATCTCCTCATGCTGACACAGAAAGTTTCGATTAAAACTAACCTCTCTTGCAGGCTTGAATGAAGACCTCCAGATTGATATCTTCAAGGTATTGGCAGCAATTCTGCATTTCGGCAATGTAGAAATCAGAGCTGTGAGTGAAGAGAAATCTTCAGTCAAAGTAAGATGTTTCCTAAATCTGCAACTAAAAGATCTGAAAGAGTGTTCGATAGCGGAATCAAGGTGATGTGTGAAGCTGCCGGCTGTTGCAGTACAAAGTTGCTTTGTATACCAATGAGCTCCCAAAATCAATAATAATCATTCGAGGGCTTGGGAAAATCAATAAGCATCTGTGCTTTATTCAGTGCTTCATTTGCCACTCTCTGAAAGGTTTCCCTCACAGGGAGTTAACAGGGATAAGACATCTGTTTGACATGTTGGAAATTGTCCTTCGAAACAAAACGCTCGACTTTTCAACTTGTGCCGTTCATTTGAAATATAGGTTTTTTTTTTAAAAGTGTGAAACTCACAGATCTCGCCAGTTCAAGCACCACTCCTTTTGTGAAACGGTAGCAATACAGTCAGTCTGTTCCTGTCTCCCCTGTTGTCCGTCTGACTGTTTCATGCAAGAGTGAGCTGCTTGGAGTGCTTTGCTACCTTTTTCCATTCTGTGAATTTACAATGAGTAATCACAAGATTCCCGAGATTGGTTTGGATGAAGACGATCCTTTGGCCTATCTGATCTCATCCTCCCAGAACACCCACCCTAACTGTGCCCTGGCCTCAACCACCTCAAACAACTTGTCCTCATTGAATTCCCTCTGAATAAAGAAAAACTTCCCTGGTATCTGTCCTGAAATTGCCCGTTACAAGTCTAAACCTATGTGCTCTTGTTCTTCTGTCTTGGACTCAGACACGGCTACTAGCAATGATATGTAATTTCAAACTTTTTCTCTCTCCTCGCACTCCCACGTTCCTCCCAATCTATTCTCTCCATTCACTCTGACTGTTCCCTCCCTCTTATGGCTGCTTCGAACATATAATTGCCTTATAAATCCTCCCTCAGAACTGGGTAGCCCTACATAGACAAGTGCCCGTCTTCTGACTGTTTCGGGAATTAAGGTTGTGGACAAAACCTTCAGAATGAGGCACATTTGTCAAAAGTTGTCCTAAACCTTTTCTTCGGGAGTTGGTTGTTTTGATGAGTGCGAAACTCGAAATGCAAGGGAACGCAGCTTTAAATGCCGTGTTTATCAAAAAATTTACTTTGCACAGCAACACTGTTCAGGCAGCCACTGCGCTTATTTTAATGGTAAGCATTGAATCCCGAACCGGTTACATTTTGTGCCATTTTCATAATCCTGTGTTTGTTTGTTTCCTCAAACAGGCTGGTGATGCACATCTGAAGGTATTTTGTGAACTTCTCAGCATAAAAACGGAAGAGATAGCTCACGGGCTGTGCCACCGAAAAATCTCCACTACCTCAGATACCGTGATCAAACCTATGACGAAGGCTCAAGCTATCAATGCCAGGGATGCTGTGTCAAAGCACATCTACGCCCATCTGTTCAACTGCATTGTGGAGCGGATTAACAGGGCTTTGCAGTTTGATGGCAAACAATATACATTTATTGGTGTTCTGGACATCTACGGGTAACAACATCAAGCAATGTTCACATTACTTTTCGAATCGAATCGAAAACCCTAAGCTATTTGCACTGATCAGATTTCACCGTGTTTTCCAGAATTAACATATCTATATGTCTGTCCTTTAAGTTGTGTGCAATTTCGTAGAATCACAGAATACTATAACACAGAGGAGGCCATTCGGCCTGTCGTGCCTGTGCTGGCTCTTTGAATAAGCTATCCAATTAATCCCACTCGCTCTTTCCCCGTAGCCTTGCAGATGTTCTCTTTTCAAGTAAATAACCAATTTCCTTTTGAAAGTTATTATTCAATCTGTTGTCTTTGCTGGATACAATGGTAAATAATACAATAATAAATTGGTCATTTTCAATCTACGACTGTTTGTGGGACATTGCTGTGCGCAATTGGCTGCCGCGTTCGCCACAAATATACAGTCAATTCACTTTACAGTATATTCTGTGAAGCGCTTTGGGACGTCCTCCCGACGTGAAAAGCGCTATATCAAATGCAAGGATTATTATTAATGGTTCAAATACCAATAAGATCCTTTTTTTGTTGTTGTTGGTATCCATTTAGGTTTGAAACCTTTGACATGAACAGTTTTGAGCAGTTCTGTATAAACTACGCCAATGAAAAACTGCAACAGCAATTTAACTTGGTGAGTATTTCCCAAGATGTTCCGCGGCAAAGCCAAATCATCTTTATTCATTTATTTATTTATTTATTTTTACATGCACCATTTGGAGTTATCCTCGAGCTGTTTCTGGAGTTGCAATGTTAGTGTTCTAGCAACTTTTTTTCTTCCGAAGGTACGGTCATTGTAATGCCAATAAAACGCTCTGTACATTGTTCTTCAGCATGTGTTTAAACTTGAACAAGACGAATACATGAAGGAGGATATCCCGTGGACGTTGATAGAATTCAACGACAATCAGCCCTGCATTGACTTGATAGAAGCGAAGATGGGCATCCTGGAACTTCTTGATGAGGAGTGCTTGGTAAGAGTTAAATACGACCAACAGCGGGCTTACTGTTAGTGTGCATTCAGGTCTAAGCCGGTGTCTCAACAATCGTGGGAAGTCTGCCAAGGTAGTCATGGTGAGGAGACCATTTATCATTCCATGCTTTCTCTGTTCTTACAGTAGCTGCGAGAAGACCTTCTACCTGGGTCTAGATTTTCCGTCCTTTCGATGAGACATTAAACCAAGGTCTCATCTGCCTGTTTGGGTGGACATTAAAGAAAAGCAACAGGAGTTTCTCCCGGTTTCCTGGCCAACAAATCACCAAATAAAATTGGTCATTCACTCCATTGCTGTGCGCAACTGGTTGCCACGTTTTGCCCACAAAATACAGTCAATCCACTTTACAGTGAAGTTCTTTGAGATAAGCAAATCGCTGCATCAAATGTAAAAACGATTAGTGTTATACAAATGTAAGTGGTCGTGGTTGGTTATCTGTAGTTGATTTTCACAGAAAATGACGGAAGATAATTTTCCTTTTATCTTGTGCAGCTGCCGCAAGGAACTGAGGAAAACTGGCTTCAGAAATTGCACAATAATTTCCTCAATAAAAACCCTCTGTTTGAGAAGCCCAGAATGTTTAGGAAAGCTTTCATCATCCAGCACTTTGCTGACAAGGTAACACATCATCCTACCCATCATGTTTCCAGCTTCCTTGGACTGCGTGTTACATGCCGTCTGTTTGCTAACTCTGTAGGAAAGTCATTAAATCGCACTGTTTCGCTGTGAAATACAAAACCCCAAAACTATTTCTCGGGTTCCTTGTGCAGGTGCAGTATGAAAGTGATGGATTCCTCGAGAAGAACAGAGATACATTGTACGATGAACTGATTAATGTACTGAAGAAAAGTAAGGTTTGTAATCATCCCTGAAATGCAATCAATCACAGCGGAGCCTTAACATTCGATTCAACAAAGTGCGTTCCAGAGCTGTGTCCGTCTTGAGTGTGATTAGTAACCGTGGATAAATCCAGACAGTCAAAAAGTGTTGATTTATCCTTTAAAACGCTAGCAGTTTTATTTATTTAAACTTTTGACCAGCTGCCAATGAACAGTCAAGGTTATGTCACATTTTGGATCAATGCAACCTGGAACGTAGTTACTCTTTAGTGAAATACCAGGTGAAAAAGCTGTACAACTTGTGCAGAACTCTGTATCATTGATGCTGCACAGATGTCATAAGCCGGACACATTGCAAGCCACACATGGTTTAGGATTGAAAATGTTGGTGTAGAGTGTGGTGGAGGAACCGGCGTTTAATATGTGATTGTTGCAGCAGCTATATAAGTAAGCACTCCGAGACCCTGCCCTGTGTGAAGGGCGCTATACAAATACAAGTTTTTGTTTGTTGTCGTAGCTTCTGTACATAGCAACGTACACACCTGCCATGTAATTCACTTGCATGAATCACTGGTCTTCCTCAGCTAAAACTGGGGGGGAGTTTAAGTAGATGATTGACCCAGTGAAAGAAATGCAGCGTGTACGCTGTTTCACAACCTGATTCTGAAGATACCTTTTGAGTCTGGTACAAACTGATACTGTCACAAGTGTCTTGTGAATAAGTAAAACTGGAGGTACAGTATCGATGCGAGGTTCAAGGCCAAATTAAAATTTCATCTTAAAAAGTATGACAATAAAGTCTGTTTTGTTTGTAACCGCACAGCTGAGTCTCCTCGCTGATTTCTTTCAAGACGATGAATCATCGGTTGGTAACCTGAAGCCGCACATTAAGGTCAAGCCAGCCAGGCCCGGGTTCAAGTCTTTCAAAAAACAGCATCGAACTAGTGTTGGGAGTAAGGTATAACTGCGATCTCTCGTCGCTTATCTTTGTGGCTACCGAGGCAGCTCTGCCCCGCGACAAAGTATTATTTACATGTCATATTTTCGCCCACAAAATGCACAGTCAATCCACTTTACAGTATATTCCATGAAGCGGTTGGCGACGTCTCAACGGCATGATAAGGCGCTGCATCAAATGCAAGGATTATTAATATTACTATTATTATTTAAGCGCTCCGGGATTCTACCCTGCGTGAAGGGTAAGTGCAAGTGGTTATTGTTGTACAGCAAAAATGCCTCGCTAGGCACGTCAAACTCGTTACGCTTTGTTTCGCAAACAGTTTCGTAATTCCCTGCACCTGCTGATGGAGACTCTCAATGCCACAACACCTCACTACGTGCGTTGCATTAAGCCGAACGATTCCAAGCTTCCATTCGAGTAAGTTCTCTTACTTCGCCAATGCAACTCTCGGAATGCGTTTTATTAGGGTTCTGGACGAAAGGAGCGAATGGAGAGGGGTTGGGAGGGGAAGGACTCCAATCTTTATAACATTAAATCTTTTGCCAAGAGAAACTTTGCAAGCTTTTATTTTCAGGTACGACTCCAAGAGAGTTGTTCAACAGCTGAGAGCCTGCGGCGTCTTGGAAACTATTCGGATCAGCGCCCAGAGCTATCCGTCCAGGTAAACCCGAGCGATTTATCTTTAAGCAGCAGTTTACATTTTTAACGCAAGCGTCCAAGCCTTTGACTGTGTGTCGTCGTGTTTCAGGTGGACGTACTATGAGTTTTTCAGCCGTTACAGGATTCTGATGACGCAGCAAGATCTTGCGACAACTGAGAAAAAACAAATCTGTAAACAGGTTTTGAAACGGTTAATTCAGGTAAATCCAGATGATTTTAATAGGGAGTTGTGAATATGAGCAGTATTTTCCAGAACCACCGATCCGGCACAAATGCAGCACTGAAAATTGGTTTCTTGACTTATTTTGCAAGGGGGAGAGACATATTTTTTCAGAATGTGGGTGAACTGCAACATACAGAAAAATGGGCATTCGGACATTATTCCGAGCTCAAGGAGCCATATATGCATGTGCCTTCTGCTGCCCATATAGGTGGTCAGTTTAATTACAAAGAAGCTAGTAATTCACTGATTCTTTTTACAGGGATCTCTTAGAACCAAAAGTTAGTCAATTCTGATTTACCACTGAATTGCAGTGAAAAATATGCGCCAGCTGTAATTTTACAATATGTGCTCTTTAAAAGTGCCTTTCGCAGTCTGAAATCTACTTCGTGTAACTTTTATACAAATTATGAGCTCCCAAGTGTTTTATGTTGGACCTTTACTTTGTGTCAGTGAATCAGATAATCCCTCCAAAAATAATAATAATAATAATAATAATAATTTGGTTACTCAATCCACGACTGTTTGTGGGACACGGCTGTGTGCAATTGGCTAATGCCACAAAATACATACTCGATTAACTTTACAGTATATTCTGCGCTAAGGCGCTGTCTCAAATGCAAGGATTATTATTATAATCCAAGCGCAGTGTTCTACCTTTTGGTTGTGTCCTTTTGACACTGTAAACGAGTCAACACAATGTGCACCACTTCCCTCCCTCCGAAGGACCCAAACCAGTATCAGTTTGGCAAAACGAAGATCTTCTTCCGAGCTGGCCAGGTGGCTTATCTGGAGAAGCTGCGAGCAGACAAACTACGAGAGGCCTGCGTCACCATACAGAAAAACCTGCGTTGCTGGATCCACAGGAAGAGATACCTTCAGCTGAGAGGAGCTGTTATTCTTATGCAGCAGTATGTGCGTGGGAAAAGGGCTGTTCGGTAATTACGTTGCCTTGATTTACACCTCTGGAACGTCTTCAAATTACCAGTCGCGCACAGGTTGACGGTTGTTAGCAATGTTACCCATGCAGACACTGCGATATTTCCTTCCGTGGGTAAAATCAATCCAGATGCATCTATTTGCGGCCTATTAATGCCATCAAAAATCAAACCCCGACCCTCTCTATCAGATGGGGCTTAAATTGCTGTGGAGCACCTCTAAAGCAGTGACCCATCTCGTGAGTTAGATGGCATCGTTTCCCACCCGTTAGCGTTAAGAGGTCAATCCATTGTTAATTAGTTTTAAAGTCTTAATATTTGCAGCAACACAAAATGTTCAGCTGTTACACAAAATGGCATTTCAGCAGGCAGAGAGGAGCTGAGCTGTTGATAAATGCTGTGAGCAACCGAAATACGGGTCTCAAATAGACCCAATGTAACCCAATTAAAGATGAATTAATTTCACTGCCGATCGATTGATTTCCACGGGTAAAATTTCGTCGTTGCCGTCGGAAATCGCGCGACGTGGTGGTTATTTTTGTGGCGACGATCTTCAGTGTTACTCTTAATCTTAATTTTCAAGCCATGTGGTGAGTGCCACGGCCATCAAGCACGCCTGGGCTGCTGTTGTCATCCAGAAAAACTGCCGAAGGTTCTTGGTGCGTCGCCTGTACCACCTCATTCTCTTGGCTACCGTTATCATCCAGTCACACGTCCGGGGCTGGTTAGCAAGAAAGCAGTTTAAGAAGGTAAAGCTTTGAATGAACGTCAAACTCCAAGCCAGCTGCAGATCGCTAGGATAGTCCTGTAGCGTATTGCTTAGCCCGCTAGCCTCGCCAGCGAGAGGACCCGGGTTGGATTCCCGAACAGGGCAAAACCTTATAATCCTCGCGTTCGATATAGTGCTTTTCAAGCTTTTTTTTAGACGTCTCAAAGCGCCTAAGCAACCTTGGGTAAGTCTCCTTACTCCATACGCTTCTGTTTACCCAGCAGTGAGTTGGAACCTGGTTGTTTGGTGGATCGCTTTCCGCGGGCTGATAATCCCTCCCCCCAAAATTTGGTCACTCACTCAAACCACGACTGTTTGTGGGACCCGCCGTGTGCAATTGGCTGCTGCGTTTCGCCCACGAATACACAGTCAAATCACGCTACAGTATATTCTGTGAAGTGATAGGATACGTCTCAACGATGTGATAAGGCGCTGTATCAAATGCAAGGATTATTATTATTGTGTATAAGGCATAACCAAACCGAGAAATATCTTTCCGAAACAGAACCAATTTGTACTCACTATTAGTATGCGGTGGGTGCGAAAGAGGACTATTTGGGCTCTGGTCCCCAGAAGCCTCAATCCTGTTAGGAACTTTTGTGCAACTTTGTTGAACCTTTTGTCTTAATTGGCACAGATGCTGCAAGATCAGAAGGCATTAATAATTCAAACGCACGTGCGTGCCTGGTTGGCAAGACGCAGGTACCAGAGCATCCGCCGGTTTGTTTTGAACATCCAGCTGTCCTACAGGGTGAAAAATCTGCACAAGAAATTGGATGAGCAGGTGACGTACACAGCAAAGCAGCGCACCGATGGAAGGGGCAGAGAGGGTTGGGAGAAGAGTTATTGTTAAAGAGTATTTCGGTGGATTTGCCACCTGATTAACGCGTTCCCTGTCACTTGGCCAACTTTAGCGTTTAACGCTGAACTTCTGTGATACTCTAGGCCCCAAATTCCACCCAGTCTTCGCCTACGAAACCGTCTTGTCTTTAAAAGGTTGAGCTTGCATGGAATTGTGGAGAATCTTTAACTTCATCTTAATTTAGAAGCTAATTTTCCGCGGTTCCCACATTTCAGCTCGGATGCCCACCCGCTTCGAGACATCTATCCGAAATTTAAGGCGCTAAATAAATGTACATTGTATTGTGTTAATGAACAGGTTGCCATTAAGTCCCGAGGCAGAAATGATTTGTACGTATGTTAAGCATAAGAACATCGCTAGATGAAAGAAGGCCGAGGTCCATCCAGTTCACCTTCCACCATCCTGACTCTCTGTATATTTCTTCTGAACCAGACCAAAGAGAACACTGGTTTGCTGGAGCGTTTGACCCACCTGTCTACGATTCACTCTGCCGAGGCAGGTAGATTTACCAAACTCGAGGAAGAATTTGGGAAAACGATGGCGCAAAAGAAAGCAATTGAGGAACAAGCAAAGAAATCCAGGGAGAAAACCGAGCAGGTGATTTCAAGCGTCTTAACAATTGTTTGTGTGTCTTAACGTATCGAATCAGGATTATCGCTTCGAGTTTCAGTGCACTCTGAATGGGAATGGAATGCAATAATACCAATGTGTCTGATAAGAGTATTAATTCCTTTGTCGTTCACGCAGGAAGCTTTGCAGCTTAAAAAACAAACAGTGGTGTTGCAAGAGCAAAGCCGGAACCTGGAGCAGAAACTTGTGGAACAGACGAAAGACACGAAAGGTGTGTTAGTTACCTGTGCTGGGCAGTGATTTCATATCGAATCAATTGCATGAATGCGTTATTTCGCTTTGAAACAAATCGTCACTTCGTAGAGTTGAGGGTTTCACTTGTAGAAACACTTTTAAGTTATTTCTCCGTAAGAATCCAATCCATCCGATCTCATCCCCCAGAACATGCACCCTCCTCTCTTTCCCCCCCACCACACACACAGCATCAAGTTGCTTTTTAAATGAGTCCCAGCATCCTTGTCTCAACTACCTTATTCTGGCAATAACGTGTCTCTAGGGAGGTTTAATTGTGGTTCAGCACATATCGGACTGTACAATACAAATGTAATTTATTGTGGTCGTTATTGGGCATGTGCACTTCTATTCACAATGTGGCCTGCAACGAGGCTTCTGTGTCACTGTTGTCTGTGGTGATGATGTCCCATATTTACTTGGTTTTGTTAATCAGCTGAAATGGGAAGGAAAAGCCAAGCTTCTCGTTCTCGGCTGATCCAGTTGTGTGTAAGTTACAACGAGGCAATATCTCCTCATTATCCAACATGGTTGTCAGCATACAGTCATTTTATTCTCCTTTACTAAGCTGGCGTTTCAATGCATGCACAGAGCTGGAAGGAGTTTTCCTACTTTGTGCGTTCCCACTTACTGTGAGAATGGGTAAAACACTGAAGCCAGTGGCGAGATGTTAGGGTGACAGTTTCGTTGTTAATTATCGCTCCGTGCCCTCGTCCCACGCTTAGGCTTGATGTATTTGTGCTCACAGAGAAAATCAAAGAACTTGCAGAACAGCACCTCGGGGATATAGAAAGAGAAGAGCGGCAAAAAAGGTACGTCATAAATAGTGAGGCACGTACACTGATTCGCTGGTGAGATGTCTGCTGTTTTACTGGACAATATTTGGGTTTTAGTCACTGCAGAAAAGGTAATTGATGGAGTGGATTTAGGTCCTGGACAGTTAACCTAATGAAGTGCTTGTGCTGCAGGTAGGTAGCAAATTCACTGCTGAAATTGCAGCAATTTGCTGCAAAATACGGTATATGTGGTACAAATCGAGCATCTGTATCAGAATCCACTCTCCACCACATGTCGGTGGATTGGGGAACCTCTATGAGCCGTGGCCTCCTGAAATGGAGCTGATTGATGCAGACTTGAATAGCTCTGGAACGGCCTGTGCAGTAAACTCTTTATTCTAAAGTAACCTGGACAGGCTTTGTACCTATGGACGTGTTGGGGCGAGAGAACTGTTGGGATCCGCTTGAGAGTCTCCGCACTGACTTTCCTATCCGGTCGTTTTCAGAAAACTGGAGAATCAGATTCAGATTCAGCAGGAAGACTACGAGAAGCGGATCAAGGTGCTGGCTGACGAAATAGCACGTCTGCACGACGAGAGGGCGAAGCTACAGGAGCAGATCCAGGACGAGTACCTCGAAAATGACACCTTACGGAAGGAGATGGCACAGCTGGCCAACGAAATGCTGGTGAGAACAAAGGAGCGCCGCAGAGCAAAACGCACCGAAGGTTTTGCTAAATAATAGCAAAAGTAATAATAATGTGGTCACTCAACCCACAGGGCTGTTTGTGGGACCCAGGTGTGCGCAATTGGCTGCCGCGTTTCGCCCACAAAACACACATCGACATGTTCATTCGCACTGTTAATGTCCTATCTCCTCCGATTGACCCTGACAGCTCATCTATTTCACCGACTCGGTGTGGTTAACAAGCACTGAACCTCTTTCCTTAGATCATTCCAAAACTTAAAGGAGAAATTACAACTCTGGAAACAAAAAAACAAGATCTGGAAGTGAATCTGCAACAACAAAGACGGGAAATGAGAGGTAACATGCGTTTAAGTACTCGTGAAATTCTGTTCAACAGAGATGTGCGGTGACTGTGAGGCTCTGAGCTGTGACCTCTTCTGTACGTGTGAAAGTTTTCAATTTTTCCTCCTTAACGTATTTAACGATAATTATTATTCTTGCATTTGAGATGCCGCCTTATCATGTGGTCAAAACATCTCAAAGCACTTCACAGGAAAGGCCTTTAAAGGTCAGCAGTTCACTCAATAAAAATCTGGAGTTTGAGCTCGTCAAACACTTTAACCCTTATTCTGCGACCCACCTTTCACGCACAAAGGTTTAAGCGTTCGGACACGGAAGGTTCTGATCAAGCCTTCGATTTCTCAAGGCGCATTTTTTATGGTTCGTAAATCGTGTCTTTAACGGCAAAAATAACGTTCAATTCGACAGAGAAAGTGGAGGAGGTGACGAAACAGCTCCTTGGAGGCCTAGAAGGAGAAGAGTTGCGGAAGAGGTGAGACATCAGATTCAGCGTCTCTGTGTTTTTTTCGGTCACCCGGGTGTCTGACACGTGCGGAGACCCCATCACCGTGCTTAAGAGTCTTCAAGCCGAAGTGAGAATTCCATGCATTATCCGGACGTACACATGGAAACTCCAGAGACAGATTGTTGGAATGGAACGCGCACTCTTATCACGCATCCCGCTTACTTAATTCCGGAGAGTATTAGGCGCAGGTTGGCAAGAGCCAAGGCTTGGGGACCCCCGGAGTGTGCGTTGGGGCAACTGCTGGAGTAACACCAGCTAAAGCATCTCTGTACACGAGTGGTCTGCGCAGGAGTGCAAGTACATGAAAGGTCTCGCTTCAGTTTCATTGTACGAGCTTCACTTTGTCTCGCATTGGTGCAGCAGGCTCATAGTAAGTGTTAATAAAGTGTTAGTTAGAGAGACAGGAATGTGAAAATCTCTTATTGTGAATACAACTATGTCCAGTAAGTACACAAGAGTTTTTTTTTTAAAAGATGGAAATGTTTTATTGTTTGCCAGTCAAATCCCAAATGATGCGAATTGACTATTTTCATTAAAAGGCTGACTTCTGATGATATGGAGCAACTAAATGAAGACGGGGAGCTCTGGTTGGCATACGAAGGATTGAAAGGCGCTACCAGGTTATAAACTTTGAAATTAACTTTAAGTACTCATTGGATTACACCATGCAATGGTAAAGACACTGTTGTAAAATTCTTTGCATGGGCATAATTTACAAGATTGCAATACACCTCGCAAATACTCACATAATAGATATACCTGGTACTTTAATGTCATCTGCTCAAAGAATATATAAATTATACAGTCTAACTTCTGATACCCTTATTCCTTAATACCATTTGCTGAAATAATAATAATAAAAATGATAATCCTTGCATGCGCTATAGTGCCTTATCACGTGATTGAGGCATCTCAAAGGGCTTCGAAGAATATATCGTAAAATGACCTATTTTGTGGGCAAAATATATACTTTGTACGGTAATAAATATATTTATATTTTAAAAATCTGTTTACAGTTGAAAGCTCACATTATTAGTCAGTTTCCAATGCAGCACAGGAACACGCTAGAGCAATAGGGCTAAGGAGTATTTATATACATTTCTGCTATACATTAAAAAATACCATCTCCGGTTTACACAGTAGTTTGAATAGTTTAGGTAACCATTGTCAATTAATTTTTTGGTCGCTTTGTACTTTGTGCAACAGTTCCAGTTTCGCCCACAAAATATACAGTCAATTCACTTCACAGTATATTCTGTGAAGCGCTTTGAGATGTCTCGAAGACATGATAAGGCGCCATGTCAAATGCAAGGATTATTATTATTAAGTGTACGTTCCTGTGGCGTGCAGGGTCCTGGAAGGTCACATTCAGTCTCAGAAAGAGAGCTACGAGAAAGAGATTGAGGACCAGAGCTTTAGAATCGGACACCTCGGTGAGGAGATCACTCGTCTGCAGCAGTTGTTCCAAGAGGAGAATAACACCAACAAGAACGTACGGCAGGAGCTGAATCGCCTGGCAAACGAAAACATGGTACAGTATAGCAACCCAAAAATATTACATTACTGGCCTCTGTAGAGTAGCATATATTTCCTTCCCTCTTGTCTGGTCAGAACCTGGTATCTCTGGTGCAGATCAAAAAAATTAACTGAGGCAAAATAGTAAATAACATTTATCCGTAACAGAACAGGATTTGATCGTTCAGGTTGGTAGGACATGGAATGCTCTGCCTAGGACAGTGGTTGAGCCAAGACCCCATAGTAGCTTTTAAGAGGGAAACAGCTAAATATCTAAAAAACGGGAAATGGAAAAGGTTGTGCGGGAAAAGGGACTAAATGGATGGGTCTTTCAGCGAGCGAGCCAGCCAGCGCAATAGGCTGAATGGCTCCCATCTGTGCTGTAAAATTCCACATTTCTATGCTCTGTACTTTTTTTGTATCACATCACGCATCATTTATTGCTTAGAGCAAGACTGTTTGAGTGTGTTTCTTACCAGCTTGCAATTTCTTTGTGATCGACTGGGAGTCGGACTGTTTCTGGAGCTCTTTCCCCTTAATTGCGTCTCGTGGGGAGTTTGCCGTCCGCTCACAGTGGAAAGGGACGGGTGTGCTCTGGTAAGAAAAGTCTGTTCTGACGTTCTGAGCAAAGCATTTTTTTTGTTTTAGGTTTTGATCGGAGCACTGCACTGTGATTCACAGACAGCCTTCGGCTTATCGTTGAATAAACTCGGAAAGTTTGTGCTTTGAGGCATTGCAATCGTTGTCCCACAGCTATCCCTATCCCATAGCTGAGTTCAAATATCAGTCAAAGCCTGGAGTGAGACTCTGCCCTCCACTATTTTCTCCCCCCACACCCAGAGTGAGCGAGCGAGCGAGGCCCCATGTCCTATATGTCTTAATGAGTGTTTGCTTCGCTGCAGTAAACCACTTTTGTGTGTGCATTTAGGTTATTCCAGAGCTCAAACTGCAAATCTTAGAAGTGCAGAAACAAAAGCAAGAGGTTGAGAAGCATTTACTTGGACAGGTTGTGGATATAAAAGGTGACTATGTGTATGCTACTTAGCATCTGTCTAAAGCATTAGATATAATGAAGTGCGCGGCATTATATCAATCTACGCATTTCAATAAGACTCCATTGCATTTGCAGAGTGTCTTAATTCTCATCTTTCTATGAGTCCCTTCATTGTAAAGATTGGCAATATTGAGAAAATTGAGTCTTTTTTTTTATTAAAACTAAAATTCTTTGACGTCTCCTTTCAAAACCTAGCCTATACTCTCTGGACCTTTTCCTAACTAACCCTTGTCGTGCATTCAGTAACTTAACGGCATCTTTGCCCGCCAAAGATAGTTTGGCATCTTACCCGAAAGAAAGTCTGTACACTGACAAACTAAATTGCAATTCACAGAAAAAATGGAAGAAGTTACTGATCAATTGCAAGGCAACCTTGAAGAAGAAGGATCACAAAGAAGGTGTGGAAGCTCTGATATCAGTGCGCCTACCACAGCGGGCTGTCCTTGGTCCATTCTATGCCCGTGTTATAATGAGGCAGTCAGTGCAGGAGGTTTGTTGACAGCTGCGCAAAGCAGGGAACTACAGTTGCTTGAGATGAGCTGAAGATGTCAGGAAACTGAAACAAATGTAGAAACTTAGTGGAGATGTACAGCGAGGGTACTAGCGTCTGAAAGAGAAAGATAGTGCATTTAATGTCTTGCGTGCGTTTTTTTTGTTGTTTCCTGGCAAAGGGGCCAACCGTAAAAAAATTAACTTGTTTTTCGCTTTCGAGGGCTACCCGACCTCTGCTCTGCGTCCACACTTTTCCGTTCTGCCCACCTATGTTGCTGTTTGTCGTAACGATAACACTATCTTTACATCTTCCCCTCGTTTTCTCTGTGAACCGTGTGTTGTGGTGTGGTGTGGTCTGTTAAACCTCGCTCGTCTGGCAACTATCTTATCTAAAGAACTGACTCGACAGGGCTGAAAATCAGAAGCTTATTATGTACGCAGTGTCTTTTGGATAACTGTGCAGCAACGGTTAAAATCATTACAGCAGTTTTTTTGTAGCTTTTCTTTGCAAATGCAATTTTGCTTAAATGTCTTCGATGCGGGTAGTTTCAATGGGAAGTTTCCAACAGTTTCAAAAGAATTGATAATCAGTAAACCTCTCGAAAAGGATCCTTTTATCAGATTAGAAATTGTCGAGTGTTTTTTTTTCAAAAAAAACACTACATTGACTCATTACTAAAGTGTCGAAAGCCGTTCGAATTTTAATTTCTTTTTAAACAACGTGTAGATTGTTAGAGACCCAGAGAGATAACACTGAAAAAGAAAAGATGGAATTGCTTTCTAAAATCAGACAACTTCAAACTGAAAATTGCCAACTAGCAAACCGGACAAATAACATTGCCAGAATACAACAAGAAGCATCTCATTTAGCCATTGAAAACTCGGTGAGTTGTTTAGTATGCTGCTGTTCATAAAATATCCCCCCCAAAAAAACAATTTCCTTAAAATCTTTCTTTTCGAAGCTTGATCTTAGCAAAAAGAATTGAACCTGAAACGTACTGTTCGTTGGGTTTGCTTTTCGAATGCCGGTGTCTGAATCTGGACCCTAGTCTTCCTGACATTCAAGTTCAACTCTTAAAATTAGACGCATCCAAACCTTTATGAGCCCTAATAAATAGGGCATTGGACCTGCAACCAGGAAGAGGCAAATTCTGAGTATTAATCCCAAAATTGACTGATATCTGAATGTATAAGGTCCGTATTGGGGGCAGATATATATATAATGCTTCCCAACTGGTCTACTTGGTGAAACTCTTCTAAGTGGCAAAGTATCTTTAACTTGGAACAAAGAGAAGGTTGGAAAAGTTGGAGGCTGTTCCTCTCTGATTCCATGAACTACCCTTTCATTGATTGATTCTGTAGAATCTGTGCTCTGGACCCTCTCACTCATCGATTGACTGATGGGGGGGCCGGGGAAGAGTGACAGCAGAATTAACAACATTGAGCACCATACTTGCTTAAACTAAAAGAAGAAATGGGGAAGGCAGGCCAAGGTCTGCACCCAAAAGGAGGGGAGGGAGTGAGGGAATGGGTGGGTGAGAGGCGTGTGTGTTGCATTGTGTATAATGGAACACAAATAAAATTGTCGCTATGAACATCATTTCCTTTTAAAGTTGATATTTTGGTTCGCTTCGTATTAAACTGTCGCAACAAGTTTGTTCAAACAAACAAATTTGGCTAAATCGGATAGGCGAGGGCTTTGTTTGTGATGGTATTACAAATCGTGTTTTGGTTTGTTTCATCGAAACAACGTCGGAAGATTGTGACGTTAAATGAACGTCACAATCTTCCGACGCTGTTGATTCAGAGTCAGTTTATTGTCGTCAGAAAATTCATTCTTTCTTTGTTCTCCTTGGAGGATCTTGAGGAACTGCTGGACCAGAAGGACAGGCAAATCCGAAAGTTACAAGACCAGATCAGATCGTTGACCAAGACAATCGAGAAAGGTACGTAAGTTGGCACTTTTGCACGTGGTTCACTTTGGTGTGGCTGAGTGACCGTAACACAGCTGGCTGGACACGTGAACCTCGGAGGGCTGGGTGGGGGAGAGGGGGGAGAGGGGTGGGTGCGTGAAAAAATACCAAAAGCGCGGTCAAAGAGATAAGTCTTGAGGAGCTGATTTAAGCTGACGAGGAACGCTCTACTTCATAAATAAAGGCAATATTTATTTCTCCAATTGTAATAGAAATGGCGTAATTAACTTGCCCCCCAAAATTGTACAGTTTAAGAATATTAGGGTAGGCTTTTTATGATTGCGTTTAGTGCGCATTTAACTTCTGTCCTCATCATTTTTTTAACAGCAAATGGGAATTTGAATCAAGCCGTCCCTAAGGACTACCTCGGGATGCTGGAGTGTAAAGCTGAAGATGAGGAGAAGCTCGTCAAACATCTAATTTTGGGTAAAATTGTCTTTTTGTAATCTCCAGATCATCTGCTCAGTAGACATTTTATTTGTCTTGAGTATGTGTGAGTGAGAGAATTTGCGAGAGTGTGTGTGTGCGCGCGCGTGTGTGAGTGTGTGTGCGTGCATAAGAGTGTGTGTGTGTGTGTGAGAGTGTGCGCGATTAAAAAGAAAACATTGTTCATAAACATACAATTGAAAATGAATGGAACTTCATTGCAAATTCTATCAGAGCCTTTCATGTATATTCTCCATAGCAAACTTCAAATGCCTATATGATTTTGTCTGTACATTAAAAGCGCTCTCTTAACTACAGATTACTAGACTTCAAGATGCCCGTTAAAAAGATCACAGCTCAGTTACCCAATTTCTACAGCTTCAAACTATTCTAAGTTGTGCTTCGTAAACGGAAAAACTAATTTAGCTTGAAATATCTTCTCTTTCTTTAAATAGTGAATGTTTATGGTGCTGTGTGCGTGTGGGGGAATGTAATATCCATGTTGCACTGGAGTATTTATCTGTGATGCTGAATGTGACTACGTTCATTTCATTTAGACCTGAAACCACAAAGTGTGGTGGTCAATATGCTTCCAGGACTTCCAGCGCACATCCTGTTCATGTGTGTGCGACATGCCGACCGCATTAATGATGCAGACAGTCTGAAATCCCTGATGAACTCCGTGATGAATGGCATTAAAGAGGTTACAAAGGTATGAAATCGCTTTGAGCTGTTTTAGTAAAACAACAAAAAAAAAGTAAGTAATTTAAAAAAGTAAATTTGGCCACTTCAATCCACGACTGCTTGTCGGACGCTGCTGTGCGCAATTGGCTGCCGCGTTTTGCCCACAAAATATGGAGTCAATTCACTTTACAGTCTATTCTGTGAAGTGCTTTGAGACGTCGAGAAAACGTGAACAGTGCTATATCAAATGCAAGGATTATTGTTATATTATTATTATAAGATATCTTTTGTGAAGCGTTTTGAGACGTCTCAACGTGATAAGGCGCTATATCAAATGTAAGGATTATTATTATTACTATTTATATTCATACAACACTTACTTTTTTTTATCTGGTTTAAAAATAAATCTAATCCTTGCTTGTGTTACAGATACACAATGAGGATTTTGAATTCCTGTCATTCTGGCTTTCCAATAGTTGCCATTTCCTTAATTCCTTGAAGCAATACAGCGGGGAGGAGGTAAGAGCAGTTCTCCGTACACAGCGTGGGTGCTAGCCCAACTCTGTGAGGAAGTTCTTTGTTTCATAAATTGTCACCAAACCCCCCAAAAAATGGTGTTCAATGTATTGCTGTAGGTGTAAGACGCAGTGGTGCTTAATTTACAAACGTTGAGTTTTGAGAGTCGTGACTTTTCAACTGTAAATACCTAAATGGGCAATTTTCCAAACACAGTGGTAGGAATTAGGTAATTATTGTCCACAAGATTCACAAGTTTCAGGTTAACTGGATTTTAAGTTTTTTTAAAAACGAAATGAATTGCTGTTTCGCAATTGGCTGCCGCATTTCACCCACAAAATATACAGTCGATTCACTTTACAGCATATTCTGTCAAAGGTTAGGATTATTATTATTATGATGAAGAAGGCCCTTTGGCCTATATCATCTGATTTTTCCAGAATACCTGCCCTATCATAGCCTATCTACAGCATCTAGTGGCTTCTTAAACAAATCCTGTTTCTTCTATTAATTGGTAAATTTCTTATAATTGATTTGCTTTTAATGAAGGAGTTCATGAAGCACAACAATGACCAGCAGAATATGCAATGCCTAGAGAACTTTGATTTGTCAGAGTACAGGCAGATTATGAGTGATTTGTCCATTTGCATCTATCAACAATTGATCGAAGTCATGGAGAAGGAACTTCAGCCAATGATAGGTAAAAGTGATTTACGTTGACACCACACTTGTCCATTTCTGAACATCAGATGTGATGGTTGTACTCCCAGGAAGTCTGGAGCACGTCAAATTATTACACACTGATATTGAAGATACAAGGCATGTTGGGGGTGGGGGAGGAGGAATGGGAAGGGAGAAGGAGTAGATGGTTCCCAAACCTGAGGGGTCTAGATGTATTTGAAAGGGAGGTCTTTCTTTCATCAATCCAAGGTGCTGCCGAAATAAGGTCAGATTGTAAGCTTGGAGCAGTTGTATTTTGTACAGCCTGAATGTGTGCTGCGAGAGAGGGATAACAAGTGAAAAGAGAACTGATTTTTACAAGAAAACTGGTGCACACAAGAGTGTACCTGGTGCACATGTGCGTGCAAAGATGAACTGGCATGTGCACGTACAAGGGAACTACTGGATTTTTATACGGGTAGTTTCGCTGGTGAACACAGTGCTAGTTCAGTGCTGAAATTATTCAGTGCTGAACCATTTTTCTTCTGCTTTAGTGCCCGGGATGTTGGTACACGAAAGTCTCCAGGGCATGTCCTCCATGAAGCCGACTGGTCTTCGTAAACGATCCTCAAGCTTTTTAGAAGAAATGGATGTGTACACCATCTCCTCCATTTTGCAACAGCTGAGCTATTACTTTACCACCATGTGCCAGCACGGCATGGACATGGAGCTGGTCAAACAGGTGGTTAAACAATTATTCTTCCTGATCGGAGCTGTTACCATCAACAACCTCTTCCTGCGAAAGGACATGTGCTCCTGTAGAAAGGGGATGCAAATAAGGTAAGCTCACACAAACATTGGAGGTATTTGTGTTGGAAGATTAGATCTGTGAAGTTTTAAACGGCTGATGTTCCAGAGCAGTGCTGGGGTGAGCACTGTGTTGTGAGAGCTGCTGCTTCTCGGATGTTCGAGACGTTAAACCGAGGTCCCACCTGTCCGTTCAGGATAATGTTAAAGATCCCAGGACACTATTTGAGAAAAGAAGAGTTTGTCCTGGCCAACAATCCCCCGGATAATTCGGCTGCTCACTTCGTGAACGTTTCTGGGACATTGCTGCGCGCAAGTTGGCTGCCGAGTTCGCCTGCAATCACACAGTCGCTACACTTTGCGTTCACTCTTGTGAAGCACTTTGAGACGTTCAACATTGTGATAAGGTGCTTGTTATAATCGAACTCAGGATTTTACATTTTAAATGATACCTGTGACTAAAGTGATGGTGTTAATGTAGGCTTTACGTACGCTGCTAAAGCGTATGGGATTATCCACAACGAATTGTACAGTTTAACATAATTGGAGCCACAGTATGCGTGTTTTACTCTGCTCTGGATGTTTTAACACAAAAGTATTTTTTTTCCAACTCTGGAGAGTTTTCATTAATGGTGTCTTTGTGCTTGGTTCAGATGTAATATCAGTTACCTGGAAGAGTGGCTGAAGGATAAGAATATGCAGAGTAGCAATGCAAAGGAAACCTTGGAGCCGCTCTCTCAGGCTGCCTGGTTACTTCAGGTCAATAAGACAACGGACGATGATGTTAAAGAAATATGTGAAAAATGTTCATTCCTCTCGGCTGTACAGGTCAGATCTAATTTCCGTTATTCCTTATAGTCCTATTTTGCCACTGTGCAATTGGCTGCCGCATTTCACCCACAAAATACAGTCAATCCACTTTACGGTGCATTCTTTGAAGCTCTTTGAGACGTCTCAACGACATGATGAGGCCCTATATAAAAATGCAAGGATTATTCTTATTATCGCACTGTTGTTTCGGCACAACAGTAAAACATGTTTGTGAATATCAGTGTGGTACCTTCATTGCATTGACCTATTTTCAGAGGCAAAACTGCAAGGACTAAAATAACCAGATGGAAGCAATTATTTATCAAGAGAAAAGAGGGAAACCATTGTTTCTCATCTTAACCCTTAGACACGCGGGAAAGTCTCGTCAACTGGTTCTGTGACATGTTCAACGCGCACACAGTGACGTTGAACCTTCCTGGTGTATAGTAGTAAAATGACTGACACCTCAGAATCATTTTTTTTTAACTGTAATATTAATCCTACCACAATTCAGTACTTCCACAGTTATTTCCACAACTAACTTCAGATACATATTTACTTCCTTTGATTCTCCCTCAGAAAAGCCTCTCTGGCCTGTTCTCATCCATTAAGCAGTACATATATTTCTCACGATGGAGTTTTATTTCACTATATTTTAGCTGATTGAATTCACCAAATGAACCCGTTTAGCAGTTTCTTTCACATTTGAACAGTCAGTATCTCTTCAAGAAGGAATACGAAGGTCTTTCTTACCCGAGACGTGTTTTTTTTTCTCTCTCTGGGTGTTTCTTTCATTTCAACCAGATTATCAAGATCTTGAACTCTTACACACCGATCGATGATTTTGAGAAACGTTTGGCTCCATCGTTTGTACGCAAAGTTCAGGTGAGCAAAGGAGGTCAACGTTACGATAATCCGTACCAGCAGAGGGAGCTTTGTATTCATTCAGAATATATCTGTTCTGTGGATTCTCGGTTAGCCTGCTTGCCTCGCAAGCGAGAGGACCCGGGTTCGATTCCCGGGTGGGGGGGAGAAACTTTAGGAAACGAAGAAAGAAATATTGCAAAACTACTCACTCGGAAACGAATTGTCCTTGCTTTTGTTTTCAGTCACAGCTGCAGACTCGTGAAGGTAACCAAGCATTAATAGTGGACATCAAGTATCATTTTCAAGTGACTTTTCCATTCAGTCCGTCTCCGCAGGCACTGGAAACGATTCAAATTCCTAACAGCTTCAAGCTAAGTTTCCTCACCAGGATCTAAGGCATTCTTGAATGAAGACGAGAGTTATTTTGGAAATTGGCGGCTTAAGACTTAATTTGTTGTTGTTAAGACTGTGATGAGTGGTCTGGACTGTACAGAAACGGGCAAATTGCGCTGAACAGGATTTCTTATTACTCTTTTAACTGAGCGTCAAACAAATCTGAATTTGATTACATGACATGTTCTATTGTCTGTGACAGTAGAAATGTGTAAATAATGCAATGTGTTTGTTTGTTATATAAGGAATTGAAAAACAACCATTTGGGGTTGGCTGTCATTTACTACTTTTACAGTATTTAATTCTTTGAAATATTCCGTCAACATTTTGAAGCAGTTATAGAGTTTACTTGGAGAAGAAGACTTAAAACTTAGCTTAATGGCAGAATGGTGCTTTAACATAGAGATGGCAAAACATTGTGCTGCCGGCAAAACTGTAGGTTGAGGTTGAAAAAAATGTTTTGGGCTTTAAAAGTACTTAAATGGATCGTTTTTTTAAAAAAGTTTACAGAACTTAATGTTAGTTATCTGTATTAGTGCACACAATGAAAAAAAATCACATTTAGAACCAAACCCAATTAATGTCTATATTTATCGCTAATTTGTTTCCCTTTGTACAAAGCATATTTTACCTTTTCGTTGTTTACAAAAGCAAAATAAATATATATATATTACAACTAACTATGCCTTTCTTTTCTGCCTTGTTGTAAAATGACAGGGGTTTTAATAAATAATAAATAATAATAATAATCCTTACATTTGGTAGAGTATCTTTCAAGCCAGGAGGGTGTCCCAAAGCGCATCATGGGATATACTGTGAAGAGTAAGTGATTGTGTGTGTTTTGTGGGCGAACACTTAAAAGTTTAAGAAGGAAAACAGAACATAACAGGCTGGTGAGCTTCGCTGAGGACATGTTGCTTCCTGGAGGATGTCTCGAGCTCACGGAAACAGAAGCTCCTTGTGCTGCATTCCCAATGATTCAAAACATCATTCTGCAGTTACAGGAATAGTGTCTGTGGCGTTCTCTGCGCGACTTTAATCAAATTGCTGTATAATGTACTAATGGGAAAAAGCTGGTGCAAGCTGAGCAGCTGGACTCCTCCCCTGAGGTGAAATGTCTTTGCTTTACCATCTGTCGTTTGCCTAAGTTGATAATCAAACTGGCTCTGCAGCCGTAGTATTCTAGGGCACTGCTAATGACGGCACAGCCAGCCTGGCTTATCGGCAGGACTTAGAAGGGCAGACTAGTCACTGGGAAATCATCCCCCCCCCCTCGTTGCAAATCTTGCGTGTGACGATGGTGCGTGCTGCACAACCAATGTGACCAGAGAACAAGAACGTGGCTCACGCAAACATTTGTTTTATTCCGAAGAGGAAGTCATTATTCATTGACTGCTGTTCCAAGAATGGTGCTTAATGAGGCATTCATTCGATTCCCATGGTACCTCTTCAACCAGACATTGTTGGGCACTTTGGTATCATCTGTTCTAACCGTCTGACACGTGTATAATATTTAGCAACAAGCTTATTTTGAATTTTTTTCTTTGGACTATTAAAGGCTCTGGCCCTTCCGATGAGTGAGCCTCACAGTATTGAGCACACACACACACGTTTGAGTTTGCTTGTATGTTTGACTCAAAATCTATCTGGGTGAGTAACATCCAACTATGAGGAATGCATATGGTAGCCTCTGTTGTATTGGTAAGGCCTAATACCGAGAAATTACTGCAATGAAATACTTTTAATTTAGCTAATCCACGTACAACACTTGGTCTACTCAATCCACGACTGTTTGTGGGACACTGCTGTGCGCAATTGGCTGCTGCGTTTCACCCCCAAAATATACAGTTTGTTCACTTTACACTATATTCTGTGAAACTTTTTGAGAACGTCTCAACGATGTGATGATGATAATAATAATAATAATCCTTGCATTTGATTTAGTGCCTTATCACGTCTTCGATAAGGCGCTATATCAATGATTATTATTGCGCAATATGCATTTGACTTCGCTGTGTTAAATGTCTCAGCAACTGCAGAGTACTTTGTAGTATTGGATAAGCCTAAGCGCTGGGTTTTGCAGACGAAATGGTTTTTTTTTGTTGATCATTTGGAGAACAGCACTTCACTTTCCTCCTTAAAACGGGGTCATTGCAATGGGGTGAAATGTTTTAAGTTGTACTTTAATTGTATTCTTTTTAAAAGTAAAGAAAATTCAGATTTTCCCCAAAATGCAAAGCAAATCTTAAGGAATTACTGCGTCCAATGCAAGCAAAGGTATCACCAAAGATTTGTAGCTAAACTATAATCCTCATTATGAAGATTACCGAACAGTCCTTTCAGGCTGACCTGTTGGTTTATTGGAAAACCCAAACACATCAAAGTGTTCACAGTGCAGACTTCCAGCCTTATTTAAGAACCAGGTATGTCTAATTTGTTTTCAATTATTTGGTTTGGGATTTATTAATTATCAGACACCTATTTTCACACATTTATTTCAAAATACATTGTTAATTGTCTGCACTGGCATTCCCCCAAAAATTCTCTGATCTTTATTCAATATGTTCATGCACGACGGTATTAATTGTTAGTTGTGGTTGAGCTGTGAAAACTCACAGCGGAATATGGCGCGTTGATTTAATTGTGTTCAATGAAACAAAAATTGATTTGAAATCCAACTCGTCACGTTTGTTTGTTTGTCTGTCTGTGTGTCAGATCGACCTCGAAACTGACAAAAATTGACCACGAGAGAGAACGGCTTTGATCGCAAGTGTATTCTTGTCATATAGCGGTTATTTAGGTCTGTTGTTTTTGTTTGGGTTAAAGTGCAATGGAATGTATTAACAGAATTCTGCCGAGTGTGTGTTTACCCACGGGATCCGAAATAAGGCCACCTGCGTACATACATGTTGCGTACTGTACTTAATCCAGATTAGCAATGTGCAAACTGTGATTACTGCTTCTTTGCATAACCTCTCTGTTGTAGATCGGCTGTTTGTTTCCAGTCTAATTTTGCGCCGTTACATTTTGCTGGAGAGATGTGTGACCAAACGTTTGCTGCCAGCACCTTTGGCTCCTGTGAAAAATGCAAGGATATAGGACCCTTGCGGAATCTGTACATCAATTCAGACCAATTCAACTACTGCTCATTATGCGTGGAACTGGTGAGGAATTAATTGGTGGATCAATCAATTGGAAAGTGTTTGAGCGCGGCGATGAATGCATCCTTTAAAAACTGGATCGGGGGAATACTAGTGTGTTTAAAAAAAAATCTTCTTAATAATAATCCTTACATTTGATATATATCACCTTATCACGTGGTTGAGATGTCTCGAATTCCTTCACAGGATGCACTGTAAAATGGATTGACTGTTTATTTTGTGGGAGAAATCTCTGCAGAAAAGCAATAGAATTTCTTTGCAAAAAAAGCCCCAAAATTGACACTTATATCGCCCCACCACCCCAATCACTATGGTCATAAACATACACCACCTAACGGATCAAGTAAGACGAACGGAATTGTCTGTGTGTTAGTTCTGTCTCCCCCCCTCCCTCGCCCCATCACTTTAATTATTTTGAAATGGAAACTTATGGAAACTTCGGTACTGAGAGTGATAATAATTACTGGTCTTGGTTTAACACACTTTGCCCTGTTTCGCCTTGAATCTGTGATGTGATCAGTTCTGACACTATCTATCTAAATGCTTGAATAATTCAGAGACTCCTGGCGTTTTGGGTTCAGGTTTGGCCACACGGATCCATCCATCATGTAGTTCTAGTGCATGGAACATGCAGCAACATACATGATGGAGATGGCGCAAATCCATGGGTGGGTGGAGGTGGAAAGAGAGAACCAACACAGACAACTCCTTTTGTTTTACTTGACCCATTAGGTGGTGTATGTATATAACCACAGTGATGGGGAGGTGGGGGGGGGGGGGTATAAATCAGAGTAATTTTATTGTTAACTAAAAAAAAAATCCTATTTTTTTAAATCAGGGGATTTTAGTTTCTCTTCTTTGTTGCATTCTGTCTACTTGTGCCTTAATGAAATCTCATGCCACATCCCAATGGGAGTGTGCGATGTACGCGCGCGTGTGTCGGTGTAGAGGGATGGAGAGGGGGGAGAGAGAGAGAGAGAGAGAGAGGATTTCGAGGACTGTGAAATATGACTGCGAATCCTTGTGTGGCCTCCGCCACAGAATGGCTGTGAATCACAATAATAATAACAACAACAATAATAACAACAATAACGATCCTTGCATTTGAGGCAGCGCTTTTTCACGCCTTCTCGACGTCTCCAAGCGCTTCACGGAATAGACCGTAAAGCGAATTGACCGTACGTTTTGGGGGCGAAACGCGGCAGCCAAGTGCGCGCGGCCAGAGTCCCGCAAGCAGTGGTGGACTGAAGTGACCAAATTATTATTATTGATGTTATTCTTGTTGTTGAGAAGAGTGGAGCTCACACACACACACACACACACAGTACACACACACACACACACAGGTCCCATCACTACCTTTATTATTTCGGCAAATCGTCAGGGGGATTTGAGGGCAGTGTTTTGATCAGTTGATGGCTGGTGGTGGGTGACATGAACAGCATCTCTGGAGGGATGGAGGGAGGGAGGGATGGAGGGAGGGAGGATGGACCATTTCCAACATCCTCCCACTGACGTCAACCACCTCCATCTAAACCCATCTCTCTGGGCAGCATCTCCTGTTGGTCCTGATTCATTGCAAACGTTTGAGTGTCTCTCTCTCTCCCTCTCTCTCTCTGTGTCTCTGTGTGTGTGTCTCTCTCCCTCTCTCTGTGTCTCTGTGTGTGTGTGTCTCTCCCTCTGTTTGTGTGTGTGTGTGTCTCTCTCTCTCTCTCTCTGTGTGTCTCTGTGTGTGTGTCTCTCTCTCTCTGTTTCTCTGTGTGTGTGTCTCTCTCTCTCTGTGTGTGTGTGTGTCTCTCTCTCTGTGTCTCTGTGTGTGTCTCTCTCTCTCTGTGTCTCTGTGTGTGTGTCTCTCTCTCTCTGTGTGTCTGTGTGTGTGTCTCTCTCTCTGTGTGTCTCTGTGTGTGTGTCTCTGTGTGTGTGTGTGAGAGTGTCTCTCTCTCCCCCTCTCTCTGTGTCTCTCTGTGTCTGTGTGTGTGTGTGTTTTATTAACAATTTATTTTCCTGTTTGATTCAATTTAATTCAATACAATTTAATTTAATTTATTTACAACAAAAAAAACCCACACCCACCCCCACCCCCACCCCCACCCCCACTAACCCTCTCCCCCCCCCCCCCCACCCCCTCTCCCCACCAAAAAAAAACACAACCACCTCTGGAAGATGGCAACTGAGGCTCTGCAGGAGAACGAAACTGTGGCATCGTTGAAGGACGAGGCTGAAAGCCTGAAGTCTAAGCTCGAGGAGGAGAGGGCGAAGCTTCACGATGTGGAACGTGAGTGAGTGCAGAGATGGATAGACAGACAGATGTGTGAGTGAGTGAGTGTGTGAGTGAGTGATGGGTGGGAGAAGGGCTCAGTGGTGATGTTTCTGCTGTTTTCTCCTCCCCCCCCCACCACCCAATTTTTTTTTGCAGACAATACACAAGTCATTCCTATTTGCAGAGACACACACACACACAGAGAGAGAGAGAGAGAGCTTTATTATTGAGCTCTCAGTTGTCTCATGTATTTATTGCAGTTTCACCCCCCCCCCCCTTTTGCGAGGTGCAACATCTGTTTGCAATAAAGTGCAAATTCATCCTCTCCACCACACCACACCCCCCCATACTAATCGTGATATCACCCGTGTGTGTGTTAATATTATTATTATTATTATTATTATTATCATCTGTGTGTATTAATTACATATTTAATATGTGCAAATTATCACTTTAAGCAGCAAACACTAACCGTGAAATCTCATTTTATTTTTTTATTCATTTTATTATTATCTTATTGATACTAATTATGATTAATAACTAACACGTTAATGATAATGTTGAAAATGTTAAAATACGTGCAAATTAATTCCTCCCCCCACCGCCCCCCCCCCCCCCCCCCCCACCACCACCACCAAACAAACACTAACCGTTAAATCATACTTTGTGTGCGGTTTAATATCCAACTGCATGACACGAATAGAATGGATTACACACCGTTATTATTTATTATTGTTGAAACGACACAGCCCGGGTTCAACGGGCAGCGGTGGACTATCTCCTGGGGGCGCGTTTAAGTAGAGAAAGCGGTTGATTAACATCTGTTTAGGTTCACTGCTTTTACTGGAATGTATGACTGTTCAGTATCAGCGGGAGTTGAATGAAAAGGAGTTAGATTTTTGACAAGTGATAGGTTTCCAATTGGTTTCTGGAGGTATTTTTAATGTACATTTCATTCGCCTCGAAGAATGCAACGTGTGGAATGAGCTTCTCACAGCGAGGTTTAGGCAGAACAATTTAGATTAATTCACAACACTAAAAAGTGGACCCACTTATGTGAAGGATCCTCAGCAACCCACCATAGCAACAGTGCAGGTTCGTCAAACTGAGGACTGTTTCGAATATCAAAATAGTATACAGGAAGCAATACCTGACCTTACAGTTTAAAAAAAATCCTTGCATTTGATATAGCGCATTATCATATTGATGAGACTTCTCAAAGCGCTTCACAGAATATATTGTAAAGTGCAGTGACTGTGTATTTTGTGGGCGAAGCACGGCAGCCAATTGCGCCCAGCAGCGTCCCACAAACAGTCGTGGATTGCGTGACCAAATTATTATTTTCGGTGGGGTGGAGGGATTAGCCCTTCAATCACTTGATACCACAGCAATCTCTCAGAATTTTATGGCATAAATCATTAGAAACTGCACTTATAAATAGTCAACGGTTGTGAAGTTCCAGCGAGGTTTAAAGCGTGAAATTCTTAACAACCTTCGCATGAACAGCGTTGTCTTAAAGTTCAGGTCGGTGCAGAATTTCGGAAAATTCTTAGATTCACTCTTAATTTGGAAGCTGGGTTTCCTGAGGTTCTTTTTCTGCGATTATTTATTTTTAAAAAGACACAAACGCTCGCTTGTTTTCCTGTCCTATTTAGTACACCAGGTGGCTGAACGCGCGGAGGCTCTCGGCCAGTTTGTGATGAAGACGAGACGGACCTTGAAAGGTCACGGAAACAAAGTGCTGTGCATGGACTGGTGCCGAGACAAGAGGAGAATTGTCAGCTCATCACAGGTTAGAACCGTGTCCTTTGCCTCTACCGTTTGGGTGTCAGTGTCTTCAGTGGAAAAGCTTCACCAGTAGCACTAACAACAAGTGTGTATTTTAAACCGAGGCGAGGACATGCATGGACTTGACATTAATGGCTCTGTGGTCATAAGAAACATCTCGACTTTCTTTTCTGATTTATAATAATAATAATAATAATCCTGCATTTGATATAGCGCCTTATCACTTCATCTCGAAGCTCTTCACAGGATGCAAGGTGTAATGAGTGCAACTTGTAAGCGACTTATCTTCTCAGACACAACTGAAAAGTAGTTTAGAAGTGAAGAGAATGGTCTTGGCCTCAATGTAGAAGACAATTCAGTCAATACTTTGATCCGTAGGCATCCATCCTTTTGACTTTTAGGCTGAATCATTATTTTATTTCCCCTTTAATTCTATTCAAAGACAGCACCATAGATTGTTTTTATTCCTGCCCCCCCCCCCCCCCATCTTTTGATGGACACAAAACTGTAGCATCTATGGCAAAAAGCAAGACTATTGTAAACGATTTCAGTTCAGGAAGAAAGTCTAAAATGACATCACCGTTGTATATCTCCTTTGCAGTTTTGGAACGGAGACTGTTTGCATTTTGAGTAATGGATTGCCAAGTGACAGTATCTCTACAGATAGCAATAAAGCTGGCAGCAGTCTTTTGTTAGCATCAGGGGTGTGAGAGAAACTGACTGGTTTGGTGGCAGTGGAAGGGGAGATAAAGGCAAGAGCCACTGTCAACCTTACAGGATGAAACTAAGCAAACAACAGTGACGTAGGGAACAACAACTGATATGAAAGGAATGTGTAAGGAAGAGCTGCTTTTCCAGTTAACGCACTCACGGAGAACACAGCAGCTGTGATCAGCTAGTGATTTCAACAGAGAGGGTGGAATTATGCATGTACTCACTATCACTTGCCAGGGTTCTGGCAAATGGCCCCCTGTATTCTGACTTTTTGAAATTGACCAGGTGTTGAGCAGCAGCGAAAGCAGAAGTTCATACCAACCGTAATTATTTATTCAACCCTGAGAGATGATGAACAGGAAGCTGCCCTCTTGTGCATGGGTGACATGTTGAGATTGTTGTAGGAATGTGATTGGGTTACTCACTGTATCTAAAGAAGGTCTGTCCCGTTCAGTAGCGGTGAGAGAGGCGTGCTGTGCTGCTCATGGTGTGAGGGGTCTGATATTTGCAGTTTATGCGGTTTGGCTTTCACCTGCTTTAGGTGTATCATCCTATCTATTGATACCAATGGATTCTGTTCTCACGCTGTACCTTAAAAGTGTGCGGGGAGCAGATTGTGTGGGGGCAGTGCCTTCTTCGAGATGAGAGGAAAGAAGCCTTTACTATTTCACACTAATGCCTCCTAACTCATTGACCAAACAGACTGAGAACTGCAGTGTAGGCCTTCAAAAATCCCATATGTGCTGCTTTTCTGGCTAACATTCAACCAATCAGATGTCTGTGCAGCATTTTGCAACAATAATGGGTGCAAATCCATCAGAAAAGAAAATGCTTCCCAGACAGGAGAAATATTCATCGGTTGCTTCACACTGAGCAGAGCTCAGTGACATCTGGGGACCTTCTTTGTAACCAGAGCTTGTTGTCAGAGGGCATTCTCTCATCGCTGGTCTTTTGTGCAGAGTAGAAAAGCTTTCAGGTTGGCTCCACATTCTAACATTATGTTGGAAGTTTCATTTATTAGTTTCTTTTTAAAAGTTCAATGTGTTTATCAAACTGGAATTGTCTTATTTATAGACTGTTCAGTGGATCACCTAATATTTGAACGGATTGGGACTTGAACCCAGCCCCTACTTTGGAAACGTTCTGAGCTAGACTGGAATTGAATACTTGCATTTTTAATCCTGTTTTCTTAGGCAGGGACTTGTGCACAGCCTAACGTTTGAGAAACTGTCATCAAAGTTGGTAGGGAGTTTGGAGGAGAGGGTAGGGGCTTTTTACCTCAACTAATATATAGGAAAAAAATAGCTTTTTAGGAAGCTACAGATTAAAAATGCCTGGAATGTAGTTGAAATTCAACTATACAATTGCCTGCTGATAAGCTACCAGTTACAACCCTGTCAGGCAATGTATTGCTTCTGTGACATTTTTGAAGCTGATTCAGATGTCAATTCGGATGCAACAATTAACAACGCAAAATCGCTTTTGACCTTGCTTGTGGTATGGTATGCGCATTTAGAAGCACTCTCTTAAAATCATGCGTGAAAAAGCATCAATGTGAATATCCATTAGGCTGAATATAAATGCTTGAGTTCAGTCTTCGTTGCATGCTCCGGAACACTCTTATTAGTGAAGAAGAAGCTTCAAATAAAAGAGTGATCAATAGATTTCTGTATGGCTGGAGTGTAGTTTTGTGTTACATTAAGAAAAGAAGCTTATTTAGGAATAATTGGCACAAGTCAGGAGTTTATTGTATGGAAGGCTAGATACTGTATATGCACCTGATGCAATGTCAGTGATAAACCGCATGGTGAAAGAGGCAAATTCAGGCATTTCTGCCATTGACTGTGAGTGTCTGAAAGCAGCAGTTTGTTCTCAAGGCAGGGTACAAAACAGAAACTGGTTTGCTTATCTTCCCTGTTTATGTAGGAGGGTTCCATCCCACGGGCAGTAAATTGCGTGCTGGGCCGTAAGCTCACAACTGTTCTGCTAATTAAAAGTCGTTCACTTCCATCACACGGGGTCTCAGTAGAAGAATGAACTCCCACGTGCTCACGCTGTATAATTTATAATTTAGGTTTCAGGCCAGAGAGGTAATGAAACACCCAGAATATAACATTGTTGGAAAAGTGAAAAACGGATTGAGCAATCAAGGAGAGGAAATGAAATGGCTAGACAGGACTGCTAGCCAGATGGCGACTAATTTAACAATTCATAAATACGTCTGGGATAACTTAACTTTTCTGTGGCTAATTCCTGCCAACAGCAATTTTACAGCATCGGGTAACTATAAATATGAACTGGAATCTGCTTGAGAACATTATATTCGCAAGGAATTAACCCAACACATCTCGTTTATAAATGCGGTTTCGATCCCATTGATTTCTGCGCTTCTCTATTGAAGGGAGCACAAGGTTGAATAATGGAAGAATACAGTGGAGTCTTTTGCTTGATTGGCTTTGTGTTTTTTGCAGACCTTCAATCAGATGACTTTCCGTCAGCATCTAAAAGCGCTAATCTTTATGTATTTGGAGAGTTTGTAAAGAAGGTTGAGAAATGCAGTCGTACGTGTTTGGGGTGGGGATGCTGTGGGAGAGGGTTCATCAACTGAATGTTATATGTTTTTATTTGGTGGCCAGGGTTGAGTTCTGCAAATGTTGGTCTCATAAAAGTATGAATGTGCATTAGTTCAATTATTTTTCTTCTGCTTTTAGGATGGAAAGGTTATTGTGTGGGATGCTTTCACCACAAACAAGGTAAGTTCCAAACTCAAGTATACAATGAGTCCTTTACTGTAGCAATGCACTTTAACCATTTGAAGAAGCAAAGACTGCAGATGCCAACATAGTTAAGTCAGTGGAATCCCCTCTATGTACATCCCTTCCTTGGAGCCCTCTCATGACTTTGTCCATGTGACATTCAGTCATCCTCGCCTGGGAAAATCAGGAATTGGTATCAAGTGTTCTGAGGATTTGTTTTTAACATAATAATTGTGTTTATTCTGCTCCAGTTGCTCCTTGTTTTTTCAAAGATTCATTGAATGGAATGAACAGAGAAAAATAACGTCCTCGGTTTCTTTCTCTCCCGGGGCACCAAGCGGAGGAGCCAGCTGGCTGAGGATGTGTCCCATTTGTGTCTGATTTTGGAGAATGCATTTGCCGTCATAATCTCCACAGGGTTTAAAGGAAAAATGTTTTTTTTCCCACAGGCGTTCACTTCATCTAAATTTAGTATTCAAGCTTAAAGTTTGATGGCTTGGAACTGCCAATTTATAATAATAATAATGATCCTTGCATTTGATGTAGCGCTTTTCACGTCTTCTAGACGTCTCAAAGCGCTTCACAGAATACACTGTAAAGTGAATTGACTGTATATTTGTGGGCGAACGCGGCAGCCAATTGCGCACAGCAATGTCCCACAAACAGTCGTGGATTAAAATGACCAATTTATTATTTTGTTTTCCTGAGGGATTATTATCAGGCGTGTGGAGTAAGGAAATTTGCCCAAGGTGTCACCCTGCTGGGAATCAAACCCAGGTTTCTCGCTTGCAAAGCGAGTGCTCTAACCACTGAGCTACAGGACTCCACTTATCAATTTAACCCCTCCTGATTTAAGTCCTAATCATAAATAATTCACGGAAAAATTGTTCCCCATCACTTTTTTGGCTTGGCTATCATCTGTTCAACACGCTTATGATTTTAAACCATTTCTTACACCTCTCCAAACCATGTAATGCTTGAAAGAAGGAAATGTGACTGGCAACTGGTAGTGTTTAACTCATTGATCAGTTTGAGGCTTCCAGTAGCCCAACTCATACTGATTATTGTCCTGTCCTGAATGGTATCTGCAATTTACAGGAACATGCCGTGACCATGCCTTGTACCTGGGTGATGGCCTGTGCATATGCTCCATCAGGCTGTGCTGTAGCATGCGGGTAAGTACAAAGTTACCCTGTGTTTTTCCCCCAGTTTACGTTTCCGTAGGAGGTCAAGGAACGAAAATGATTGCAGGCATGTACCCTGGTCTCTGTGCTGTTGAATAGACTGCCAACACTCACCGTCAAGGTTTACATTTAATGAGGTACCAAAGGGTGATTGGGGTCAGATTCCGCCACTGTCAAGTGCCCTGGGACACCACCCTGGGTGAAGGCGCTGTATAAATGCAAGTTGTTGAACTGTTGCCCAGTGGAGGGGTGAAAGGAGAAAAGAAGTGACATTTCTTTAGGAAAGGAATGGAATAGAGAAGATTGGTGAGAGAAAATGCCACCGAATTAAGCTGAATGATCTTTTTCACTGCTGGGGCGCCGAGTAATTATTAGATTTTTCGGTTCTTCTGCCGATGACGTTGAGTGTCTCTTAACATTTCCAGGGGCTTGGACAACAAGTGCTCTGTGTACCCACTGACGTTTGATAAAAATGAGAGCATGGCTGCCAAGAAGAAGTCTGTCGCGATGCACACAAATTACCTGTCTGCCTGCAGCTTCACTAATTCTGACATGCAGGTGAGGCCATACAAATATTTTCCCATTTTTATGTTGAAAAAATTAACGATGGCAGGATTAATATAAACAGAATAGTCAGTTGGACAATTATGAGATGAAGAATTCTATTCCTAAGGAAGGCTTTTTTGTTTACATTATTTTTGTTGCTCATTTTCTTCCATTTCCTCTCCTCCTCTCGTAAAGTCGCTGGAGTGGTTATATAATTTATTTATATAGCTTCTCTGGTGCCTTATCCAATCAGCCATGCTTTATGTTACAGTTTCGACATGTCGACAGGCAACTTTTAAAGGAATTCCTTTGCTGTGTCTTAAAACTTGTCTTAAAAAATGTAGACTATGAAATTGAGCCCTTATTACTGGTGTTTATACTGCTGGGAGGAAAGCCACTTCACCACAATGGGCTCAAGTCCAGCCTATGATGATGGGATAAAGGTTCCCTCTCTTTTTTATTAAGGACCTAAATGAAATGAACATTGCAGACTCAACCATCGGAGGTGCTTTCAAAACTCTGGAACACTCTCCCTCGATCCCTCCACCTTGACCCCTTCCTCTCCTCTTTCAAGTCCCGCCTGAGGACCTTCCTCCCCCCCCCGTCTCGGAGTCAGGCTCCGCCACTGTTAAGCGCTCTGAGATGCTGCCCTGGGTGGAGGGCGCCATATAAGTGAAAGTTGTTGTTGTCTCAACCCACACAGTATAAAAATGCCCACGATTTAGCTTCAATTTCAGAGACAAGTGTAACATTAGGTGTAGATTATGTGCTGTTGTGAAACGTAGGGCTGATGTCTTTACTTAACAGGATGCAGGTACTTCAATCTTTGGGATTATTCCCCCGCGCTGCCCTTTATTCGCAACCTCACTAGGTGGCACATGTGCACTAGAAACAGCAGCTGCGAACACTGGCTATGGATGCATTATTGTCAAACACTACAGTCGAATACGTTTATGACTTCCTGTGTTTTTTTTATTGTCATTGCGAAAAGACTCCTTCCAGAAGCCTTTCGTAACATTTGTCCATTTGGAATGGTCTTTCTCTTTCACTTGCTTTATTGCGTCTCCTCAGATTCTGACAGCCAGTGGCGATGGGACCTGTGCTCTCTGGGATGTTGAGAGTGGGCAACTTCTTCAGAGCTTCCATGGACATGGTGCTGATGTCCTTTGCCTGGATCTGGCACCATCTGAGACAGGCCACACGTTTGTGTCTGGGGTAAGTGTCTTCTCTCTTTAAACTACCAGCCTTTAGGCTTGATTAGTGCAACCTGGATACAGTTGGAACAAAGCCATAAACCATTTTTCAAAGAAGGTTGTATGATATTTTGTCTGTTAAAATAATAATACAGTATTTGCATTTGATATAGTGCCTTGTCACGTGGAAACACGAGCTTAGTTACTTTTAAGTGAAATGTTGTGCAGTGGATGGAAAATCACTGTGTAGAGAATTGGATGGGAAAGCAAGGTCAAGTGCAGTCATGTCAAGCGAGCATTTTCTCCCACTCAATAGTTTATGGATCGGCAGCCAAAATAAATGCAAGCCAGCAGACAGCGTTTTTTCAGAGATGAATCCATTATTTAACTATAATAACAATCTTTGCATTTGATGTAGCGCTTTATCACATCTTCGAGACATCCCAAACTATAACAAAAAATGCAACCTACGGGATGCATGAAAGTCAGTGTTTGCACCTGTCTCTTTCTTTATAACATTTCTGTGGCAATTTAGCTGAATTCTGGTTTCCTTCCTGCCAAATGTTCTAAGTGCACCTGATACTGTTGTGTAGAATGTACCAAATTTCATTTTCAAGTACTTCAGTCATATTTGGTGCTTCTGTTTATTTCCAGGGCTGTGATAAGAAGGCAATGGTATGGGATATGCGCTCTGGCCAATGTATCCAGTCCTTTGAGACTCATGAGTCTGATATAAATAGTGTGAGGTTAGTAGTTGTATTATTTAATGACTTTTTGTACTGTGAGAAAGTCTTTTTCAGGCTTGAAGTTGTATTTTTCCAGTAACCTATCCAAATGTTAAACAAAGTCATTGTAAACTTTATCTTAATCTCATGTTACATGTCAAACACATTGAAGCTTAGGGTTAACCCTAACCCTAACCTCAGTGAGTATCATTTGAGAAATATTAAGGTTTTATTATGTGTACTCTTTATAATTATACACTTAAAATCAAGGCTCTAATTCAGAAACGTTCTACACATTTCAGATTCTACACAAAAACTGGATTACAGTATAAATTGATACTTAAGTTCGTTCTCTCACAACAGGTATTATCCCAGTGGTGATGCTTTTGTTTCTGGTTCAGACGATGCCACAGTAAGTTGAACTGTTTTGTATTTCCCATATCTTATTGTGTAAGAGTTAAAAGGTTCCAGAATACTAACATTGTTGTTAAAAATTAATAATGTCAATATATTTTATGCTTTGTTTGTGCCCGTTAACCCATGGTAAGCAGGGAAATCTCCCTTTACATATTGTTTTGTTATTGTGTTCACAAAAGTCGGTCTTCCATTTCAATGAACTTGAATAAATCTCCGAGCTTTTTTTTAAAAAAAACAAGAATATACTCTAGTAAGAACTCTGTGCTTCCATGAGAAACGTGTGTTGTTCCCACGCCTGTGGAGTTGGCTTGCAAGCTCACATGCCAATTGAGGTTAGTGAACAGGTTTTGGGCTATTTTAAGACAACTTTGTTTTGGTAAGGACCCACCTATTTAGTGTCCTGAATAACAACAATGGAGCTACACATACTTTTTCAAGGCCAGTTCTAAACTGAACAGTCTTAAGCAGTTGGATTAGGACAATATCCTATTTTGAGCCACAATAAAATGCTGATCTGTGAAATCCTGAGCATCAGTGCTCATTTGAGTAAGAAAACATTTCTGACCAATATGTCCTGTGTGAAAATTTTGAACTGCATCTGTTTGCAGTTGATTATCAGGTGGATTTACATACTTGCTATTGATGTTTGTTGTAAGAAACTGCTTTATCCCCTTAGGTTAATAGCTGTTAGGTACTTTCACTACCTATTCTCCAAATGCACGTGAGAATTTTTTTTGAAAAAGGCACAGAAGCCTTAGATGAGCTGCCCAGCTAAATCTGTTTATTTTCTCGACCATGTGGAGTACATTTCAGCTGATTAATGATATCAGGATCAGTGATAACCTGCTTCAATTGAAGCTCCTGAATGAGTGTCTGCAGCAGAAAAGATTGTGCAGAATCGTGACCTGTTCGGGATGTGGTCAGCCAGATTTCTGTATTTGTTAAAAGCTTGATTGCTTTCAAGTTCACGTTGGGGGGAAAAAAAACTTTGTAAAGGTATATGGAAATCCCTTCAAAGAAAACCCCAGTTTCTTGATCAGTTTTCAACCATACCAGATTGCCAATGTCTCAAAACAAACTTGAAATTCTTATGTAGACAGGGTGAAATAAGACTTGTTTTTTTCAGTGTCGCCTGTACGATCTCCGTGCGGACAGAGAAGTAGCTGTTTATTCAAAAGATAGTATCATCTTTGGAGCTTCCAGTGTGGACTTTTCCCTCAGTGGTAAGTCTATCAGTGCAACTTCTCTGCCAAGTTCTAGACACCCATTTACAGTTCCTGGGAATCTTCTTACATTCATATTAAGCCAGATTTGTCACGTTGTTTGGCAATCACATAGTTCTGTATCGTAAAAAAATTAACAGGTGTTGACGTGATAAGGCTCTATATCGATTGCAAGAGTATTATTTTTGCATGTTGTGCAAGAGTATTATTTTTGCATGTTGCTTGACTACCTTAAAAAAAATCTGTAAGTGAACATCTTTAGTCCTGTATCTCCAGATCTTGAATATTTAAAGTAAACACGAGTTTGAACAATTGTCCTAATTGTTTGAACTCAGCTACCTCCAATGCGTTGGTTCCATCACTTCACCAGCTAGACAGGGCGATTTGCAGTGACAGAGTCCTGTTTTGAAAAGCACATTTGGGTTTTATTCATGTTATCGAGTGACATTAGATTGATGCCAACTTTGAAGATTTTAATCTAGAATGCATTACTGTCCTGGCTGAAGGAAGATTCTGTTTAACGAGAAAAAAGCAAGATAAACTGCAAATATAAACCTGTACACTTTTAACTATTGCATTCTTTAGGCCGTCTTTTGTTTGCTGGCTACAATGATTACACCATCAATGTGTGGGATGTACTGAAGGGAACTCGAGTGTCCATACTATTTGGGCACGAGAATCGGGTCAGCACTTTGCGGGTTTCCCCTGATGGCACTGCTTTCTGTTCAGGGTCATGGGATCATACTCTGAGGGTAAGTGTTAGGTCTATTAATTAATACAATTTAAATAATCTTGCTCTACATTTTATCAAGCTTATTTCACATCCAGTGACTGCATCAAGCTGTTGCAGTTTGATAAATATCCAGCAGAGAGGAACCAACAATAATAAATAAATTGAGTACTTAACTTTGCATCTCAGCTCTACAAAGAATTGGGAAGAGAAACTTCACCTTCGTGGTTACCCTGTCCCCATTTGCATTGAAAATGACAATATGATGGATGAAGTAAGTTAGTTATTGCCAAGTTATCCTATCAGACCTGATCTCACCCATCAGCATGGTAACCCATCAAAAGGTAGAGGGATTTGTTTATTACTCAAGAATCCAGCCAAAGTTGACATAGATGTAACTATATTAAACTCTACATTTCTAAGCCTTGATTTTCTGAAAAACATGGCTTTGGAGACATTTTCGGGCATTCAAAGGCTACAATCTTTGAATTTGGCTGGGATCTGGGAGGCAAAGGAATTGGGGTTATACTTTTATAGCTGTAAGATAAGGGTTTATGTCAGTCAGTAAAAACGAAAAACTTTAAAATAGAAATCCAGGGAAACTGGATTTTTCCTGGATGTGGGTGCAGTTCTTATGTTCTTAGTCAGAGGGTTAACAGCACATATATCTAATGCAATACTGAATTTGTTTTATTTTAATTTGCAGATCTGGGCTTGAATTTGTTTCGATTCCTCTCTCTCATTCCAAAAGAAGATTCATTTCATAGATTTTTTTTGGAATACACAGTATGATGATTCAATTCTTAGACTATCTGTTTTAGGAAAACAAATAATGTGGGATTGTGACCATTTAACCTATAGTGACTAAAATTATTTAAGAATCCGAGAGGGAAATAGATGCTCAAACTAATGGTGTATTAATGCACTAGAACACATAATAAATAAAATGTTTAGGAATAGTTGGCCCTCTTTTCCAAAATATCAATGGGATAAAATGTTCCCACTTTATAAACGTTTTCCTATATGCATCCGTGTGGAGAATAATTTCAGTTGAATATGAAAATTTGCATAACATAAGACTTCTGTCATCTGTCATTTTATGTATTCTTGACTTTTATTCTGTATGAGGAAAGAAAATGGGTTTGAGAAGACCACATCAAAAATGATTAGTTCTGTTTAGAATCCATTCATAGATAGGTGTGACTATTAAGTTGTGTTTGGTATCTATTTGTAAATAGATGTGACTCGTAAGACCCTAAATGTACCTAATTAGACAACAAACACAAACTCTTCAGAAAATTGATAAGAAGCATAGTATATCTTCAATGATTTTTTAAAAAAAACTAAAACTATAGGGTGTATTAATGGGCGGGTTGCTTCAGTGTAAAGAATCTTATTTCCGCTAGACCTTTCCAGAATATGCATTATGCAATTTACATTGTGCAAAATAATTGCACTACTCATGGTGGTAGACATTGTTTTATTTTAAAGCTCAGCATGTCCATTTGTCAGCGTAAACTTTTAATACTTGTTTGTCAGTAAAATTAAAGTAAGATTTAGTAGAATATGAAATTGTCTACGGACAATGGCTATTTGTTTATTTGCCATAGTTGGAGGTGCATACACAGTGAAATGTTGTTGCTTAATGTAATGCGCTGTAAATTTGAATCAGTGTGTTCCAATGCAGTAGATTTAAATGCACTATGAATTTTCAAAGATCCTTCACTTGGTAAGAAGTGCAATATGTGTTAAAACATAACTGGGATATAGGCACAAGTAAAATAATTTCACGAGTGTAAAGCACTTATTTTCTGTAGGATAAATGCACCATTTTTTGTTGGTAATTGCTTTTGGTGTATATTGCAACATTTGTTGTGGAAATCTTTTGAAATGTACCAAAAATTAATAAATGGCACCTAATATTTTAAATATAGTGACGTGATTTTGTTTTAACAGCTTTTTTGAAAAATTGGAGATATAGAGGAATGATCAGAAATGGAGTTTAGTCTATTCTTGACTATAACCAACCATAGAAATATGTCAACAGGGCTGCAGTAATTTGCTCAGCAGGTGGAGCATTTATAATAATAATCCTTGCATTTGATATAGCGGCTTATCACATCTTCAAGGCGTCTCAAAGCGCTTCACAGAATATACTGTCACATGAATTGACTGTATGACTTCAAACAAGAAAAATATTCCATAAGGTGTTGTCTACAAAGACCTTTCCTGATTTCCTGTAGCTGTCAATTGCACTCCAGATGCAAACTCCTCCTTCCTGTAAATTGCAGGTGTGCATTTGTGGGTGAACATGGCAGCCAATTTGCCCATAACAACGTCCCACAGCCAACGAGGTGAATGATCAATTTAACTGTAGTTCTGTTGAAAATCCCTTCTCTTTGAATAGTATTATGCGTTCTTTAATATCCACCTGAACATGCAGATGACTTTGGTTTAATCCCTGCAACATTGCACCGGACTGTCAATCTAAAACATGAGCTCCAACTCCGTGAAACTGAACTGGCTCCAACAGACCCTGAGGCGAGAGTGCCGTAGAGTTACATAGGTTACAAAACCGTAGGAATCACGTTCTTCCCTTCTCTCTTAACCCCTTTTGAGACGGGACAAATTTAACAGGGACCAGGAGCAAACAGTGAAGCCTGAAATAAAAATAATCAGCCCGGAAATCCAATGGCAGGTCAGTCAACTTCCTAAAAGAGAAACAAAGCGCAAAATGCTGCAGATGCTGGACATCTGAAACGAAAGCGGAAGCCGCTGGGGACGCTCTCAGCAGGTCAGGCAGCATCGACGGAGAAAGGCAAGCGAGTCAACGATCCGGGTCCACGACCCTGCGTCGGAACCCGAAACACTGAACTCACTTCCTCCGTGGACGCCGCCTGGACCGGCTGAGCGCCCCCAGCGACTTCCGCTTTCGTTTCTGAAAAGAGAAAAGCCCGGGTTGGGCGTTCGGAAATTGGACCTTCCACCCAAGAGCAAACAAGGAGGGCGGGGGGCGGGGGGGGGCGCGGGGGGGCGGTCGCCCATCACCGCAGATCGGAAGGATCTCCTGGCGTCCCCCGGGGGCAACGATTCGGACGCTGCTCTGGTCCCCTCCGACGTTTGAAACCCGCCCCGCAACCGCGGTCGGAACGGTCCTCGCAGCGGACGCGGCGCCTCTCGTCACGTCTTCGAGACGTCTTCCCACAGCGCTTCGCGGGGAATGCGCCGTCGGGTGAAGGGACCGGTTATCGTTGCGGGGAGAGGGGGGGGGAAGGGTGGGGGGGGGGGGGAGAGGGGGCGACGTTGTTCCTGAGTACATACTTAAGAGGTTTGGGAGGGAGGAAGGAAGGAGAGAGAGAGAGAGAGGTGGGGGTGGTATGTAGGGGGGGAGAGGACACCAGAAGATGAGGCTTTGCCATTTTTTTTTCCGGTTGGCAGACATTTAAATGATTTAAAGGGCGCAGTGATGACGTCCGCGTGACACACAATGGGGCAGCGGTGACCACCGTCCCTTTAAGGAAAAGACACGGCTACGCCCCCCCTCCCCCTGCCTTGGCCCCGCCTCCCGGCCCCGCCCCCCGCCCCCCCACTAACCCCACCAGGCGACCGTTTGAAGCTGAGGTACGTGTGTTGAGTTGAAGGCGTCGGACGCGGAGCCATTGGCACACTACACGTACACACGCGTATACGCGCGCGCGCGCGCACGCACGCACGCAGGAAAGGGACGGGGAATAAATTGCCTCCTCTCCCTCCGTTTTCAAACGAAACAGAAGTCGTGACACACACTCACACATCGGAATAAGAAAAAAAGAGACTTTTTTTTTCGGGAAAAAAAAAGGGAGACGAACCGAAGGCCATTCGGTCGGTCGGTCGCTCGCTCGCTCGCTCGGTCGGGTCCCTCAACTGCTTCTCGCTCCACTCGCCGACCGCCAGGAGGGGCGCGAAACGCCCGAGTTTTCTAGAAACTACCACCAGTTTGTCTCCCGGGCAACCGGTCCCCGCCGGAAGTCGACAGCGCCTGCGCGGCAGCTGGGGACTCGCCTCGAGCAGCCGGGCGCCAGCGCACAGAGCAGCAGCCGCCGCCGCCGCCGCCACCAACAACCGCCTTCTTGTCAGCCGAGGCCCCCCCTTTGGGAGCTGAGCCGGTATCGCCGTGGCGGTGACGGGAGGGAAAGCAGCTTCTTCGCCCGAAGAGCAGCCGAGGATGCGGCAGTGCGTGAGAGAGGAAGCGCGGCAGCTGGCCGGCGACTACCTGGACCACTGCCTGTACCCGGGCCGCCAGGCCAGGCCTCCCAGCCGTACGGCCGAGACCCTCCGCAAAGTCACCGACCAGATGGTGGAGCAGCACCAGGCCGCCTTCAGCAGCATGAAGAGCCGCTTCGACAACGGCTTGCGCTTCAGCTCCAAGCCGGCGGCATCGGAGGCGGCGGCGGCGGCGGCTGCTCCCGCTGCTCCCGCTGCTGCGACCGTGGTTGCGGGAGAGGCCGCCGCGGAGGCGACGAGGGCGGCTGTGGCGGCCGGGGACTTCCTGCGCCGGGTGGTGGAGGAAATGTCGGCCGACGAGAAGATGAACTGGGGCCGGGTGGTGAGCGTGTTCGCGTTCGCCGGCGTCTTGAGCCGGCACCTGAGGGACTCGGGCATCGTTATGTGCCCGGCGACCGGCCCCAGCCCCCTGGACTCGCTGGCGGACAGTGTGGCCAACTACCTGGGCAAGGAGAAGAGGGAGTGGATTGAGCAGAACGGAGGCTGGGTAAGAGGCTTCCGGCGTGCGGCGCGGGCAAAGGGAACAGATACTCGGGGGAGGCGACTATCGCTACCCACCGGGTTGACTTTCTCACTCTTCCTTTTCCTCTTTTTTTTTAAGGTGTGTGTGTGTGGGGGGGTGGTGGGGGAGGTTTAAGTAGAGAATCGTAAAATTGTCCAGCACAGATGGAGGCCATTCGGCCCATCGTGCCCCCCCCCCCCCCACACACACACACACACACAGAGACGGCTCTTTGAAAGAGCTGTCCGTTAATTAATCCACCCAGGGCTCTCCCCCCCCCATAGCCTTGCGAATTTGTCCTCTCCCCCCCCCCCCCCCCCCCCCACACACACACACACAAAGTAGTTTCTATATTTCTATATTATTCTGTATAGCCTCCCGTCACATTTTCGGGGATCCGGACAAATCGGAAGTTTTCTTTCGATGATTGATTTGAAAACAAAACTCGAATTGTGCTCTCGATGCTAAATGATCCTGGAACCCCCGTTTGAGATCCTGTCGTCGTCGTCGTCGCCCCCCCCCCCCCCACACACACACACACACACATACATGGGCATTCATCTTCATACAGTTAAGTAAGTGCAGCCCGAGATGGGGACCTCAGCTGATTGGACTTTGCCAGCTCGAAATTGCGTCCCTTTTAGGATTGTGTGGTTGGCACTAAAAACAGCGAGGCTGGCAGAGATCTGAGGGATCCACGCCAAGTGAAAGATTTAGCAAAGAATTTCAGTAGGATTCTCGGTGCCTCCTTACAGCTGGTGTCCGCAAGGGTTATTCTGGCGACAGGGTGCCAAAAAAAAAAGTTAGGATTCTGCGCTGAATGTAAAAATTGATGTGGCACAATAATGACTTCAAAACTCTTGTAACTCATTGCATGAATCCTAGAAGTGTCTGTAGAAATATGGGCCAGGCCTATTTACAGACATCTGGCAGGCGGGTACACAAATGCAGCCAGCTGGGCTTTACAATGATATTCAGTGTGGTTCTTAAATGTAGCTGTCTGACTGGTTGCCTCTTTATTTTAAATTAATATTTTTAAAATTGTCTTCAAGAAGTGTTCCAACTGGGGTTTGAAACTTACCTTTCAAGATTAATGCAAAACATTTTGTTGTTAGCTATTTTTGGCTTTTGCCTTGATTCAGATTTTGAATCATCACTTGGCATCAAACTGTGAGGCTAAATGGCTGCCAGCATTTTTCTTCAAGAATGCTGTGAATGTTCTTATTTGTGTTTGACCTTACAGTACATTTTCTTTTTGCTGTTATACATTGCAACAAAACAAATTCCAATACTTACTTGAATGTATTTCCATTTGATTCAATTTCAGCTTTTTAATTGTGAAATATATTTCCAGGTGGAAATTTTAACCTTTTGTAAAAAGTGAGGCTTTTAGAGTGCTGCTGTTATATTTTTGTGTTTAAGGGGGAAAACGCAACTAAAACTCAACTGCAAAACTACTTAGTTGTGCTAGAATTTTAAGTAATGAAATTGCTGATTAGTTTTATCTGCCACATAATCCTTTCTATAAACCAGTCATTTAGAAAAAAATGCTGACCGTAAGATTCATGCTCATGAATTCATGGTCTGCATTAATTTGACCACTTAATGAAATGAGTTAGAGTGTTTGAGTAAGTATAGTAAACCTGTTCTTGTTTTGTTTTCAATAGGAGGGATTTCTCAGATTCTTTGGCAGCAATGACCATTGGCAAGAATCAACAGTACGCAATATGCTGATAACAGTTGCTGGGTTTGGTATAGCAGGGATAGCTTGTCTTCTTGCAGTTCGATAGACTGATGCACCTATCTAATTGGAACAGTCACTAACTGGCCACCTGGAAGAAATATTCGTGGTTCCACTTTTATATTTCTGTGGGAAAGAGGGGACCACCATCTGTACAGACAGAGCAGCAAGAAATGTGGAAGCCTTGGAACTTTTTTTTCTCTCCAGTTTGTTAATGTTTTCATTTACTTACACCTTTTCATATGCATTTAATATACTGCCTTACAACAAAGATGATATATGATTTGATCTTTTTAAAGGGCATTTTAATATGGTTTCTACGAAAGTGTCCCTTCAAAGTATGGGTCAATATTGTTGTGTCTTCAGTTATGGAAAATGTAAGATAATATCTAGTACAAATTAAAATCTTGTACAGCCAGCTTCTGAAGATCACAACTGAATTACATTAAGCTGCAGTAGTTCAATGAATGCTACGAGGAAGGTACAACCTATGGCAATGGTGTTGTTGTGTATGCTCATTGTCTCATGAAAAATTCATTCAGACATTTTTGATAATTATATCAATTATGGCAAATGAAAAGTGTCTTGTGATTAACTTTGGTTTTCATTTAAAACTTGCTACTTGGGATAATGAAATCCTTTTATAGGATGTTCACAAGAGAGTTATTGCATCTGTCACAGATCAACTTTCCCAAAGGAAAAAGTTCCACCGATTTCACTGATTGCTTCTTGCATTCTCTTCCTTCTGTTCTGCAAACAAGAAATAGTGCTATTATGGACTTATTTCTGATACACATTTTGGTGTGCAGTGGTTGTGAAAAACTTGCATTAACTTTAATAGTTGGACTATTCCTTTGGTAGGTGTTTAATATTTCTTTTCTATAAGCACAAACGTGTCTGAACATAGTAAGGTTATATTAAACTATTACAAGTAAGTACAAAAGTACAAAGATACATGAAAGTACAAAGATTCAAAGCTCTGTATTTGTTAAAATATCCAAATATGCTGTAACAATGTCAAGGCTCAACCTCTGCTCCAAATATCAACAACTACTTGCACTTACAGTCCCTTTCACAGGAAGAATGTGGAGAGTAGGAAGGAGGTGACTAAAATGCAATCAGGGATTTTAGTTTTTAGGGTTTTCTTAAAAGAAAGAGATCGAGGCAGAGGGATTTTTAATTAGAATAATGTGATTAATAAAGTTCCCTGTAAGCTATTTATAGTTTGAACTTGTCCCATCTAATTATAAATTATGTGATCAGTATTTATTATAACATTTTATTAATGACTGCACTGCAACATCATGAAATTTTACAAGAACTATTTTGTGGCCTCAAAACCCATCGTGTCCCTCAAGTAATTTGGAAATTTATTTTCTTCTGCTCTTGGCATTTGTATTTTATGTTAGCTTTATGGGTGTATTATTTTAACCTTTTCTCTAGGAATTAGAGCACCGAATCATCATTTATTGCACCTTTTTAAAATAATTTTGTTGCATATGTATAGTATTATTGTTTTATTTAGTATGTTAAATACTCTCAATTGCTATTCATTATAATCTGCATCTACAATTTGTATTCCAGTTTCTAGTTAAATTACTTTGCCTTTTGATTATAATGTAAAATCTTGCATGAGAAGGGGAAACTAGTAAACCATATTGAAATGGATTTTTGTATTTTGACATTAGCATTCTTTTCTCATCTCACTTTTCAAAAACTGTCAAAATAGTGATTTAACTGGAAAACGATCTCTTCAGATGAGACTTCTTTTCCTCCCAAAGTGTATACATTTGTGTATGTAAGGTAGGCCTGATCTAGTAATGCCTCTTACTAAATAAGCACTTTAATGGCAGTAATGACAAAACAGTGAAACCTGGAAATTCCAGAGCTTTTGTGTGGTGCAAAAAGTGCATCAAACAGCAGAAATCCATTCTGTTTGTTTACTGTGAATGGTGCACCTCAGTGGTGAAGCAAAGTTGATTAATTTTAAAGCTATTTGATATCACTCAGTTTAACAAAAAAGCGACATCCCTGACTTGGAGTGCTTGAGTACCTAGTATTTCATTAATGCATAAAGGTGCCTTATCCCATTTACAAATCAGTATGTAAAGCAGGCAGAAGTATAACTGTGGTATGAATAGGGACATTCTGTATGGAAATCTTTTTCTTTCGTGTAATGAGCTCATGGAAAATTTCAAAACGTTTTCGAAAACCAGTGTGGTACAATTTAGACGTTTCCTGTAATTGGCATTTCCGTAAACATTTTGTGGGATTAAGGTGAATAATCTTGGGAGAAATACTTCAAATGCCATTTTCCGATCTTTCATCTGAAAACTTTTCAATAGCACTATTTAAAACTTCCTGTTGTCATCAGTAGCTACTGCATAGGCCATTTGACAGAATGGAGGGTATTGTATCAAACCAGATGCACTATTTGTTCTTGCTGTCATTTGCTGTGTTCACCCTAACGTTCCCTGAGTATTGACTAAGGTTCACTGAGGAACGCACATTTCTGTATAACATTTGGTAAATTTAAAACCCTTTGCTCGAATTTTACATTACCATTTGATTGCCTTCTGACATTTACTTTAGAAAATGACCATGCATTCTCTTGCACGTCTGTTCCAAGCCATTAAATTTCCCTTGCTTTAAACCTGGGTAAAATCACCCTCCAACCTGAAAGTGATGTTTTGGGGTTAATTTGTTAAATTACTCAGTTTCAATCACTTTGTGATTGTAGATGCTGTACCTCCTAGTTTAGTATCTGTAATGGATTTCTGGTCATTGTGTTAGATGAGCAGCTGCCATACAAGTTATAGTACCAAAGAAAGGTACAAATTTACCAACCCCATCGCTGAATGTATCAGGGTGGCAGCCTGTTTGGTTTAGAATGAAGTGCCTTATTTTCCTTGCTTTTAGCAAAGGTCTGTGTCTGAAGGTCAGGATGGTATTTGGTTTTCCTGAAGGAATACTGAATACTCAACTCTTTTTTTCATGTGGTACAAGTCAGGCAGGCGGCAGGGTTAGGGGGGAACTCATGCACCCCACACTTGGTCTTGTAAACCTGAACTTAATCAAAATGCGCAAATACAATGGTATAAACCATTGGGTGTTTTCCAACTTGGAACTTTTTAAAAACTTTTTCATAACCACTTCACGGTCATCCGAGTGATTCAGAAAGTTTCCATACATGGATGGTTTACACTAGTTTGTAAAGAATTCTACGAAAACAAATTAAAAAGTACCTTTGTATAAATGCTTCTGTATTTGCTGTATGATCACACCTAACTTGTAATGTTATTCATTTAAAGGCAGTCAAAGCACCACATTCTTTTTGGAGCGCAGCTGTTTGTCACCTATCAAAAGCAAAACAAAATGAAACAAATCAATACATGTTTGGAATGGCTTACTAACTACCAGCGCACCATTTTCTTTGTCCAAAATATGAAACAATCTTGCCAAAATTGGGAAGGAGTTTGAAAACCTTATAAAGTGTTAAAGAACATCAGTCAGAGTTAATACAACAAATCTTTTCCTTTATCAATAGCATTCAGTTACAGTGTAGTGCTTATAACTATTGGTAGAGTTTGTTTCTTACAGAAGTGGTGTATGTTTATATATATATATATATATATATATAAGGCTGGCAGTGCAATTTGTTCCCTGCAGAACCTGGGATTGAAAATTCCTCTGTACATTTTTCCACTTCAAACCTGTTTTCAAGAGCCCGTAAAAGAGGCAGGCAAATATCAATATCGAAAGGAGCCAGAGTCTGAAAGAATTGTTCTTTCTGAGGTTCCCTTATTATAACCAGTGGGTGTAAGTGATTTTAATATGAGTGATTGAATTGCCTGTCATTTTGTCAAATTCAATACGTCGGTCGTGTAAACGTTTAAAGTCATGACTTTTGTTCATTTTATTGTCAAAGTGTTTGTGTGCAATGGATCTTCTTCCTTTTTTTTGTGCCTCGAATGTGTTAAAATATAATTTTAAATGTGGAAGGAATATTTTATTAAACAATGTAGACATCAGAATATAAATTAGTGCTGCAGTTAATGAAACCAGAGAACTAATTTAATCTGCAAGTAGCTCACTTCAGTCTGTTTAGTAAATATAAAACAAAATTTAATTTAAAAATATAGTGTGGCAATCTGCTACATCTTCATTGTATAAAATTATCTTCCCTTTTTCCCTAAAGTGTCCTTTCATATAAATCCTAACATTCTTAGTTTTATTTTAGGGTGAAGTGATTACCCAGTTCCCAGGCACAAGTATTCCAGATGTCTCCAGTTACTGCATTAAGGCTTCCCTATGGGTTTGGGAATGGAAACTCCTAGAAGGCAATGCATTAACTCAATTGATCGCATGATCCAGTGCTTCCACTGCATTATCAGAAGTTCTGACCTTCTGCCTGTTCAAGTAGATGCTAAAATGCCTATGGCATTATTTGAAAAGAAAAGGGGTTTCTCTCGATGTCTAATCTGCTGTGTTTGCATACCTTTTATATTTTTCCTTTTCAAATAGTTGTCATAAGACGCAATAATATTGATTTTTGCTTCAACCACCATCATGGAGGGTGGAAATTGTTTAAATAACCCTCTGTAAAGTCAACTGCGTAAAGTTAATTTACAGCCAATATCGCAATAATACCATGTGTAAGCAATGAAATGATGTTGCATCAATGGTGTTGAAATATCCGGAGGGAGGGAGGGAAGTAGATTTATATGGCAAAGTAAGGCCACCAAATTGCTGGACTGACTTTAGTTAGTGCCCATTCAGCATCTTAATTTTTTTAATATAATGTGAGTCTGGAACAGACCTAAACCAGCACTGAAAGCCCTGTAATACTGAAGGAATATTGGCACAGATTGTTCTTGTGTGTATTTACGGATTGTTCTTGAACCAGATGAACCTCTTCTTGATAGTACAAAGTTTAGTAATTTGTATATGTCACACAAAGCCTAAACTTGCAATAGCTACTCATGCACTTCCACATTATGACGAATGTAATTTTTGGTGTTACTAATGTTTTATAGTTCCGTACATGACCTGCACATGGTTTACGTCACACTCGACCAATCTTTTTCTTGCACCCTGTTACTAGGAGGAAGAATGACGTATGCCGCACGGCAAAAACCTTATCAGTGATATTGCAGAAACAATGTTAATGCATAGTTTGAGGTACAATTTCTCCTGCAAAGTACAACTTTTTTCAAAAATTTCTACATTTTGAGTGTAATCCATTCATTCTCACCCATGTTTTAACTGGGAAATACAATTTTGCTTTGACATTGCACAAACTCGCAGCTTGTAAAGTACATCTATGTTGCAAATCTCCAGAGCTTAGCAGTGCACTTCAATATAACTGAACCTTTTGTGTTGAAGGTGGTATAATAAGTTAACCTATGCTCCAGTCAGCTGTATCAGTAGTTTGTATGTTTATTGGCCCTACAAATTGTCACATTGTGTGTTTCTATACAAAGGCAGACCAGAAGCACTAAATGGAAGCCAGTTGTCTCCAAAATGTATTGGTTAAATTTGCAAGCTCATCAAAGGAAATTACCCCCTTCTTGCACACACTCCCTTAAATATATCAAGTTTACCTCTTGGTTTGTGCCCATAAGTGAATTACGATGATTTTTTAGTCTTATGTGCCACACCACCATCGCTATGGGTTCATACATTTATAATAATAATACTCCTTGCATTTGATATAGCGCTTTTCACGTCTTCTCGACATCTCAAAGCGCTTCACAGAATAGACTGCAAAGTGAATTGACCGTATATTTATGCTACAATCAACAAAATTGCTGTTCTCCCAAACATTGCTTACAAATTACTGAGACAGATCCGGTTGCGTTGAAATAAGTTGGTTTAAATTAAGGCCAGGGCTGAAAATAAAAAAAAGTGTGGCTATTCTAAGCTACATTTCTTCTTAAAATTATAGGGAACATCATCCACTGCACTGAAAAATGGCAAAACTTCGAAAGACAAGTCACAAACTGACTCTGACAAGTTTCCCCTCTAACTATAAGGGATGTAAATCAAATGTATGGCTTGCTACAGACCCCAGCCTCTCCCACCAGCACCACCTCCAGTTCAAAATACAGGCTGATTATGACAGCAGATTCCATTAATCCAAAGTGCTTCAGGAAATGAATACATGTCCCACTGAGTCCTGCACAGACTTTAATTCCAACAGATATTGACTTAAACTGATGAGGATCTAAAAATCAAAATGCAGCCAAGCCCGAAGAGTTGATCGGACTCGGAAGTGCCTTTTAGACAAAGGTTATTCTGTGTTGCTTTAAATTGTTAGAAATGCAGTACTTTGATCTCCTAAAGTAGTTCTTAATACGCTGCGTTTGGGTACACTGGGGCCACAATTTCAGCTGTACGAAGCTTCCGTAATCTTTAGTCGGCTGCTCTACATTAACTAGAACACACCTGGAACTGAAAGCATAGACTTTACTAAGCTAACTGTCCTCATTTCTTTATAGAATATACTTTTTACCAATTTTAATCGCCATTTTTAAAATGCTTCCTATTAAAAGGTGCTCCCTTGTACCCGACAACATAAAATCTGCACGTGAAACTCTGATGTATCCTAGATTTAGACCCATTGCAGAATTAATTGTGTGTGCGCTCATTTTCTGTGACTAGCAAACGTTTGATTTGCATGGTATGGGAATTTGCCCAAACTCTGGACTATTTCGGAATCCTGGATACCAAAACAAGGTTGTGTCCTTATTCTCCTTGCCTTGAGAGAGAAAAAAAACCGTCACCGTTTCCTTCAACTGCAATCAATTTATCAGGTTTGCCACTTGGTGGAGAGGGTTTGCAATCAGTATCTGTGCCCCAGACTTGAGGTGATATCTGTCAGGTATTGCTATCCAGTGGCGCGGTATTTTGTAGGCGAACACGGCAGCAAATTGGAATAAATTTGCCCCGCAAACCATGAAATGGACGACCAATTTTATTTGGGGGATTGTTGGCCAGGAAACCAGGAGAAACTTCCCTTCTCTTTTCAAATACTGCCATGGGATCTTTTTAACATCATCTGAAACAGGCAGAAAGCACCCTGAGTTAACTGAGGAGGCACCTCTGGTAATGCAGCAAACACCAAGCTCTGATTGCACTAGAGTGTCAACCTGGACTACCAGTTCAAAGACCTACCGTGAGTCTTGAACCTACAGTCTTCTGGCTCGAAGGTGAGAGTGCTACCAACTGAGCCAGTTTGACATATGATATCTCATTCTGTTTGAAAAGCTAGATATCGAGTCCTCCGAGCCATCCGAGGTGAACCTTCATCCCATCCATCTGGGTCAGATTTGAACTGCTATAGGTGAAAAGCCATTGGCTGCATTGCAAATGGGTTTAGCTGCTGCATGTGGGTACACATCTCTATCCTGTAATATGGAGAACTAGTAAAAAAAAAACAGGCTTATGTTGAGCCATTCATAAGGAACGAAATGCTCGCTGTTCGTTACTGCATACAATTTGACTTTCAACAGGTTACACAAACGCATCTCTAATCAACGGGGTGGATTCAAGTGTGTTTCAATGTGAGAATAGATCAGAGGCAACCTGTACAGAGGCTAAACTTAGTCATAATAATAGAATCAAAAGGTGGGTGGGGGGAGAACCTTCCAACCTCTTCCTTTCAAGTTAAAAGCTTAGATCTTGTTTTGTTTCTGAGGAGCCTTTTTAAAGCATTGCATTTATTCTGTTTTCAAGTTGCAATTTCTGTTGAAGCGCACCCTCGATACTCTGGGGTAGGTGTTCAGCGTCTATTTGTGCATTTCTATCGCCTAGAGCTGTGGTGGAACATGTTAAGACGTGCTGGCTCGGTGGCTTCCCCATCACAGCTGATTTCTGAGAATTAACACTGCCTTTGCCAGAAACAGCTGATTAACATCCTGTGTGGGGCAGACAGCGTTCGCTGCTAGCAAAGATTGCCAATCCTATTCGTGGAAATAGGACTTGCAGTAATGCAGTTTTGCATGTTAAAGTTACCGCATATTTTGAAATTAAGTTGAAATGTATTTTTTGCAGTTTCCCCATGACTCCTGAGGAGCAGATGTGGTTTGTTGATATTATTTTTGGTATGATCAAAATGCCACAACTGCCCAGAATTGCTCATGATCCGATCCCTTTGGAGCAAAACCTTTGAAGTTTCTCAACGTGGTCTGGTCTGTAGGTAAAGTGCATAAAAGTATGCGAACGCTTGATAGAAGTGGTGCTGTGGTTATGTAG